TTAGTCCATTCAAATTTTGCTCGCTTTTGAGTTAAACGAGTCAATGGCACTGCAATTGAGAAAACCCCTCAACAAATCTTCTATAATAACCTGCCAAGCCTATAAAACTTCTTACTTCTGTCATATTTATCGGGCGAGGCCAATTCACCACCGCCTCAATCTTTTTCGGATCAACTGAAATCCCATCTTCAGAAATAACATGACCAAGAAAACTAATACTTGTCAACCAAAATTCACATTTGCTAAACTTTGCAAAGAGTTGTTTATCCCGTAAGATCTGTAATACAATTCTCAAATGTTTCTCATGTACCTCATCACTCTTAGAATAAACCAGAATGTCATCAATAAAAACAACAACAAATTGATCCCTCAAAATTAATTGAAACTTTAACTACTCCAAAAATTTATCGAATCATTTAGTCATACTCACAAATATAGTCTATGGATTTAAGCTATATCTTTGGAAGATCATCACATTCTCTAGAGGTCATCATCTAAATTTTTTAAAAATCTCCACATAATATATAGATTGTAATTATTACTAATAAATATCTCTTTCAATCCAATGATCATAAACTATATTCTTTGAAAAATCACCGTTAATCTACTTATCATAAATTAACTTCTTAAAAATCTCAAAGGATCATAATTCATAGTTTTTAAAAAATCCTCAAAATCATATTATAAGCTCTTTACATCTCACATAGTTTAAGGATCATAACCTGATCTCTTAAAAAAATCTCCAAGAAACATAACTTAAGCTTTTAAAGAAAATCTCAACATAATCTACAAATCATAATCTACCTCTTAAAATTCTTCAAAGATCGTAACTTATGCTCTGATACCAATTTTGTCACGCCCCGAATCGAGGCATAACACGGCCATATTACCTTGAAGTAAAACCCCAAAGCAATACGAAGCCTAATCCATAACCATTGAACAACTCTCAATATAAAATATTCTCATTAAGTAACATAACTAGATAACAAGTCTCCAAAGGTTCAAAGTAGAGTATTACAACTAAAATAAATAATACTTCATAAAATCCTATATTTCTAAGTAGTTCTCCAATGCTCGATTCTTCTAGCTTTTCTCAAGCTAATCATACTTATCATTCATAACATCTGTAAAAGAAAAAAAAATAGGGAATGAGCAAACCACAGCTCAGTAAGTGAAGGCTCACACACCTTACTGGATCAAACATCGTTTCATACATGTCATATAGATCATTCAAAATATTCGTTAAATCATAATGTCAAAACATCTCAATATCATCGTTCTGTCAAACATTTTATAAATTCATAAATCATTGTAAAATATGTTATCATTCAAATATCGTAATCAAACCAAATCATGGATCAATCATTAAAAATCATCGTAAATCATCATTATCAATCAAATCGTTATCATTCAAATCGTTAGCTACGGTCACTGCTATAACCCGTGACATTGGCCGTATCGACAATTTCATTCTCATGATCATTGCTAACTATTATAACCCGTTAGCTAGGGCTTATGCTAACTACTATTACCCGTTAGCCAGGGTCGTATGATCATGTCTTTGCTAACTACTATTACCCGTTAGCCAGGGTCGTAGAACTAGTTCTGGTGTCGATGATCCCACTTCCCAGGGATATAAAAACGTAGCTATCATAAAATTATTCTTTAAACATAAATCATTTTCTCATTTTATTCATAAGCATGATCCATCATTTATATAAAGAAACACAAAATAATCATATGTTTGATCCTATTTTCATATATCGAAAATAAAGAAATAAAACGTTCTTTCATTTAGAAACATATATAAATATATATACATAGATTCGAAAACAAGCAAAGTGTGTGAGATTCTACTTACCTTCTTCTGATTCCACCACCTAATTTTTCTCCCTCAAAATTTAGTGGCCTATTCAAGATAATTCCAACATAACAATAATTAATCAACCCATTTGAGGCCACTTATACCAAAACAATTAAGTTAAACAAGTAATAACTCGAGTAATTAATTCTGGCAGTCTGCGCTACTTTCACTAAAACGACCATAACTCAAGATATCCAATTCGTAATTAAAAAATTATTAATGCGTTAGAAACTAGACTTGACAAGCTTTCTAACCATATATGGCTCATCTCGTGATTCTTTGTGGATTAATTATAACAATTTTTGAAATCCACGTCAAATGCTGCTGCCAGACAGCCTGTATACCTTTTCATAAAAATTACGCATTTATTCATAGGTAACTCCAAATTCAATTTCGCTTATTTCATTGGAAAGTAGACTCGATAAGCTTTCCAAACATGTAAGGCTTAAACTGTAAATCCTTGTATAAAAATTTAGGGAAATTTCGAAATTCCCCCTTACTGCTGCTCTAGGCAGCCTGCACTTCCTTAGGTAAAAATTGGATAACTCTTCATAGAGGACTCGAATTCGACTCCCGTTTGTTTCATTAGAAAGTAGATTCAACATGCTTTCCAACCATATATAGTAATCATAGTAGTATTTAACCCTTTAATACAGAATATAACCTTAATTCATCACTACAAACACATGATTCATATCAGGATTTATACGAAACAAAGATTTTCCTTTCTATTCCCATCAAATTTCTGTTTCAACAATAAATTCACATTACCAACTTTCTCAACACTTAACTTGACTCTAATTAAAGTCTAAATCATCTGTCCAAAGAGGGATAATGGAAACCCTAAAATTTTAGGGTTTCTCGATTATAATCTACACTTTAAGACTTAACCATCAATACTCCAAAAATTGAAAAAAATTATTTACTCACCTCTAACAGATAATTTCTCCTTGTAGATTTGTTCTTCCCTTCACTTGAAATCCTTCAATTGATCTATTCTGTATAAGAAACATATGAGAAATAAGTTTCTGTTTTTATTACGACTAATCGTCGACTGAAAACTGAAAAGTTAACTCTATTAATAAAGAAATTTGGGTTATTTATCAATAAGTCCTCTACACTTCTCATTCTTTATTAAAGAGTCCCCCCACTTATAAAAATACTTAAAATAGTCCCTTTTTTTTTTCGGGTATTACAATCTCCCCAACTTATAAAAAGTTTCGTCCTCGAAACTTGATTTACCTTCATTTTCGAATAACTGAGGATGTCGTTTCTTCATATCATCTTCCATTTCCCAAGTTGCTTCTCTTGGTGTATGATTGCTCCATTGGACTTTTATAAAGGAAATAGTTCTATGCCTTAAGACTTGCTCTTTTCGATCAATTATTCGAATAGGATATTCCAAGTATGTTAAATCTTCTTGAACTTCTAAAGGTTCATACTCTATCACGTGGCTTGGGTTAGAGACATACTTTCTCAACATGGACACATGAAAAACATTATGCACACTAGATAGCTGAGGTGGCAAGGCTATTCTATATGCAACTTCTCCCACCTTATCAAGAATTTCAAATGGACCTATATAACGTGGGCTTAGCTTTCCTCGCTTCCCAAACCGCATAACACCTTTTGTGGGTGACACCTTTAAAAAAATAAAATCCCCTTGTTGAAATTCTAACTCCCTTTTCTTTTTATCTGCCCAACTTTTCTGATGATCTTGTGCTGCATTAAGTCTCTCCTTAATCACCTTGATCTTTTCTACAGTCAGTTGCACCATTTCTGGCCCTAGGAGTTTTCTTTCCCCAACATCATCCCAACATAAAGGGGATCTACACTATCTACCATACAAGGCCTCAAAAGGAGCCATCCCAATACTAGATTGATAACTGTTATTATAAGCGAACTCCGCTAAAGGTAAGTAATCATCCCAACTACCTTTTAGATCAATCACACATGCTCGAAGCATATCTTCTAAAATCTGATTTGTTCTCTCTGTTTGCCCATCTGTCTGAGGGTGAAAGGCTGTACTCAATTTCAAATTTGTCCCCATAGCTCGCTGTAAGCTTACCCAAAACTTAGAAACAAATCTAGAATCTCTATCTGACACAATACTCACTGGAACTCCATGTATCGGATAATTTCACCCATGTACAATTGTGCTAGTTTATCAAGTGGAGTAGTCGACTTGATAGGTAGAAAATGAGGCTGATTTAGTGAGTCTATCAACAATTACCCATACTGCATTATTCCCTTTAGATGACCTAGGTAACCCCATCACGAAATCCATAGAGATGTGCTCCCACTTCCATTCCGGTATCTCCAAAGGTTGTAACAAACCCTGATGGTCTTTGGTGTTCAGCCTTAACTTGCTGACACACTAGACATTGGGACACAAACTGAGCTATGTCACGTTTCATATTATTCACCAAAAACTTCCTTTCAAATCTTTATACATCTTAGTGCCTCCAGGATGTATAGTGAATCGAGACCCATGTGCTTCCTCCAAGATCTCTCGTTTTAGAACAAGATCATTTGGTACACACAATCTATTTCTAAACGTAATGTGCCATCCTCGTGAAGAATAAACTCTGATCGCAAACCATTCTGCACTTCTGTCTTAATTCTGTCTAACTCACTATCTTCTTTTTGTGCAAATTTTATCTTTTCGATCAAAGTTGGTTGAACCACCAAACTAGCCATAACAACACCTTTTCCCTGTATAATCACCTCGATTTGCTGCGTATCAAGTTCCTCCACCAATTTTGGTTGCAAAGTAAGTAAAGCAGCCATACTTCCAATGGACTTTCTACTAAGAGCATCAGCAACTACATTAACTTTGCCCGGATGATAATTGATGGTCAAATCATAATCTTTGATTAATTCCAACCATCTTCTCTGTCTCATGTTCAACTCTTTCTGTGTAAACAGATACTTTAAACTCTTATGATCTGTATAAATTGCACAAGGCTCTCCATACAAATAATGTCTCCATATTTTCAAAGCAAACACAATGGCAGCTAACTCTAAGTCATGAGTCGGATAATTTTGCTCGTAGGTTTTTAATTGCCTAGAAGCATAAGCAATTACCCTTTCATTCTGCATTAACACACAACCCAACCCCTTCTTGGAAGCATCACTATAAATGGTAAAACTACCAATATCAGAAGGTAAAGTAAGGATAGGTGCTGACACCAATCGTTGCTTTAGCTCTTGAAAACTCTGTTCACATTCTTTAGTCCATTCAAATTTTGCTCGCTTTTGAGTTAAACGAGTCAATGGCACTGCAATTTGAGAAAACCCCTCAACAAATCTTCTATAATAACCTGCCAAGCCTATAAAACTTCTTACTTCTGTCATATTTATCGGGCGAGGCCAATTCACCACCGCCTCAATCTTTTTCGGATCAACTGAAATCCCATCTTCAGAAATAACATGACCAAGAAAACTAATACTTGTCAACCAAAATTCACATTTGCTAAACTTTGCAAAGAGTTGTTTATCCCGTAAGATCTGTAATACAATTCTCAAATGTTTCTCATGTACCTCATCACTCTTAGAATAAACCAGAATGTCATCAATAAAAACAACAACAAATTGATCCCTCAAAATTAATTGAAACTTTAACTACTCCAAAAATTTATCGAATCATTTAGTCATACTCACAAATATAGTCTATGGATTTAACTATATCTTTGGAAGATCATCACATTCTCTAGAGGTCATCATCTAAATTTTTAAAAATCTCCACATAATATATAGATTGTAATTATACTAATAAATATCTCTTTCAATCCAATGATCATAAACTATATTCTTTGAAAATCACCGTTAATCTACTTATCATAAATTAACTTCTTAAAAATCTCCAAAGATCATAATCATAGTTTTTAAAAAATCCTCAAAATCATATTATAAGCTCCTTAACATCTCACATAGTTTAAGGATCATAACCTGATCTCTTAAAAAAATCTCCAAGAAACATAACTTAAGCTTTTAAAGAAAATCTCAACATAATCTACAAATCATAATCTACCTCTTAAAATTCTTCAAAGATCGTAACTTATGCTCTGATACCAATTTTGTCACGCCCCGAATCGAGGCATAACACGGCCATATTACCTTGAAGTAAAACCCCAAAGCAATACGAAACCTAATCCATAACCATTGAACAACTCTCAAATATAAAATATTCTCATTAAGTAACACAACTAGATAACAAGTCTCCAAAGGTTCAAAGTAGAGTATTACAACTAAAATAAATAATACTTCATAAAATCCTATATTTCTAGGTAGTTCTCCAATGCTCGATTCTTCTAGCTTTTCTCAAGCTAATCATACTTATCATTCATAACATCTGTAAAAGAAAAGAAAATAGGGAATGAGCAAACCACAGCTCAGTAAGTGAAGGCTCACACACCTTACTGGATCAAACATCGTTTCATACATGTCATATAGATCATTCAAAATATTCGTTAAATCATAATGTCAAACATCTCAATATCATCGTTTCTGTCAAACATTTTATAAATTCATAAATCATTGTAAAATATGTTATCATTCAAATATCGTAATCAAACCAAATCATGGATCAATCATTAAAATCATCGTAAATCATCATTATCATAAATCATCATTATCAATCAAATCGTTATCATTCAAATCGTTAGCTACGGTCACTGCTATAACCCGTGACATTGGCCGTATCGACAATTTCATTCTCATGATCATTGCTAACTATTATAACCCGTTAGCTAGGGCTTATGCTAACTACTATTACCCGTTAGCCAGGGTCGTATGATCATGTCTTTGCTAACTACTATTACCCGTTAGCCAGGGTCGTAGAACTAGTTCTGGTGTCGATGATACCACTTCCCAGGGATATAAAAACGTAGCTATCATAAAATTATTCTTTTAAACATAAATCATTTTCTCATTTTATTCATAAGCATGATCCATCATTTATATAAAAGAAACACAAAATAATCATATGCTTGATCCTATTTTCATATATCGAAAATAAAAAATAAAACGTTCTTTCATTTAGAAACATATATAAATATATATACATAGATTCGAAAATAAGCAAAGTGTGTGAGATTCTACTTACCTTCTTCTGATTCCACCACCTAATTTTTCTCCCTCAAAATTTAGTGGCCTATTCAAGATAATTCCAACATAACAATAATTAATCAACCCATTTGAGGCCACTTATACCAAAACAATTAAGTTAAACAAGTAATAACTCGAGTAATTAATTCTGGCAGTCTGCGCTACTTTCACTAAAACGACCATAACTCAAGATATCCAATTCGTAATTAAAAACTTATTAATGCGTTAGAAACTAGACTTGACAAGCTTTCTAACCATATATGGCTCATCTCGTGATTCTTTGTGGATTAATTATAACAATTTTTGAAATCCACGTCAAATGCTGCTGCCAGACAGCCTGTATACCTTTTCATAAAAATTACGCATTTATTCATAGGTAACTCCAAATTCAATTTCGCTTATTTCATTGGAAAGTAGACTCGATAAGCTTTCCAAACATGTAAGGCTTAAACTGTAAATCCTTGTATAAAAATTTAGGGAAATTTCGTAATTCTCCCTTACTGCTGCTCTAGGCAGCCTACACTTCCTTAGGTAAAAATTGGATAACTCTTCATAGAGGACTCGAATTCGACTCCCGTTTGTTTAATTAGAAAGTAGATTCAACATGCTTTCCAACCATATATAGTAATCATAGTAGTATTTAACCCTTTAATACAGAATATAACCTTAATTCATCACTACAAACACATGATTCATATCAGGATTTATACGAAACAAAGATTTTTCTTTCTATTCCCATCAAATTTCTGTTTCAACAATAAATTCACATTACCAACTTTCTCAACACTTAACTTGACTCTAATTAAAGTCTAAATCATCTGTCCAAAGAGGGATAATGGAAACCCTAAAATTTTAGGGTTTCTCGATTATAATCTACACTTTAAGACTTAACCATCAATACTCCAAAAATTGAAAAAAATTATTTACTCACCTCTAACAGATAATTTCTCCTTGTAGATTTGTTCTTCCCTTCACTTGAAATCCTTCAATTGATCTATTCTGTATAAGAAACATATGAGAAATAAGTTTCTGTTTTTATTACGACTAATCGTCGACTGAAAACTGAAAAGTTAACTCTATTAATAAAGAAATTTGGGTTATTTATCAATAAGTCCTCTACACTTCTCATTCTTTATTAAAGAGTCCCCCCACTTATAAAAATACTTAAAATAGTCCCTTTTTTTTTTCGGGTATTACAGATTAAATTTATCATAAATCTTTCGATTGGTGCGATTAGAGTATTATATTTTTCATTTCGAACTTATTTTAAAATTTGAAACAGGTAAAGAAAGACACTTAATCCTGAAATCGACTTCCTGGAATTTACTTTAATATGGTTGAGCTAATAGTTTATTGGAATGAGATAAAAGAATTTCTATCATTATTTAATATTTTACTAATTTTATAATTAAAAAAATAATTAAAACATAAAATAACAAATTTAAAAATGAGTAAAATCCCCATTAGAGATTGGGGCGATTGATTTCAATATTTTATTCATTCGAATTTAATTATGTCATAATTTTATAATTAATTTAGATAATTTATCATTCGATAAATTGTATATTTTAGTTTAAAAAATTTTAAAGTTCATTTTGAATATCAACTGTTACATAAAAAAAAATTAGAAATTTATTTATGCTATGAATATTTCTATAATAATCAACTCGTTTAAAATAAAGTTATTATAAATTTTTTTTGATTCTAGTTAAATAGTTTTGGATAAAGCTTATGTATATCATAATATTTGTGCTAATGAATTCAACATTATAAATAACCTATGCTAACAATTATCAATGCAATGAAGAACAAATTGATTTTAATAATAAAAAATTAATGATTTTTAATTAATGTAGATAATGATAAATTAGTTTTGTGTTTGCAATTCTAAAGTAGTAAGAAACACTAAATTAATAATGACTCATATTTAATGAAAAACTATATACAATAAACGTATTTATATAAATAATATGCATCTAGTATTTTCGAATGTCGAGAATAAAATAACTCTTACTAAAATAACAGTCATATACAATTGATTGATAAAATGTACACTTAAATAATTAAAAAATAACTAAAATTTAATAAACTATCTGACTTATTCCTTATCTCATAGTTAAATATTTGACTAGCTCCAAATCATGTTGAAGCAAATGAGCCTGCCAAATTGACTCCAGTACTCTTGGAAAAGCTTCTTCATGTTCAAAGAACACCTTACCGTTGTTTTCATATTCTGGACTCAATTGTGAGAAAATAAACTGCAACAGTTGGAACTTATAATGAGCGTCAAGTATGGCTGCAAAAGATGGTACCAAAGCATGTTCCTCCCAATAATTTGCAACTTGCTTTTCATCTTTATTGCCATTTGTTTCATGATTGGATCTTCAGATAGAAGTTCTTTCTCAATCTTTTTCTGAATTTGGTTTACATTTTCAGAATATAAGTTGGATGTGGGGTATTTAGTTCCTGAAAATAAGGTGGTTATGTCATTAAAAGGCTTCAAAAGTGCAAAAATCTTCTCAATCCATGGAAGATCATCATCTTCTGAAAAATAATTATTGAAAGTCTGATCTGCCCTGGCTAAATTTTTAAAGGCAGCAAGATAGTAGAGAAACCTTCGTAGCATCAAATAAGTGGAGTTCCATCTGTTGCTACATCCAACCATAATCCCACAGAATAACTCAATCTAGCTTGAACTACGCATTCGCGAAACTTAATCTTTCTAGCTTCGGATCCTTCAACATACTTCACGCAATTTCTTACTTTCATTTAGCCTTCTTTACTCACTTCTAAACCATATTGAATAACAAGATTCAATGAATAAGCAGCACAACGAATGTGTAAAAACTGACCATGACACAGCAAAGCATCTTGTCGATCAAGTCGACTGCATAACATTTGTTGCATGTTATTCATGTTAGTAGCATTGTCCAAGGTAATACTAAAAACCTTTTTTTCAGTTCCTCAATCTTTCAATAACTCATAGACAATGTCATACAAGCTATGCAGAATGTGCGGCAACATGACGGAAACACAAAATTTTGCTACACGACTTCTAATCAGTGTCAATATAATGAGCAGTCAAACAAAGATATCCATCTGATGTGCATGAAGTCCACATATTAGATGTCAAAAAAATCCTACTTGTAACTTTTGCCAAATTAGATTAAAGCATTTGTTTCATTTTCATGTGTGGTTTCAAGCAATCAGCCTTACAAGTATTCCAAGAAATGGGTTTGAAATCTTCATTTAAATAGCAACAGAAGGCCTAGTTTCCTATGTTCAACCCATTCAAATGGATAGCCATGCTCAATTACATTTTCAGCAATCATTTCTCGATAAACATCTGATTCTATGTTACTTGGTGGCCCTACTTCACATTCATGCACTTGACGTTTAGGGCATTTCTTTAAATGACATTTTAAAGAGGAAGTACCTGAACGAGGCTCACCAATTAAAACCTTCCCGCAGTGTATACATTTAGCTCTCTCTTTTGAATCTCCATGGAGTTGTTCATATCTCCTTTGCGTCAAGCATAACAAACTCTTCCCAAACTTCAGACCACCTTCTTGAAGAAGCCGGGGAACAGTAATGGAAGATGCTACATGTTCATTCGAGTCTTCATGACTACTAGGATGCAGTGTCTGTGATTCCATTTCTAAAGCTGCAAAAAGAAAACACACAAATTAAAGCAATGAGAGCTAAGTTGAAATCCAAAACTAGTTTCCCTTTGAAACAATATCAAAGATGTTTTCAAAAGACAAAACTTGTTGCAGAACTTGTCACTAAAAAATTGCGAAATACCCAAAAGAAGACATTCTTTTACGTTGTTTTCTTTGGCTTTGTTAAACAGAGAAAAAGTAGAAAACATTGAACTGAAAAGTTAATGAACAAAAGCTTTGCTCTAAGAAGAATTACCTTGTTTTGTTTCCATTCAAAGCCAAAGAACAAGTAATATTTTACAAACAGCAAGGGCTGTTTGTGCCGCTTGACTACGAGGGAGGTAGAAAGTGACAGGGTTTACTGTTCAATATTTCGTTATCCACGCCTCGACTAATCACTTTATGGATAAATATTATATTAATTATCAAATTCATAATTAAAATATAATATTAAAAATTTTTAAAAATTAACTATTATATTAAATATTTAAATATAATTTAAGAATCATACATTGACCTTTTTTTTCAATAGAAGTAAACGGCTGGAACAGAATGTTTTGGGTTTCTGAGAAACCATGGTTGTTGAAAAAGGCATTAAGAGTTTATCAGGTGTTTCAAATTTGACTCTTTTGGATGCATGCAAAGCAGATTCTGGAGACAACCCACGTTTGTTACTGAGGCTAATACGAGGCTGTAAGAGATTGCTGACTTGAAGTAGTTGACAATAATATGAAAGACATGATTAGTGTTTTTTGTTTTTTTTTTTGAAGATTGCGTACAAGTCTCGCAGTTTGGGATAGGGAGGCTGTGATCTCGTGCCACCCATGGAAAAAAGTTTTGGTCAGAAAACAAAACATGGGAATTGAAATTTAGGAAACGAGAGAACAGAATCACCTGACACAAATCTGCTAAAGCCGAGGAACCATGTTTGAATTCCAGTAGAACAACTCAAGAGTTCGCCAAACATTCTTTTGGTAAAAACAGATTTGTAAAGCATTATTAGTCGATAGAGAAGATGTTTTGTAAACGATTTTTGAACCATAGAAGTATCAAAGAGAATATAAAACATAGCAATTTATTGCTGTGACGGAGAAGTGAACTAAACTGGATTTGGAGAATTGCTGATCAACCATCCTGGTGAATTTCTGTAAATTGCCCCAAAATCCCAAGTATTTTTGATAAATTTCAAAGCATAGTTAATCTTTCTTCTTACACCAGCCATTGTTGGAGGCTAGTAGCTGTTAAACCACTTCGATGGTGGAGTAGAATGATTCAATTTTCATACTGTAGGATATCAAGCCAACAGCCTTCAATGGTATTCCCTCTGGTGGCATCCTACGGCCAACCAGAGCACTTTTCATCACAGAAGCAAAGAAAGCAAGTTTGAGAAATTCATTAGGTTGGCTACACAAACATTAGCAAGGTAAAGAACTCTTAAGTTCATGTTTCAAATGACAGAAACTAATGGAATTTGTTGGTTTCCAAACCTGTCTAATATAGCTTCCATTCTACAATCTCCTACCCCACAAGTCACTGGACAACCAAAAAGAAAGAACAAAACACTGTAGAACTGCCACAAAAAAAAATTATATATATATATATATATATATTCATGTATTATTACCACCCAAATGACAGAATGTTACGAGATTTCTTGCGATCATAAGCTTTTCGTGGAGCCACTCAACTACTTGGGGCACCAGCATGATGGTGCAGTTTCAGAATAGCATGATATTAAAACTCCTAAATATGCTCCTTGCAAAGACATGGCATGACAATATGCAACAACAGAAGTAGATATCAGGCCAAACAATAATTATAACTGGAGAAATTTGTCTCACAGTGCATTTGGTTACAAAGATAACACATAATACCACAGCAAATTGTCAGAACACAGAGTCAACTTCAAGCTTTCACTAATGGCACAGAAGAGTAAAGCTAAAAAGATTGTATTTGCGGCATTCCTAATCCTAACCAAAACTCAAGCAAGTTTCAGATTAGAGTATCCAACTCAATCAAAGGAACGAGAAAATTTTGAATTTTTTAATGTCAACAATCTATAAATGCTACAGCTTGTACCCACCCATTTTCCAGTTTTTTGAAAGATTTAACTTTTCTTGATATAGCTTTAACAGCTCAGATGCTTCCTCCTTATAGCAGCTCACAAACTTCTCAATAAATAAATCATCTGAAGTCTCCAACAATGCCTGCAAGTTAATGCGCTTGATAACACCTTTGGACAACAAATCTAGTGCAAACAGACCCCTTGGAACAATCTTTTTCTCCAAGCTCATCAACAGTATTCGGGGACGTTTGGCAATAAGTGAAGACTGAATACCCATTTTGTTCACAAGGAAATCCATTGTCACCATAAATTTATCCTCAGACACCTCAATAAAAGTGGGACACCTCCTAAAAGCTTTGAAAACCTCTTCTTCAGACCAACCAAACTTCTTAAAAACTTCAAACTTCCTCTTCCATGTTGGTTTGCTAATTGAACTCATTGCGAAAAGAGCTACCATAAACATTCGTCTAGAAGGATTGAATCCCATTTCCTTTGCTTCCTCTACCATATCCTTAAACCGAATTGGATTTTTTATCAATGTTGTAGACAATGCATAAAGTGGTGTAACAATATTAGATTCAGGAACTCCATTATCCAGCAAAATATTGATATTGGGTAACAAAATGGCATTAATATTGTAACCCATAAGGCGCGGAGAACGTTTTACAGCACGAATAACCTTCTCATCAGACTTAAGCACATTACTAAGGAAATTAAAAGAAGGGATTATTTGTTTTTCTAAGCTTGACACCAAAATATTTGGGTTATGACACAAGATTTGGGCAAGGTCAGGGCTTGAAACACCTTTAGAGCGAAAAAACTCAAGTTTAGGCAAAAGGGTTTTCTTGACAGCAGAAGTAAGCACTACAGGCCGTTTCTCGATGAGGCGGGTGATTTGGAGTTCTGAGAAACCATGGTTCTTGAATAAAGCAATGACGGAGGCAGGTTTTTCTGGGGTTTCAAAATGAACATACCTAGAGGCAGTTAAAGCAGATTCTAAGGACAACCCACATTTATTTTTAAGGTATGAAACTGTAAATGACAACTCATTCGAAGAGCTTGACGTGTATCTGAGAGTGAGAGATGCTGCTACTCCCAAAAGTTTGTGACTTTGAGGGGCTGTAACATCCTGCCTCCCATGGAGAATTGTTTTGCAGAGAAAGTAAGACATGGAAATTGGAATTAAGTTAACAACAGAAGGCATTTACCTGTTTTTGGATTCATCTTTGAATGGGCAGATTCTGAAATCCAACAAGAAAACCCCACCGGTAAGGCAGTAACCATGAAAGACAGGTCTTTTCGGAGTCTAATGTTGTGTCCAGAAACTAAACTGAAGGGTTATGATTTATGACGCAGTTTTAGGGTAAAAATGGGATAAAAAATTTAATATTTACAAAAATTCAAGAAAATACAGAAAATTTTTTTTAATCAAAAGCACGAACTTCAACCATTTCTGTTCTTTTATATCAGATTTTCTAAGCTTAATGCACAATATTAAATTTTTATTGTGAAAAAGTATTCTAAAAACAAAAGCTTCATTCTCGTATAAATTTCAATGGTTTTGCTTTTTAGTGAATTAATCACTTGGAGGTTTCTTTTGAAATTAATCACGGTTACTTGTACTAAACCTACAAGTTCGCTTAGAGGGCAGATGCTTAACACTATCCAATATATTGAGGGAGGACCTCTATGTTTTACCATAATTTTAAATATTCAATTTAAAACACAATATCATAATTAAAGATAATAATGAATCGAGTTAAAATAAATTTTTATTCACATCAAATTTGACTCAATTTTAATATTTTTAATATTTAAATTTAATATAATTTTTTTAATATTATTTTATATTCAAATTCGTACAAATTTAATATTATATAAAATCATAATCAATTTATTTAAAATTAATAAAATATTATTTTAATATAAAATATAATTTTTAAATATAAATATAATATTAAATATATAAAAAAATTATATAAATATATATAATATTAACAAATAATAAAAAACTATTTTATATATATATATCTATTAAATAAAAAAAAATTTACCTAAAATTCAACCTCAATTTTCTTTTTAAATTCAATCATATCCAAAACTTGATTTAAAAAAAAAAAAAAAAAACCTATAAAGCCGAGTTGAAACCCAAGAAAACGAATTGAATTGCCAATCATAACCAAACCATAATCTTATAAAAATAATATAAAAAAATAAGTGTCATTAACTAAAATTTTAATAAAAATAAAAAATATATATTTTATAAATAATTTTTATTTAAAATACCATATAAATATATATAAATATATACAAACACAGCTGACCATGTTAAACATAATTCTTAATTTACTTTTGTCTATTTTATGCACTGGTCCTGGAGTTTGGATATAGAAAAAGGACCCAATATTACAAATTTCGGCCTGAACTTTCCAGTTGTTATTCAGGTTTTCAAGTAATCTTGTCAAAAGATCCGATTTAACTGTCTTGGCTTTGGCCTAAACAGAGGCCATGAGCATTATCCCAGTAGAGCATATCAACAATCAGACAAGCAGAAACTGACGACAAAAACAGATCAATGAAGTAAGCAAGGTACAGAGTAATCAGTCAGTGTTTCTCCTCCCAATCTCTTTACTTGTAACTTTGAAGACAACAATAAACTATTACAGGTCACATTCTCCCCATAGATAATGGCATCTACGTTGGTAACACAATTGGTTTTAATACTGAGAATAACAAGTGCAAGGGGGAGATAAACAAATTTGGCAGGGAATGAAATCCTCTTAAATTACATGCCCCATTCTTTGGCCTAAAATTCTAAAAAAGCAGGCAACAAAGCAAGAGGCCAATCCAATGGTTGAATGAGATTCGATTACCGGTGTTAAGTACTGGAGTCCCTTTGGAACATTGGGGCAGGGAATGGTGCCCACAAGACATGGGAGTTTGAAAGCCATTGCAAAAACCACTGCTAGATGGGTTATCTACAATTACTTCAAACTAACCAAGCAAGAACCTGAAAACGTCAGTAAGTGAGATAATGCCTTCCACACGGTTACTGCCAGCCTCCACAATAACAAGGCGTCTAACACCTGAAATCATGTCAGGGAAAGTAATGTCATACAGTGATATTTTTTCAAAATTATAGTACATAATTTATAGGGAAAATTACAGTGGCAATGCCACTCGATAGATTCCCATGCTACATTACTGATTAGAAGACCACCAAAGACACATGCCTAAAATCATTATCCTTTAAGAAGGAAAAACACAAATCTACCAGGTTTTGAAACAGAAAAGAGAAAGTCACCAGGGTTAGCCAATTGTTCCATCACTTTAAGCAATGCATCGGTGCGCAAACACATCTGACATCTTTGACTTCTTTCATAAGGACTGCTAGAATCTTGTCCCAATTGCAAAGCCTAATGGTTAAATAGAGAAAAAAGATTAGGAAACAAGTTTTCTGCAATATAAGAAGATACTGGTTTTCAACCAATAGGATCAGCCGAGATGCAATTTACATTAGTTGGAACATGGACAAGGTTCTTAGTTTTCATTTTCATAAGGTGGAATGGATTCATTTAATCAGAGAAACACTTTAAGTCAGTTCAGCCAGGAATTATGTTCACAGTTTGAACCAGAGTTTCTTCAATGAGATTTTACCAATCATGCAACCTTAGGACTTCAATATCATTGAATAGGTATGAAAGCCAACATCACAAGATGATGTTGGCTTGCAGAGAGTACTAGCCATTATGAGCAATTACACTGCAGAACCTTGTTTGAGACTACCAACAAAAATTAGGGAAATGAATTTTGAAAATATCCACTTCTCCAAGAATTATCAGCTCCAAAACTTCCTCAACGCATCCAACCATGTTTGGGTAGTCAAATGCATAAACTAGAGAAAAGGAAAAACAAAGTCACAATAGTTACCTGATAAACAGTCATTTCATTTAGATTATGTGTATAAGCTCTGCCTTTTGCCAAAGCTGTTATATCACTGAAAAAAAAAAGACAACAAAGTAATGAACACCTATCACCAACAATCCAAGCTGACAGTAAGTTTTGCATGCTAGAAAGATAATCAATCAAGAATGACACTTTACCTCCGACAATATATGTCCAGTAACGAGTCATTATCATCAACTATAGGTATTGAACTTACTTGAGCTGTGAAGACAAAGGGCAAAACCTTATCATACCAATATCCAACACATAACTACATGAATATATCTAATCAATTTGGGGTAACCTCTTGAGGTATTAAAATCAACCTTGTTCTTCTAACTTCAAGAAAACCATAAATAATTGTCTTTTCTCTTCCTTATTTATACTCTCTTATATCTTCCACAAAGTGTTGACAAAACAGGAAGCATACCTTGAACTAGCAGATTTAATGCTGAAATAAGAGATGTAGTAGGTCTCAGCATCGCAAATGGCCGACTGCTGGATTCTCCAATTCTTGGAACCCATGTACCAAGATGGATTGCATAAATTGGTAATTGTAGTATGGGCAAGGAGCCAGGACAATGTTTAAAATACTTGCACATGCCTAGAAATCAAACTCCATTGGTTAGGGAGAAAGAAGATATGTACTACCCAACAAATAAAAAAAATATATTGTTAATTGAAAAAACTATTAAAAGCCTTACATTTTAGTATTCCAGAAAGAGCCGCAAGATGTAATAATTGGGGAAATGAACCATCTTCAGAGGATGAATGGATAACAGGAATTATAGCAACTCCATTTTGCAAAATTTTCAAAGCTACATCCTTCAAATTATCATGTGGCCCAGCCTGCATAATCAACAAGAAGGGTCCATAACACATGCACAATTATCAAAAAAATGCTGCCTCTCTCAAATGGCATATCACAAGGAAAATTAAAGATGAGGCAAGAATTAAAAAATATAACAGAAAGGAACCAGAAGATGCAACCTTCTCAAAACAACAAAGCAAAAGGAAGAATAGCATGTAGTAAATAGGTATCGGCAACAAATGACCAGAAAAAAAGAAAGAAAATGACAGTTTTTTTTTTTTTTTCTAATGACCATTTTACTTGAAAAAAAAAAGTTGCATCAAGAGGAGCGTGGTTATTTTACTTGAAACAGCACCCTTCATTTCTACAAACAGAAAGCAGACTGGAAAGAGCATAAAAAAAAAAAAAAATCTTTCTTAAGTTATTATCTACAGTAAACCACAATATTAAACACTAACAGAGATGAGATGTCTTGGAATTGGTCTCCCATGCCCATCGACTTGCCCATTCATGTATGCCTTTCCCTCTTTCCAGGCAGAAATAGTGTGTGTTTCAAGCTCTTCCTCTGTCAAATTTGATCCATGATTTCCAAGCTGCATAACAAAAAGAGTATGCATTAAGAGAAAAAAATACACAGAAAAAAGGTCCATCTATCAGACAATTATCTAGTTTAATATCTAGAAACTTTCTAGCTGCTTGGAATTAGAATAAAATGAAAAATCTTGGTAGAATTTAGAAGATTTGCTAGAACCAAAAAGACTTGATTCTGCATTATGAGCATACCTCTCTCAGAATCAATATAAAATCCGAAGCACTAATAACTCCAACAAACTTCCCCTTGTAGAAGTCCCAAAGAGGAGCCATAGGGATACCCTGAAAACAGCTTGACTCAGAAAAGATAGGTATTCAAGCTATTTATCAGCAACATGTGAATATGCATGAAAGTTACCAAGAACATAAGTAATGTCCATGGAGAAATCTAGATGCATCTACAGCTAGAAAAGGCTCTAAGAAGCAATGATTAGCAAAGGAAAAGTACAGGGGTTTGCTCTTTCTCTCTTTCTTTGTTTTTATGATGGCAGATTATGTGGCTACATAGAACATGTATCTTATCCAACAAAAAGATCAGGAACCGTTAAATGAAAATAACTATATTCACTCCACAGACATCCCAAAATAATAACTAAATTCTAACTTCTGAATAAGCTAAACAGATACCTGCTCAGCCAGAATATGAAATGCTTGTTTTACAGGCAAATCAACATCCAAGGCGACAACCTGTAAGGCAAATCTGTCTAAATTAGCAAAGTGGAAGTAACATGCACTGACCAGAGTCAAACATGCAGAGAAATGTGTAAATCATGAAGGAGGGCAAATAGGAAAGTGTCCAAACCTTGCCTGACTCAGGTAGTAATTCATAAGCGGTATGTGCAGCCAAGAATACAGAGATTTGATGACGGGAGGCCTGTACATCCTCTTCTAAAATCCTAGGCATTGCTTGATTCAATGTAACCGCAGAAATTCGATGCTGCATTGAAAAAAGGTACCAAAATCCACTCATACAAGAAAGTAAAAAAAAAAAAGGTTTTAATGAATAAATAAATAAATAGATAAGGTACATGTTGAGCATGCACTAACAACTAAAATTCAAAAAGCATTTATCAGATACAGACTACAGTGCGCATGCATAACTAGATTTATGAAAAATTAACAAAAAAATAATACCCAATCATTAGAGTCCATTTAGCATTGCAATTGGAACTGAATTTGACTGCAAATGCAGTGCCAAACAGCGTTAAGTTTTGATAAAATATTGATCGCAATGAATTGTTATCAACCAAAAAAGCAGGTTCATACCTGCTTTTGCAACCTACTTTTGTAATTACGATGAGTTTGATTTTTATCGTAATTTTTAATCTCAATCACAATGCTAAACTAGGCCTTTAAAAAGAAAATTATTATCAGGAGAATGTTACGTATAAATTTAAGGAATACAACCGACTCTTACCGTGAGACCGGTATCCACTTCCATGTTATTCAGTAACTCTGAGTGTGGTTGTACCTGAGGGACCTCTGCAGGTACAGGTAGGGTGTCAAAAGTGTTAACTATTCCGTATTCGCCATTCTTATGAGGTTGCCGTTCATCATGTCGCCATTCACCATCAACAAGAAACTTGTACTACATGTAAGAACCAACACAAATTTGCAAAAAAAAAAAATACAAAGAAGAAGGTCATGGCTAAAAGATCTGGATTGACATGCTCGTGCTTGAAAATAAAACCATCCTAACCTAAAGACTATCAACGATAGAACTTAAAATGCTCAATTAAACTAATAGAAATAGCACAACAATTAGATAAGAATATTGAACAAATTAGAAATTACCCATATTTCTAAAAAAAATTGAATTTCCAATTCCAATAGAGCAAACTAACAAACCTCATGGCAACCGTGTGGTACGGCACAAACGACTTGAAACACATTGGGGCTACCTTCAACCTGTGACATTAGCACGAGCTCCGTCCACCTTTGTTTTCAAATAATTAACCATTAATCCAAATACAAATTGTAAGCCTAAACATCATAATACTTCACGTCAATGGCGTCTTAAACAAAAAGAAGGTTAATTAAAGTGTCACCTATTGAAAGAACCAGATAGGAAGACACTTCTCCCACCATGTGGCCACGTAAATTGAATTGGAAACAACACCGTGCCGCCGGTGTTTACTCCGCCGGCATCCCTGGCCGGATTCATATCCGATGCAGACATTTGGCAGCCGCCTTTTTAATTGAATTAATTCTTAAAAAAACAAATCACCTTCTTCTTTTAACAAAATTTTCTTCTCTCTTCAATCACTGCAAAAAAAAAAAAAAGAAAAAAAAATCGAGTAAAACAACGATTATAATGTCAAAGAGTCGCGTTTTGCTTGATTGTACGGACAAAAACCCTAACTTGGAACTCACCAAACAATGGAGGCAAAAGGGTAGCTTTGAATTTTGCGGGAAAATTTTTCTGTTAAATATGAGATAAATAAAAATCGAAACCCTAAAAAGGAATTGCAAAACACAAAAGAAAAAAAAATGTTAAATTTTTTTAATTTATTGAATGTGGGTGTGAAGATCGAGAGTGGGGTTTCTTGCGATATGATCTAATCTGATTTTTTTTTATATAATATTTTCTTATTTTTTAATTTTGGAAACCCTAATAAAAGAAAAGATGAAAGCTTTGAAAGGGACGCTGAACGGCTGATGGGTAATTATCGTCTTTGTTTGGGGTAAATAAGAGGGAGACTACGAAGCTGGAAGGGCATTTTCATATTTACCCCCTTTTTTTACTGTGGAGTTTTAGGGAATTAACGGTGTTTTCTAACTGTCAAACACTCAAACTGTAAAATCTTTCAGTTAATGTCCAACGTTCGTTTGTTTGAGAGTCTTTTGTTTTGCGTTCTGCTAAACACGTGCGTTTGTTTGGTGGGACCAATCACTAATGAGGGACCAACCAAACGTCCACACCAGACTTTTTTTTTTCTTTTTTCATTTTATTATGATGAGATGAACCATGAATAGCATAGTGTTTATGGTTTAGAAAGATTCCTTTATTAAAAACAAAAAGTTTTTTTTTTTATCAAAAAAAGCATATTCCTCTTGTCTTTTTTTTTTTTTTATAATTAATGTTTTTGTGAAAAACTCTCGTCATATTCATTTTATTATTGAATCTTAGGCATTAATTCTCATCATAATTAACTTTTGTTTGTTTGAGATTTAGCAGTGATATATTTAGTATAAATAGAAAATTATGAATGAATTTATCAATTTTATCAAAAAGATATCTTAAAAAAAACTTTTTTTGTAATTTTTAATTTTTAAGAATGTTCATAAATATATTGTTTCTCTATTTAGATTCGTCATTAAATTTAAAGATTTATGTGTTAGTATCATATAAAATATTAAACTTTATATATATCATCAAATATGACTCGTATTAGAAACTAATGAGAGTCATGTAAATATATAATCAATTGAATTTGAGCTAATATAATATTAAGTTCGAGTATGATTCAAAATTCATGACTTAAAACTTGACTCAAATTTGTTTATTTTTTTAGCTCGAATTTGATTCGAAATTAAAATCGAACTATTTGAGCTCATTCGATTAAGCTTAATTGATCTATAAAAATAAGCTTGATTTTTATATTTGCTAAAAGTTTTATTATTTATGTTTGAATTTGAGCTTTAATTTCAAATGTTTTATTAATTAAAATATATTAAAATTTAAAAATTCAGTTAGACTCACGATGTATTTGAATTAGTTATAAAAATATTTAAATTTGATTCGATCGATAAATCAAACGACTCGAGTTCGAGCTCAACTCGATAATAATCAAATCAAATTCAAATTTTATTCGAGTTAAATCTAAATAATTTACGAATATTAATATATCATTTATAAGTCTCCCAAAATTTTAAACTTTCAAATATATATATTAAATAAATTAAATTCACTCTTTAAAGGCAACATGCTTTTATTTATTTGTACTTAACCTTTTAATTTACTTTTATGCATTGTAGTTTAAAAAAAGATTAAAATCACATTATTATATTATTTATCTATTTATTATACCAATTAATCATTATTTATAAATTAAAAATTTAAAATTAAGATATTTATTACAAGAATTAAACTACGATCATATCAATTTAATAAAATTCAAACTAATTTTTTTAGCTTCTTTGTAAGATTTTTTTTTAAAATAATAGTTTCTTCATAAAATTTTAAGCCTGCAATCAAGTACCAAACATTTTTTTTTCTTTTTAATCAATTACAACTTCTTTTCGTATAATTTTAATTTTTAATTTTGCTTTTAATATTTATCTTCAATTAACATACAATTTTTTTTAATTACAAAAATTAGATTAAAACCACTTTATAAAAGTTAAAAAAAAACATCATAACTTCTAATCTCAAAATTTTAACTTTATTTTTTTTAATGATAGATTTTATTTTTACTTATTTTGAAGAAAAATATATATCTAACAATTGATTTATTTATATTTTTTTTGAAAAAAAGTCATTCATAATTTTAAGTAAAATTATGTATTTGATATATTATGTTTCTTATTATAATTATGTATGAATTAATAAAATTTATAAATTTATAAGTTTTTTTAGTACATTTCTTATATATATATAATATAATAAGATAAATTTTTACATTTATTTTCACTTAATTAAACTCTCGATTAGATAAAAATAATTAATTATTTTTTAATAAATATTTAATTGATGAAAATAAATATTTAAAAATTTAATTAATTGCAACAAAAAAGGCTTAGATTATATTTGAATTTTAATTCAAAAGCTTTTTTTATCCTTTTACCTTGATTTTTTTTATAAAAAAATCCGTAAATTAAGGAAAATAAAGGAAAAAAAACTATAAATATATAGAATAAAAATTTGAAATTACGATAATTTATTTTTTATTTGAATTAAATTTTAAATTTATATAGATCAAACTCATAAAATAAAAGAGGACTCTCTTTCATGAAATGAAAGAAACCTAAAGAGAGTTGCCTTCATATAGAAGAAAAAAAAGGATTCTCTTTTGCTCCACATAATGTGAAAAGATTGGAATAAGTCACAATCATGGAATTTATTTTTCATGACAAAGGCCAACAACAAAGATCCATGGAACGAATGCCAAAGTAAAATTTTTTTGACCTATAAAACGGCACCGTTGTGCATCAATCACAATTTGTAACTAGATCTTTCCAAGCTCCTGCCTCCCACGAGCCATCATTTTCTATTTTTGTTTCAAATAAAATTAATAAATTCAATATCATAAAATAGACACCACAATTAATATATTTGTATATCGTAAAATATTAATAATTTATATATTTATATTAAAATTTATAAAAATTAAATATTATAAATTTTGTTTATATGAAATATAAAAATATAAAATATATATTTTAAATTTTATTAAATTTATTTTAATTTTTTATTTAAATTTTAAATAATGTTATTTTTATATATTTTATTCATATTATTTTTATATATCATTATCATGTTATATTTTATATTATCATGTCATTATCATCTAAAAGAGGAAAAAAAAAAATCCAAATTAATACATTAAAAACTATACAAAAGAAACCCCGAAAAATACACACAAAAACAACTGCTCTTTGTCTCTGTTTTCCTTTTTTTTTTCAGAAGAAAGTGTGAACAGTTTTCTGGAAAAAAAAGACCGGAAAACGAACTCGGCACCGCGACGCGGAACGAGTCAATCCCGAGTCGGCGGCACTCGTCGATCACTTCAATCTCGATCGTCTGATCATCAATATCTCTCTGATCGTGAGTTAAAGAAAAAAGAAAACAATTGAAATATTAATTGACAAATTTTATCAAATTGATTGATTAATAAGGGTTACTTATTTTTTTTTTTAATTGGATAGGATCCAAGTCGGTTTTCGGTGATTTTCTTTGTATGTTTTGGAGGGTTTTTTTAGTACTCTATTTTTTTAAAAAAAATTTTGTGTTTTAAATTTTGGTGATGTTGGATTTTCGGGAAAGAAGGGAAGTGGAGGGCTGAGGGGTTAGGGTTAGGGTTTTGGGGTGGTGGGATTGGAGATGGATGAAAATTCTGACCTTGAAGAAGGAGAAACTTGCTATTACAAAGATGATGACGACAATATTAATCCCGATACCGCCTTCTCTTACATTGTAAGGTTTAATTTTTGTTCTTGTTTTTAAGAAAAATTAATCGTTTTTTACACCCTTTTTTCTCGTTTGAAACTTGGGATTATGCTTCAGTTAATGTCATTTGAATTTTGGATAGGAATGGTGCTTAATTATGAGTTTGATAAAGCAGTTATGGTTTTTTATAGGCTATGCAGTTCTATAGGCTTTGTTGGAAGGAATGGTTAATTTGAAATAATGCTTAATTTTGGGTTTGATTAGGCATAAAAGACAATTACTAATCAGAATGAGTTGTGGCTCTTTATATGCATTAGAGTTCTATGAGGCTTTCAGTTTGAGTTTATATGTGGTTTATTTGACCATTGATTCACTAATATACAATTTGTTGAGGAATGAAGGAGTGACCAAGTCAACTTTTGAGGTTGATTTTCACTTCTTTTCATGGTTAGTAAATGGAAGTGTTATTTTCACATGCTTTCATATTCAAATACTTGGTTTAGCTAGGTTAAATTTTCATCACTAGGAATGTTATGAAACAACTGGAAGAATCTCCTTTAAAGGGCAATTTCATGTCTTTTTGCAGTTTTGTTGCTAGTTTTGCAATGTGATAGTATTTTAATGATAAAGAAGATACACCATCGTCAAGTCAATTCCCCCCTTGTGATTTATGGGGTAAAACTTTAAAGTCAGTTAACTTTCTTACTAGTAATTAATTGACATGTTATTTGAGAAAGCTGAGGCATAGAAAAGAAAGTAAATAATGTGGCCAAAAAAAAAAAAGGAAGTAAATATTGGGCTGAACTTCATAAAGTACTTGTCTCTTAGCAACAATTTGATGCATTATAAAAAATTCCTTGCCTGGATGATCTCTGAAACTTCCTCAATGTTTGGATTTTTTTATCTTGATACTGTTTGTTTGAATGCACAATGAAATGTAATTAACTTTATCTGTTCGTTTAATTTATTTGATATAATTAAACTATAAGTAATTCTTATGTTATTGTTGAGCTCCTGAAAAGAATGGACTTCTAGATGTTTATAACTGTTGGCTTGTTGTGCCTGTTATTGATGTAGTTCAATCTGGTCCATATATGAGTTTGAATATACATTAACTTTTAAAATTCTCCGTTTTACTCGATTAGTAATGTGGGATTTCATTTCTTAAAGGATGAGAAGATTAAAAACGTTTTGGGCCATTTTCAAAAAGATTTTGAAGGTGGGGTTTCTGCAGAAAATCTGGGTAAGTGCTTGTTCACAGTTCTAACAAATTTTAAGTACTATATTGCGAGCTTAATGTTTTTCATTGAATATGATGGACTTAAATTATTTTTCCAGGGGCAAAATTTGGTGGGTATGGGTCATTTCTACCTACCTATGAACGCTCTCCTCCAAGATTATCATGTCCAAAGACACCACAGAGAAACTCCAGCACACCAAGGTCTCCCAACAATTTATCTATGGAGGTATATGGACAGTATCCTTACTATAGCTTGGTAATTTCTTTGGAAGATGTCCATTGCTGTTGCATAGACAGCTTATAAAATTCTAGTTCACTTGAGTGCTGTGGATTGTGTTACCATACAGGGTGCGTCTCAGAATTTGAAAGCTCCTCCAAATGCACCCCCAACTGGGAGACTTGGCAATGCTTCCTGCCCAAGTGGCAATATTGCAGCTAAACATGATTCACATTTGTCTTCTGCTCAAGCTGCTGAGAAGTCTGCCTTGAAGGATGAGAGTTTTAAGAGAGCAGGGATTTCCAGTGATCAGAAGACGTTGAAGGTTCGAATTAAGATGGGCTCTGATAACAAAGTTAAAAAAAATGCTGCAATCTATAGTGGTCTCGGGCTTGATTATTCTCCATCTTTGTCATTGGGGAACAGTCCTAAGGAAAGTGGAGGAACATTGATGATATCTCAAGAGACCACTAGCAAATCACCTACTAGAATTCTTCAGGTAGAGGTTTCTCTTGGTTATTTTCAGTGTCTGCATATGAACTAAAAAGGATGCACTGATATTTTATGCCTTTAAACAGGTTATGACTTCTAATCATGTCCCTGGTGGTGTACTCATATCTCCTCTTCATGACAGTCTGCTATGCTTATTAAGAAAGGAAGAGGAAAGACCTTCTAGAGGTAGTAAATCTATCCCGTTGCTTAAGGCTTGTCAAGAACATTCTTCTGGGTTAATAGATGAGTCCATTTTGGGTAATGGAAAACAAGTAAATGATAAGAAAACAAAATTTTTAATGGGGAAAAGCGAAAAGCTTGTGGAATCAAAGCATGGAAATCGCATGAATGTTGGGAATGGCAAGACATTGCTCATAGAAAAGAAGTATGAAAATGAGATTGCAGGAGGGAAGGAGTTGTTGCCCAATGACTTGAAACACAGAGCTCTATCTAATTCAGTGAATGTTGCTGACACGATGGAAGCCACTGCTAGGGCATGTGATGTTTCTGTGGAATCTAATCAGAATGCATCAAGAGGTAGATTGTTTTCCTCTGACTCAGCAAAGGAGGATTCTTTGGAGTCAATTTCTGGAAGGAGTAGAACTAGTGGCAAGAAAAAGAAGCAGGATAAGCATGGTAGTTCAGTTGAAAAGGTTTTGGAACATTGTGCAGTAAATTCCCATAAGAATGCTTCACTTGACCTTGAGGATAATGTTGGGAGCAAATTTTACCAAAATTCTGCCCCTTTAAAATGTAAGGAAGATTCAAAAACAAAGGTTGATCAGATAGCTACATTTCGTTTACAAAATAAAATAAATACTCCCTCCAAGAAGGACAAAACGTTGTCTGAGGGCAAGAAGAAGTCGAAAGCTAGCAAAAATACTGGACAAATTGCTGACTCGATGAAGGAAAGTTTGAGACTTGATGTGGGTGGAACACCTAAAGGTACCACTAGTTCTAGTCTGGGTTTTTTATCAGGTAAAAATAAGATTCAGAAGTTGAAGTTGCAGAAGGATATTAATAACGTCCAAGATAATCATAGAGATGCTTTGGAAACAAATTTCGAACAAAAAAGTGATCAAATGGAGCGGTCAATGAGGCATTTTCAGAATAGGCCAAAAGATTCTGGTCCAATGGATTCCAAGACGGAGCAGAATGGCTATTTGGATAAGTCAAAGGAAATATTTAGTGGTAGAAAAGTTGAGAACCAGCTGTTGGGAGTGGATGCTCCAGGTTTGGTTTCTGACCTCACTGGTAAGACACTTGCCTCTCAGACAGTAGCACCAGCAGCAACTGCTGCTATAGTCATACAAGAAGATTGGGTTCAGTGTGATCGTTGTCACAAGTGGCGACTTTTGCCTTTTGATACTAGACCAGAACAACTGCCTGAGAAGTGGTTGTGTAGCATGCTTAACTGGCTGTAAGTGCCTTAGATGAGTATCAAATAAAGTTTTTGCTGCATATGCCTGTCTCTTTGTTTGAGTGCATGCTATTTGTTTGTTTATGGACTTGTGCACACATGGTCCTTGACATTCAAATAAGTTGAAAAACCTCTTGAATAATAGTTACATGCATAGATGCATTGTCTATGTGTGTGAACATATGCATTTATATTTTGCATTTGCTGATTTTTGTTGTTGAAAACGTTGTATAGGCCTCGAATGAATCGGTGTGACATTAGTGAAGAGGAGACAACAAAAGCTCTCAATGCATTGTACCAGGTTCCAGTTTTTGAGAATCAAAATAACCCACAAAATCATGCAAATGGAACTATGTCATTTGTTACTTCAGCTCATCTTCAGCATCTTGATCAGAACAACTCTAGTTTCAATTCTCAGGCGTCATCTATTCAAGGAAAGAAGAAATATGGCCTGAAGGAAGTGCAGAAAGCAGGTAGCAGTGCCCTGAGTCTGATGTCAAACTTTAGAAAAAACCAACAGCAGGAATCTTTGAAAAGCAGGAGCTTAAATGACGTGAACAAGGTCCCTGTTGAATCAAATCTCACAAAGAAATCCACCATTGAACAGAAAGAAAAGCATTCAGTTGGAGGTATTTAGTTGACTTTAGAGCCTAAATTTCACTTTTAGTCAGACGGTTTATTGAGATTATTTATTGTATTTTTTTGGGATTGTTTGATTGCAGATGAGACCAAGCAAGCGAAGATGAAAAACAAGAGGGAGTCTGGTCTATATGCATATGAAGGTTCAAAGAAAACCAAAACAGAAGTTATAAACACTACTGATAAACATCAAAGTTCTAACTTGGACCCCAGAAGGGTGGGCCTTAATTCAAGCACTAGCTTGCCAACTCAAGCAAATGGAACCAGTTTGCAGAATTATAATGAGTGCTCTAATTATGGAGATGTAAAACATGATATGAAAGAAAGATCAATAGTTTCTGTGAAGAAACTTGTGGATCAAACTCAGGCCTCTTCAGATGATGGGTCATTAGACATGAGAATATGTGATAAAAGGGCTTCTGTGAAGAAAAGGAAATTGGACGACTGGCAGAGCAGTCAAAATGGGCACGAGTTATGTATGAAGGAAGAAAGTAGTGACAGTGGATTTCGGAATGAAAAGAGGTCACGAGTTCCAAAGATTGAGGGGAAGCAGTCCCATAGAAATGATGATGATGGTACATCAAACAGGAGAAGTATGGATAATTTCATTGGTGGCATTGAAGAAGTCAGAAGTATTGATAGGAACCACCAACTAAGTAAACACAAGAAAATGTCCTCATCTCAAAAAACTTTGGATGGCCTTGATTCATTGAGAAGGCATTCTGGAACTAGACAAATTTTGATGGCAGCAACTTCTAGCTCTTCAAAGGTTTCTGGTTCCCTTAAAACTAGAGTAAATTTTGAAGAAGCAAGGGATTCACCAGCTGAATCAGTTTCTTCGTCTCCCTTGAGGACCTCATATCCAGAAAAACTTGCATCAACTGCAGGGAATGGTTCAGGGAAGGATGATGCTGCAAATAGTGGCATTCATCTAAGCAGCAATTTTAGAAGATGTTGGGATGGTGAAGGTACATTTGAGCTTGCTCAATCTGCTACAGAAATGAAAGAGAAAGTATCAGTTGATTTTCAACCCAGATCGCGTAAATCTTCTTCCCTGGATTATCAGGATAGAGATTCTATTTGCAAAATCAGCATTAAAACTAAACCTTCTTCTAGATTGGGGAATAGCCATTTGCTCAATGGTGATACTCATTCTGCAGAAAAAGCACAGTATGCGGTAGAACATTCCCATATTGAGGATAGAGTGAACAAGGAGTGCCATGGCAATGCATTATTTTCTCAAAGATCTGATAAGTTTTCTTCTTCAAAGACGAAAGAAAGTGAAAGAAGTTCTGCTGCAGATAAGATGAAGGTTCATGATCCAACAGATGAACAGGAAGGTTCATGCTCCAGAAAGAGCATGCGGTATCGATCAGATGTTGACCCCAAAGGTCATGCATCTCTTCGAGAAACAATTGCCGATTTTAAGTGCAATTTCCCTAAATCTAGCAAGGGTGAGAATAACTATGTTGGAAGGAGGGATCCTTCAGGAAAATGGTCAAGTGATGGCAGAATGGAGACCCAGTCAAATATAAAGCTTGATGAATTTGATGCGAAATCTACTGCTCCATGCAGCACAGAGGGGAACACTGCCCCTGAGCAAAATATGATCCAGGATTTCAATGGTCAAACTAAAGTAATGCAAGTAGCGATTAGAAGTGGAATGCCAAAATTGTCCTTGCATTGTGAAGTTGAAAGTCGGCAAGAAACAAAAGGTCATCATACAGTACCAGAAGCCCAACTGGGAGTTGTCTCTGATGGGATTCCAGTTAATGGCTCTTGCAATGTCGACGTGTCTAAGGCTTTGAAACAGCCTGGAAAGGCTGGCAGCAAGAATGGATCTGCCCACAATTTGGGACAGCGCATGCCTGATTTGCCTTTGGTTAGAGACTTCAATGCTTGCAGTCCTGTGAGAGTAAATTCCTCCAGCCAGGCAGCAACTAATGCCCTGAATGATGCTAAAGAGCTTACAAATTATGCTGATCATCTTAAGGTTCCTTTTCAGATTATTTTGTTCTTACATTGACATGCCACTTTCATAAAAGTTATAAAAAATGGTTCTTGCTATCCTAACTGTTACTACCATTTCATTGTTCCCTTTCAGAGTTCTGGTTTTGTTTTTGAAAGCAATGAGATTTACTTCCAAGCTGCCCTTAAGTTTCTTGGTGTTGCTGCGCTTCTAGGGAACAGCACTATTGAGAGTGGTAGACATGGGGAGATGAACCAAATGCAAGTGTATGGCACTGTCACCAAACTTTGCGAGTAAGTGAATGGTTCAAAAGTGATGGGAAACTGTTGTTTCTTGAACTTAAATAGATTGTTTTTTTGTTTACATTTACATTAGGAGTGTTGATATATACCTATATCGTGCTCTGCACTGAAATTCTCAAGTTCACAGAATGTGTGCACAAGAATATGAAAGACGCCAAGAAATGGCTGCTGCTGCTTTGGCCTATAAATGCATGGAGGTAGCATACATGAGGGTTGTTTACTGCAAACATTCTACTAGCAGCCGAGACCGGAATGAGTTGCAAGCAACTTTACAGACGGTTCCTAAAGGTAAGAAGTCATCTGATGGATATATATTCTGGCTTGTTTCTCTTTCTGTGATTAATTGCACATCCCTTTAGATGGTGCAAATCTTCTATTTGGTGATATTTATCTTTAAAATGTGAATCATGTGCAATAAGTGGTGTTATCTCTGGGGGAGTAGTGCTGGGGTTGTGTTTATTTTGATTTAAGGCAGTCAGCAGTGCATGTGGCTGTATTAAGTTCTATATATTTCATATTTGATTTCCCCTTCCTACTGAATCCTCATTGGGCTACTGCCCTAATTGTAGTTGCATATCATGCTAAGGGGTCTAACATTAAATATTCACATTAAATAGACACTTTTTGTTTCGGTTAAGATGCAATTTTAGTTACTAAAATTGTTTCTTCCATGTTAATTAGTAGTCACATGTTGCAATGCTCTGAGATCAAGTACCTCACAATACCTTTTAAAATGGCTTCTTTCAGGTGAATCTCCATCATCTTCTGCATCAGATGTTGATAATAACTTAAATAATCAACTGGCAATGGATAAGGCTCCATTAGCCAATGGTAATATTTCACATGTTGCCGGAACTCATGTCATTGTTGCTAGAAACCGCCCAAGTTTTGCACGGCTGCTTGACTTTGTAAGTTGATTCAGTCTTACCAGCTAACAAAACGTTGGTAGGTTAAAGTGTTAATATGTTACTGTTCTGCAGACACAGGATGTAAGTTTCGCAATGGAGGCTTCAAGAAAATCCCAAACTGCTCTTGCAGCTGCTAATTCCCTGGAAGACACACAAAATATAGAGTGTATTACTTCTGTTAAAAAGGTGATTGATTTCAGCTTCCAGGATGTGGATGGACTTATATGTTTGGTTCAGCAGGCTATGGAGGCCATAAGTCGTTCTGGTTTAGGCAGTGCTAGAGATTAAGTTACCATTGTATATATTGTGTTTTTTGGTTTATAACCCCAATGTGCATTGGAGAAGAAAGGGGAAAAAGATGCCTACTTAGACCTTTATTTGGAAACAACCAAAGATGCGGGTCACCACCAGCCTGTTGCCTCTCTGTACACGTGTACAAAGTGAGATTTTTGCAAATTTTGTAATGTATATTTTTGATATTCACCTTCTTGTTGACATCGATAAGAGCACAGCATGCTCACCCTTAAGTTTTCTGGGTTAGCAAAGAGGACAAAATTCTAGCTTGTTCAGCAAGAGGTTTGGAGTTATATGTAAGATGTCCGTTCCATATAGTCCTATTTCTTTTGCTCCATTGTTTTGGGGCCTGAGGCTAAGAATATATATAGAGGTTAGAAATTATTAGGCAACCATTTTGAGGAGGTTGAATACTCATATAGTGTTGACAAATTATCAATTTATCCATTAATGGTTCTCTGTTCTGTTTACAACTTTTTCAGAATTTTATTGGAATGGGGAATTAGATTCTTTTGGAAGGTTCCTGTGTATTTTTATCATTATCAAGCTTGGTGTGCTTTAGATAATTGTGCAAGTTTCAAACTTAGAGAAGCAATCTGCATTTTCAGGTATGCTATATTATATCATGCCATATTTTTCAGCATATTATGTGAAATTAACATCTGACAGTAACTTTGCTTTCCTTCCTTTCTTCTGCTTCTGGCTTGTTTTCATTACTTTTCTCAGAACTATGGTGGATAGAGGCATGCGGTGTCTTAATTTGATCATTGTGGGTGTAAATAATCACATGCAGTCGTTTCGAGTCGAAAGAATCAAAGAGTTCATATTCTTTTTGGAGTTGAGGGGACACCCAGAGGAGGATTGTTAACTTAGAAGTATCTTTCTTTGCTTTAGATTAGTTAACTGCTTCATGCTTCATTGGTGTGAACTGCAAATCTGTTGATGAGAGTCCTTCACATGTAGTGCTTAGTTTTCTTCTGTCCACTCCCTTGTATATATATTTTTTGGTTGACTAATTATGTCTAATCTGTGTGAAAGCTTCAATTTTCTGGGTTCAGTCAGTGGATTGCAATCATTTGTATTTGCACAAATCTTAGGTTGAAAGGAATTGGCTTTGTAATTTCAAACTTCTGACAGATTTGGGAGGATATCCTTCTTTGCTGATTTACCAATTATTCAATACAATGAAATGAATATTTTCTTGAATATGTAACCAATATAGCTTCTAGTTTGGATTTTGTCTATAAATGATCTTTACTTTTGGTCTGGGCATATCTAAATTGATCTCAAATTATCTAAAATTTGCCACATCTTTGATTATGTCATTTTCACTGATTTTCTTTATTAAAGCAAGATCAAATTGAATGTGATAATTTTCTAGCACAAGGCTAAACAAAAAGATACAATTAACATCACCAAAAATCTCTGCAAGTGCAGAGTCCTTTGTCAAAATGATGAAACCTGTTAACATCTCTCACGACGATATCTCTCTCTGTGATCTCACTAATCCACTTGAATGCCTCATGGCAATCTCTGCACATTCTCAAGTTTTTCATTATTCTAATGGTTACTCCATTGGGTATACTTATCAACCCAAAAGCCAAGGCAAGTTTCTCACTGTGAAGGCCTACTATTTCTTCCATGGCTTCCTCTTCCACATCAACGAATACCAAACCTGTTGTCCTTCCCTTGTAACCTCTCTCTTTCATTTTCCTTTCCAACTCCCTCAACATGCTCAATACCTCGCTCCCTCTTTCGAATGAGACGTCTCCGGCATAGAAGACGTAAGTTGAGTCCTTTATCTCAACCCAACTGCAGCCTGGTTCCTTGCAAACTCCATTCTGCTTCATTTTGGTCCGAAGACTGTGAGCATTCTCCCACTCACCAGCCAATACATAAGTGTTTGACAATGTAACATAAGCACTAGCTACTTGTTGATTGGATTCTATTACCCTTTTGCTAGCTTCAACAGCAATCTCTACCCTTCCATGAAGTCTACTAGCAGAGAGAAGTGTCCCCCACAACACCGCTCCTTCATCATTATTCACTTTAATAGATTTTGCTAACTGATAAGCCTCGTCAAGATGACCAGTTCGGCCAAGCATATCAACAACACACGTATAATGCTTTGCATCTGGCTCCATCCCATGTTTCCTAGACATGGAATTCAAGTACTCAAGGGATTCATCTACAAGTCCCGAATGGCTACAGGCATGCAAAACCGCAAGAAAGGTTACATTATTAGGCCTTATTCCTCTATCGATCATTTCCTCAAAAAGTTCAATAGACAATTTACCAAGTCCATGTTTCCCAGCAGCTACAATCATGGAAGTATATGGGATCACACAAGGATTCGAAACTCTTCGAAAAACCCTATCAGAGTAAACAATACAACCACATTTGGCATACATATCCACCAATGCACTGGCAACTACATCATCCAAATGATGGCCACATCGAATCACTGCCCCATGTGCAACCTTCCCTGAAATCAACTTCCCCAAACTTGCACAAGCATTAATAACACTAGCCAATATAAACTGATTTGCATGCTCCCGAACTAACCAATTAAATTCTCTAAAAACTTCAAGTGCTTCATGCCCTCTTCCACTTTGTGCATATGCTGTGATCATTGACGTCCAAGATACAACATTCTTACCCTCCATTGAATCAAAAACCCGCCGAGCTAAATCGACTTCATTACATTTCCCATACATATCAACAAGTGAAGAGCAAACCACAAGGTTAAATTGATAACCAAAAATCTCCACATGTCCATGAATTTGTTTCCCTCCTTTAAGATTAGCTAGTATGGAACACGCCTTAATAGCAGTTGCAAAGGTAAATTCATTTGGCAAAACCGTACCTTTTTGCATTTCTCTAAAGAGCCAAAGACAAATTTGAGGTTTACCCACGTTGATATAACCTGACATGAGAGAGCTGTAGGAGACAACGTTTGGTTCAGGCATTTCATCGAACAGTTGGAAAGCTGGGGCTGTTTTTTGAAGTCTAATGTAGCAATTTATGAGGTAATTAGTGGTGAAAGTGTCATTAAGGAAACCAGATTTAAGGATCTTAGCGTGGGTTAAGGTTGCAAAAACGAGGTCATTACAGTTTTGAAGGGTTTTGATGAAATAGATTTTCGTACGGAAGGTAAACGGCAGGGAGTTCATAGCAAAACTGAAATTTTGGTTCAAGGGCTTCCTTTGGGAAATAAAATTAAAAATAGAACAAAAATGTTCATTATTCGGTTAAAATCGAATTAATTAATCGGACATAAATAATTCAATGATCGTCAAAATTATTATTTTGATTACTTATCGAAAAAGATTTTGAAATAAGACTGAGATTAAGGTATTTCAATCACGTGAAAATTTGGTCACACTTAAAAAATCTTGTGTTTTTGAATAATACTTGTAAGAAAATTACGATATGTTTATTAAATTAATAAAGTTTTAAAATGATTAAATAGATACACTATAATATTTTAATTTTATTTATAAACAAACTTCAAAATGTATTAAAGAAATAGTCTCCCATTTATTGACCTAATAACTAAAAAGTTTTGAAAAAAAATATGTGAGCGTAGATTTTAATCTTATCACCTATGATCACAAAAAATATTATATTTATATTATATTTTATATAAAAATTATATATTATAATTTATATTAATATAAAAATATAAAATATAATTTTTTAATTTTATTCAATTTATTTATATTTTTATAAAATTTTAAATTATATTATTTTTATATTTTATATTTATATTATTTATATATTATATTACTGTATCATATTTAAAATTTACCTCCCAATCAAAAAAAAAATAAAGGAGAAATGAAAATAAGCCACCACGCCCATTGCAAATTGTACTTGTCAAAGTGAAAAAAATGACTGTAAATTCGTATATGACAGAGATGGAGAGAGAGAGAGAGAGAGAAAAAGAAAGAGGGATAATAATTTTGTCAAGAATGAAGGCAAACAAGTCATTAATATTAAAGGGGTCCTTTTCACTTTCCTCATCAATTGGACCGCCATATTTTGCTGTATAATCATGGGCTTGTTTGGTGCTCAAATGGATTTAAAATGGGTAATGATTTAAACCCCCCCCCCAAAAAAAAAAATTAAGGCAATGGTTATTCAGAAAGCAACATACACTCAAGTGAAGAAGAGAAAAAAAAAACATAAAAATCTTGATTACAGTCTCTAAATGAAAGATTCTCAATCTGATATTTTTGCTCACTTTCTGGTAGACAAGTTCTTGGCACTGCATTTAGTCTCTTGCATTAGTACTCTTTGGGGCAGCTCAAAATGATGTAGGATCCACCAATTTAGGTCACTTTTAGACTTAGGTTCCACTTTCACTTAGCTTTTTATCCCTTTCTTAAAAGAAATTTCATTACTTTTGGTAAAGTTTTTCAAAATTAAAAATCAAAATTTAAATCAATTGAATCACGTAACGTTTAAATTTTAATAACCATACAAATTATGATCTTTTTTGTAAAAGTCTATTGTTTGAGTTCGAGATGAAATGACTTTATCTATATTTATCTATTTAATTTAATTCATTAATTTTTTTTTTTTTGTAGAAAATGCAACATTGATTGAATTTTTTTATGCTGATAAATTCATAAGTATATATAAAAAGAAGTCTGAAAAACAGATAATTTAAAACTAAGCAAGCTGTTACAGTATAAAACTTGTAAATGTTTATCATCATGGAGGAGGAAAAAATGGCCAGTCCTATATTCCAAACCTTGTTGAAAAGTCCCAGGCAAGCTGTGGTCCAATTGCACTTTTTCAAGAACCATGGGTGAGATAAAGTGTCATGAACACCCATACTAAATTAAAGCATTGGATTGATCATTTAGTGCCTAACAGCTTAAGTCAGGAGGATCCTAAGAGAGCAGAGAAAGGGGAGGAGGAGGAGAAGGAGGAGGAGGAGGGTGGTGGTGGGGAACGAAGGAAGTGGACAAAGGCAAATTGACAATAACATCATCACTAGATTTGGTCTGCAGAAAAGGGGACATGTTAACTTCAGCACAATTGAAAGATGGCCCCTACTACTACTACTGCCACTCACAAAGTCTGCAAACTGCAATAATAGACAATTTTGGTGTACTATTACCCACTGTCAGATTCCATGCCCCTTTGAACTCTTTTCCTTTTGTTCACATATTTGATTTCATGTACAGATGATGAGGATCTGATGAAAACAGACAAACAAATTCACAGAAACATTATTTTTTTTGTATGTACTGTTAGGTTCTTAGGTGATCCATTTGTAAAGATATGTATGATATTTCAAGCAAGTGAGATTTTATGTGTGGAAAAAATGCACCCATCTGGTTGCAGCCCTACAGGTCAAGAATGGCATGGCAATAGCCAATCAGAATCCTTCAAATCACAATGAAGAACCCCTTCAATTATTGTTATCTTTCACAAATTTTCATTGCCAAGAATGAATATTCATCAAAGGTTTATGGATCGCTGGTTTTTCTCTTTCAATTGAGCATATTAAGTGTTCATATCATTCTATCTTCGACCTATGAGCTATTTTTTGTGGGATAAAATTATTAGGTCAAATAGGCGAAAACTGACAATACTTTGTAGGCTGAGATTGTTCTAAAGAGATTGAAACCAGGTCACATGATTGGCAATGGCCAAGAGAAAGAGTGACCATTTAGTCTAGTCAATAGTTTCTGTAATCTCACAAACGATAAATTGATTTGGAACATGAAAACTGTTGTACTTCACGCTGATTTTGAAATAAATGCAGATGATGAGCTACTAACAAAAACAGAAGGTAGGTCCACATTTAATATGAAAATGAAGTAGATTAAGCATAGACAGGGACAATTGATGGTGCATGTGGTATCCCCAGTCAGAGTTTTTAGATAAGAAGAGTTGGTCTCAGTCTTATCTTAACAAAAAGAAAAAAAAGTACTTGGAACTCAGAGCTTAGCTTAGGTGATTCATGTAATCATTTTTAAATATTGATCTCCCGTAAGTTCGAATTTCAAATTATAACATCTGTAATTATTTTTTTTTTAATTTTGGATTACGATATTCTTTGTATAAAAAAAGGGTTACTTAGACAAAAAATTTTGCTGTTTGCATTGAAGGAGACTTTGGTTTGGAGGAATTGAGATTTCAATGTCTAAATTTGTTTTCATTTCATGGGCAATAAAGCATCGATTCTTGCACTTGAGGTTTGACTATTCTAACAGTTGACAGGTTCCAGTTAACTACATAAAGTATATGGGGGAAGAGGGTTTTTACAAACTTTAGGATTCTCACTGTTGTTGGGGTACTATATTTCTAGTTTTCTATTTTTTTTTCTTTCATATTTGAGATTGTTGGACATCGAACCTGTCACAGGAACTAAAAATCCAGCAACATCACTGTTTGCTTTAGTTTGCTGTCTTGTACAAATACTAAGTGATAGACATCAAGTTTTTTTTTTTTTTTTTAAATCAAATTTTGGTTAGTGTTGAAAATTATAAAGTGCTTAAAAATGGTCCCCACACCTCACATTAAATCTGTAACAATGTGCAGAAATGCTGATATTCTCCATCTATAAATACAAGCTCTGTCTAAGAGCGGAGCTTCAAAGTAAACCTGATTACATTTCAGTTTCTACCAATATTCCAATTCTGCTTCATGGCTCCAGTGCCTAGTTTTCCTATTGAGGTTGGACATATTGATGATGTCCAAGAACTGAGAAAGGCCAAACCAACCACAATTCCTGAAAGATTTGTCAGAGACATGGCTGAGAGGCCAAAGCTTGCTGCAACTCTATCGTCACCTAGTGACATTCCCATTATTGATCTATCTAAGCTCATGAAAACAGACCAAGATGAATACCAAAGCGAAATTATGCAACTCAAAACTGCCTGTGAGGAATGGGGATTTTTTCAGGTACTAAATGCATAAACTTTCATGTCATCTGCTTTGTTAGAAAAGATGATCATGGAAGCTATATGTTTGATTGCGTTTCAGGTACTGAATCATGGGATTGATCTGAGGATGCTTGAAACCATTGAAAAAGTAGCCAAAGATTTCTTCATGTTACCTTTGGAGGAGAAACAAAAGTATCCAATGGCTCCAGGGACAGTTCAGGGATACGGTCAAGCTTTTGTGTTCTCAGAGAACCAGAAGTTGGATTGGTGCAACATGTTTGCTCTTGGTGTTGAGCCTCCTTTTATAAGGAACCCAAAACTCTGGCCATCAAAGCCAGCTGACTTCAGGTAAAAACCACAGTACCACACCAAATTTGAACCATAAAGTATAGATACTTTTCAATTTATTAAATGCAACTTCTTGCTTTTCAGAGAAACTTTAGAAACTTATTCAAAAGAAATCAGGAAACTATGTAAGAATCTTCTGAAGTATATAGCAGTGAGCCTTGGTTTAAAAGGGGATGTTTTCGAAGAAATGTTCGGAGTGGCTGTGCAAGCAGTAAGGATGAACTACTACCCTCCATGTTCAAGACCTGACCTTGTTTTAGGCCTTAGTCCACATTCAGATGGAAGTGCCCTTACAGTGTTGCAGCAGGGAAAAGATAGCTCAGTAGGACTTCAAATTCTCAAGGACCAAACATGGGCGCCTGTTCAGCCTATTCCTAATGCACTCGTGATCAACATCGGTGACACTATAGAAGTAAGAAACCTGGGGAACCAAAATTTTGAGATGTCCTTTTTAAGACATCAATGTTCAATCAGTTGTCTGAAATTTCTTGTAGGTTCTTACAAATGGAAAATACAAGAGTGTAGAGCACAGAGCAGTAACTCACAAGGAAAAAGACCGCCTTTCAATTGTCACTTTCTATGCTCCTAGCTATGAAATAGAACTTGGTCCAATGGCAGAATTGGTGGATGAGAAGAATCCATGCAGATATAGAAGATACAATCATGGAGAGTACAGTAAACATTACGTAACTAACAAGTTGCAAGGCAAGAGAACCCTGGAATTTGCAAAGATCGAATCCAAGATCTCTACCTAAGAAGGGCTCCACTTGGTCTCCCACCTAGATTTACTTGTAATTACACTATAGTTTATAACATTACAAAGGCATTACTGGCGTGTTTAGATCACTACTTGTTGTGTAATTTTGTGTATCAAAACCGAGTTTGTATCATTAATGGACTGCACTGTTGTTGTGTAACTCAGCTAAATGCATATCAGATAATGGAGTTTGTGGGGTCTTTGTTTTATAAAGTTTTCTTGTCAAATTGTGTTTTTGTCTGTACAATTTGTTAAATTAGCAGCTGTAAGCTTTAGAAAACAGTAAGCAAAACAGAAGGAAACGCCACTTTTACTGTTGTCTCACATCAGATTCCTAATAAGGAAAGAAACATTGAAATCATGTGGGGGAGCTCAACAACACCTCACCATCCCCCAATGTTTCTGAAGGAATCAAACAGAAATTGAACAAAATCATCGGTCTTGCTTTGTTCAAGGGAAAAGAGAACTTTTTCTTAGTGGCAAAAGAGAGGAGAGCCCACACAGTCATTTTATTCATATTTTTTAGTTCATTTTATGAAGCACCAAGCAAGTTGTAATGGATTTTTTTTTTTTTTTATGATTCTAAGCTGAAATGACACAAGTGCTAACACCAAGTAGAGCATAAACCAGAATTCGTACATTTTATCTGACATAAGATGTGAGGTAAAGGCAGACAATGCAGTATGCAAAGTTAAAGTAAGTTGGCAAGGACCAAACCAAAAGTTTGAGTTTCATAATAAACTAAAATTATGTTTCAAATTCAACAAGTTCATAATAAACTTTTAGGTAGATGATGCAATCAGTTAATTGGAATTTTCTACAACAAATAATATTCACCATAAGATCAAGAAACCACAATAATATCCTGGTTGAACTGTATGCTTGTAGTTAGGAAATGCTGATGCTATGAAGAGAGACTGAACAATAAACTAATAACTACATGTTTCATTACAAGTTGGGTGGAAAAGAAATCAAATAAGAATTATTACCTCTTTTCCCATCAATCCCCCAGCCCATGGGAAAAAAAAAAAGCAAGCAATGAACATTGTTCTCCTACAGATTACAAAGTTTAAGAGAAAAACAAGAAATTTTTTGATATTTCAGCACTGAAATGGTGTGTGACAGGAGGTGAAATTCAAGGAAAACCATAAATGTAACTGTTCATGTATGTCTGCATATTGTGTTCTAGTTACAGATCATTGGCCCTGAGAACAACGATTAGAACTTTCGATTTCTGCACCATTTAATCTTTAAAACAGACAGAAATCCTGTTCCTGTATGTTGCAAATTGCAAGTTAAGAGTCATGCTAAAGTTAATACAGTAGAAAAAAATATCATTACAAAAAGTTCCCTAGAGCAACAAGCAATATTGAATTCTGAGCCAAATGAAATCAACACATTCATGTTGACCTAAAGAATAGGAATATGAATGGGGCTAGAAATGCTTGAAGAACACTACAAAACTAGGCACTGACTTTGACAAGTCATAGACTAATGCTGAAGCAGGTTTGTGCTATTCCCCTAACTACAATCCTTTTTCCAAACAAATCAAATGAACCATCCTTTTCAAAGAAATTCTCTCAAGTGGAGATTTTGAGGAAACTGATATCAGCAATGTTGGGTCCCCATAATTTCAAGCTTGGATGACTATCAAAAAGTTGTAGGTGTCAAAAAACCATGATTATAAAAATAATTTGGTTTAGAAAAAAAGACTGAAAAAGTAGCACTACTTTCCACTGCAAAGGAGAAAGTTTCAATCTAACAAGGGAAGTGAAGAAAGGGAGAGGGGTCCCGGGGACAGTTCTGGCTTTCATGGTGGCATTTGCTGGTATTTTTTTGTGACTTGGGACTGTAAAAAAGAACCGTTGATTTTGGTTCAATTCACTTTTTTATTTATTTTGCCACCATTCAGCAATTCGGCAGCACATTCATTGAATCTCATTGAAACACTCAACTTCCTACAAGCCCCTCGTGCTAACGAGTTTCATCTTCCTACGTTAAAGAAAGCTTCAATGGAGAAGTCATTTTGGTGGACATCCCACTACCATCAACCTTAATGAATGCTAAAATGGATCTTTATCTACAGCTTATGCAATAAAACCACGTGAATAACACCATATGAACCCAATCTGAAACTGTTGCCAATAGCAAAGTGTTGCATTCTTAATTTCAATAATCATAGTTTAATTCCAGATAATTTAAAAGAAACTGTTGATAAAATTTGAACAAAAATGAAATTTTTAATTGTGAACTTTTAAACTTCAAGTATCAAAATGATAATTTTGATTATAATTCGTATCAAATATCCTGAGTTAAGACAAAGATAGTAGTAAATAAAAAGCTTGAAGTTGGCATATGATTTCTGATAAGAACACCACTAATGAGCCTTAATGATCACCCATAATCTAATGTCATTAATTTCTAATTATCTACAATCTTTGGGAATTTGGAAAGGAAGAGATTTTCCAAGATTCTATGACTTTGGCTCACTTGCAGTCGTTTTTGAGGAACAGTTTTCAAATTTGGGAGTGTAAAACTTTCTGCTACTGTTTCTTGTCGTAGTGGTTGCTCACGATAGAAGGATGATGGCTTGTCAAAAATGCAAAAAAATAAAAAAACTGTATTTTTCACTTTTTTAAACACGATTTCCGCGTGTCTTTGACAGCTACTACCATTACAAATTCAATAAAAATATCAGATTCATTGAAATATACAAATTATTCAATTGAATCATATTGTAATCTTTAAATTATGACATCAACATATATAAAAATTTCAAATAACTCAATATCTGTAACTTCTTCTCTTGCACTCATAATTTGGCCTTATTTGTAAAAAATTATACATATATATATATATATATCATTCCAATTATCACAAAATTGATACAAGAATTCAATCCAAGAAATGAATCAAGCTGGCAAAAAGGGTTACGAAAGTTTGGCATAAAAAGGAATCCTTTTGTCTAATGTATAGCAGAAGTTAGGAATTGACTAAATTTGTGTAATGCCTTCAATATCACATTAAAATGATGTATGAATAAAGAATGATATATATGTAAAAATTTAATCACAAATTTATAAGGCATCTTTTATGAAACAAAATCGTGAGACTTTCGGATTAAAAAATCTCCACAAATGATATCAAAGTGATCATTAATCGATAGTCGTAAGAGTCACTAAGTGCTACATAATGATTTGGTGTGATCTTGATCTTGTGGATGAACTAGACTTGATAAGAATATCAAGCATTAAAAGTGGGGAGATTGTAACGCCCCCAATTTACATCAGAAAAATATGTAGAGTAATCTCGACTTGACAAAAATATCAAGCATTAACGCTTTGATAGGAACATTAAGCATTAAAGGTGAAGAGATTGTAATGCCCCTAATTCACATCAAAAAAATGTGTGGAGTGATCTTAGTGATCTTGTGTGATCTTCCGTGAGAGTCACTAAGTGCTATACAATGATCTAGTGTGATCTTGATCCTGTGGATGAACTCGACTTGACAGGAGCATCAAGCATTAAAGGTGAGTAATCTCAACTTGACAGGAACATCTAAAGGTGGAGAGATTGTAACACCCCTAATTTACATAAGAAAAATGAATATCAAGTATTAAAGGTGAAGAGCGTGTAACGCCCCTAATTCATATCAGAAAAATGTGTGGAGTGATTCTTGATCCTGTGGATAGAAACATCAAGCATTAAAAGTAGGGAGATTGTAAAACCCCAAATTCATATCAAAAAAATGTGAAAAAGGTGTGTATAAAGAATAATTCTTAACAGAAACATCAAACATTAAAGGTGGAGAGATTGTAGTGGAGAGATTGTAAAGAGAGATTATAACACCTCCAATTCATATCTAAAAAATGTATAGATAAATAAAAATATACCGGTGTGATCTTGATCCTATAGATAAACTCAACTTAACAGAAACATCAAACATCAAAGGTAAAAAGATTGTAATGCCCCAAATCCACATTAGAAGAATGTGTGGATAAAAAATAATATATATGTAGAAACTTAATCCCAAACTTGTGAAACACCTTTTATAGGATAAAACTGCGAGACGCCCCAATCCACATCAGAAAAATGTGTAAATAAAAAATAATATATATGCAGAGACTTAATCTCAAAGTTGTGAGACACATTTTGTAAAATAAAACCGTCACATCAAAATAGATAATACTTCATAAGTTGAGTGCGAGTTTCCACTCTGTCTCCCTGAATTTGAGTTTTCTTGCCTAAACGAAGTAAAACCGTTGAGCAAATGGGCATTCAGATCGCACCCTGTAGCAGCTATGGCATATGCTTCTCACACCACACTTTCTCATTAACATGCTCATGGGGTTAATTAAACTAAGGAAGAAAGTGATCTTGTAAAAGAACAGCATAGACAAAAGCATAAGATGCTAGGTGCATTCAGACAGACCAATTCCTAACATTTCCGCAACTTAAAATCATAATGCAGCTTGAGTTTTATTTTGTTGGAACAACGGGGTCATAAACAAACAAGCATCAACTAAGTCATGAAATAGGCTTTGCAGTAAAAAGAAACCAGAGAGCAGATGGTTACTAGCTGCACCCGATCACGCTATGGGATCAAATACAATTTCTCCGGGTTTATTTCACAATTTTATACAACTTGGCCACACCTGGTTCCTACCATACAAGCATCTCAGATCCTGCTTAGCAATCACCAAAAGCACTCGTCAGGTGGCATCTCATTATGCTTATGCCACTTTCATCATGAACCGACAACATCTGGCCATTTTGAGTTATTTGAAGCAGCAATAGTCACCACTTCATCAGGACTAGGCCACATCATGCCAAGTACCAGAATATATTGGGGTTATCCTTGTCCCTCTCGAGATAGTCTCGAGCAATCAGGTCCTCGATTCGCTCTTTGATATACTTGACATCAGGCTGCAAATTTCAAATTTAGTTAACACAACCATGTAAAGCAAGAAATAACAGCAGACACATGCCATACAAGAGGAAAAGAGTCGTATAAGAACCTTGAATGTGCCGCCCAACTGTTCGACACACTTCGTAACCAACTTTTGGTGCCCCAGAACTTTCTGACTCTTCATGATGCGCACAATCAAGGCATCAATGGCATACCGTCTATCCTTGTCTACATCTTCAATTACTTTCTTCTTCTCTTCCACAGGGGGGAGAGGAATCTGAATGTTAAACAAATAAAAGCATTAGATGATATCATTTAATCAAAAGGAGAGTAGGACCAAATATTTGTAGGTTTTTTTTTTTTTTTTTTGTTAAAAAGTACCTTGATCCTCCTCATTTTTTTGGTAAAATTGGAGTTGAACTCAAAATGATCAGTGGAAGAGATGGTTTTCATGCTTGGCTCCTTGTTAAGAATTTTATATTTAGCACATGACAACGAATGCAGAAGTCTAACTACGTCATCATCAGTTAAGTTCAATTGTGTTATGATCTCTGAATAGCTCAGCCTATCTGAGGAGTTGAACAGCAGTAAGGCAGAGGCCTATAAACCATGAAGACTTGGTATTAGCCAAAAAGGATTCTTCAACTCCAATTGGCTAATTTAAGAAAAAGAAAAAAAAATAATAATATTTTTGACCATATTACCTGATATGTTGTGACAATCAACTCCATTGTTTTCGGTTCAAATTTCCCAATAAGGTTAGAAGTGCCCATAGAATAAATCCAAGTAAGTTTTCTATGTTTCGTTTTTGTCTGATAGAAATCCCTGAAAACTTCAACACACTTAATCTAAAGAGATTTTTAAGGAAAAGGAAGAAGAAAAAAGAAAGAAAATTGGTGTTAGTGACTTAAAGTAAACTTAAACTGGTAAGTTGCAAAATGAAATATGATTCTTGTTTGTGACATCTAAGCATACCATCTCTGCAGGAAGGTTGAGATCAAAGTAGTTGTAACTTGGCCAGAAGCCGGTAGTCAAAACAGTTACTGTCAAGTCAATCCCTGGATTTGCATTTGGATCATTGCTCAAGTACTCCTCAAAACTTGTATGGTTTTCACTTGCCAATGTCAAATCCGTGACCTAAAGAACGGAGAAGCAGTTTACAGAGAGATCTATTTCAGATATTAAGGTAATGTTTGATATGAGGTGATCACTTCAAAAACCAAGACGATCTACATGGAGATTAGATCACTATGTTTGGTAATCCTACGTAGCGGTGATCTTGGATCACGGAGAGTGATCAGATCACTACCTTGGAGTTGGAGGGCAATCTAATCTAATTCCAATACAAAAGGATGAAAAACTTTTATCACAAAGGTGAAGTGATATGTAAAATTAACAATAGTTAATATTACCTATTGAATATGTGAATTAGAAACTTGCGTCCTTTTAAAATTGTAACTATATTCATTGTAACAAATTCAAAAATAATGTGTGTTTTTTTACTTCTTTTAATATTTTATAATATATATTTTTGTTTTTCTTTTATTATGAATTTAATAGATTAGTTTTATTTTCTAATTTAAATATTTTTTACATAATTTATATTATAAAAATTAATTTACCTATCAATAAATATCTTTATTAATTTAATAATTTAACTATATTTTATTATAAAATAAATAAAATATTACTATATTTTACAAATTATTATTTTTAAATAACATTAAAATTATTAACTTGTGCAACTATTACAATATACATGATTATTTTTGTACTTTAAAATATAATATTTAATTTTTAATAATACTAAACACTGTGACAATTAATACCTAAGAATTAACCAAACAATGTGATTCAAACCACAAGTAATAAGATCACCTTGGTGATCAAATTATCATGATAATCTTACAAAAGATATCAAACACTACCTAAGAGCATTTGCAGGTAAGAAGAAGGCTTTCAGTTCACAAATGATAATAAATGGCAACTGACCATTCTCTCCATCTTTGAGGTGAACTGACTGCCATACTGCTGTTTTAGCTTTGTCAACATGCTACTCTCATGGTCATCATTAGCACTCTTGTTAAATAGAAGCCTTCGAGCAAGCTTTTTCCTAATAATTCACAAAAAAAAAAAATCAGCCAAAAATTGATGAGCCTATTGAGTTCCATCTTCAAATAAAGCAAAACATCTACCTATAGAATTCAGCAAACAAGTCTTTGTCACCAATATAAGCAAGTAGCTTTACAACCTGAAAATTTACAACAATAAGATTATTAAATGTAAGTGTAACAAGTCTTAAAATGTACATAGAACACTGCACAAGAGTGCGGCAAACCTTTTCAAGTGTTTCTTCGATTGCTTCATCGCTCAATTTCTCAATTCCACCTCTCTTGAGAATATTATCACAAAAAGTGGCAAATAGCTCTGCACTTGAGCTTCCAGCAACACCCTTGTTGCAAAATACTTCAAAAGCTTCCATAAGAGCCTAGAGAAAATCGACAATATTGAGAATGTAAAACATAACAACATGGAACTTATCTTCAAAATCATATTTATTACAGACCTTGTGAAAGAGAATATGATTTTGAAAACAATCATTCACATATGCTAGGTATTTGTCATGAAGCTCAATTACTTTCCTCATAAAAACCTGATAACCACAAATAACAATCAACTTCCATACCTTTAAACAGTCTAGTGATAAGAACAACAAGTGAAGATTTTACCTGCTCTTGCATGCCAACCACATCCATTTTATCTACCCATTTAAGGGAGAAAATATGTCGGTTCAGAGATAAACTTAAATGATGTCAATTCAATTCTCATTCTTGAACAAAATGAAACTTTAAAAGATTTGTATACTATAAGATAAAAAATAATGATAAGTGGGATAAATGTTCAATTTGGAACTAAATCTATGGGATGTCGCACACTCGGGATCAAATCTATTATTTGATTCGAAAAAAGGTACAACATTTTCAGATTATTTCTAGTAAGGATTTTTTGTAACAAAAATGACTGAAATGCACGGGCAGTTAAGTTAGTTAATAGTGACAGATGGCAAAATATAATGATCATGTGTGCATTTGATGTGGAAAAAAAATTTAAAATACGAATATAAGATTAGAAATAAGATTTATTTTCAGATAAAAATCAAACTTTATTTTTTCTCTCTTCTTCTTTTCTTATTTTTTGCTTTCTTTCTCTAATTCTTAATATCCACCGGAAGCCATTGTGAGAACCATAATTCGGTGTCGGTTTACCGTCTAGCGCCTCCGGCCCCATTCGCCGCCATGATTTTTTTTGAACAAGACAACATTTTGTTTCTCTCAACTTTAATTTCTTTATTAGAGAGCAATACACGAGGAAAGACAAACCCTCCCATATACAGACCTCCCAAGCTTCAAGCTCACAATCAGCTCCGAATTCCAACACCTAAGCCATTCCTTAAGCGCCTTAAGCTAACCATTCTACACAGCCCAAATGCCACCATCATCATCAAACTCCTAAGTGAAAACCTTTACATGTTATATTAACTAATCATCCACATACCCACTGCAATTGATGAAATCAAATGCCCCAAAACCTAGAAACCAACCATACCTCCAATACCCAAGACTCACATAAAAATTACCTAAAATTCAACTCAACAATTGACCACAATATTGAAAAAAAAAAAAAACAATAGAGAGAAAAAGTTTTGAAAATCAACAGGTGGAGCCTTACTTGGCACCTTTCCTTTGCATGCTTCTTTGAGTAGGCAGCTACCAAGCCTTACCTCGACTTTCCTTTGGGTAGATTGAGAGCTCTTGACTTTCATTGAACAGTTAAATGGCAGATCCCCTCTTTGAAGGATAACAGCATCATAGTTGTTAATTTCGTTTCAGTACTGGCTGTACCGGTCGGTATGCTCTAGTTATATAAAAACATCGTATCTTGTTTTGGATCAAAAATAGGTTCAGTCTTGAAATGCGCAACATCCCATAAATTTAGTTCTAAGTTGAGCATTTAGGCTGACAAGTAAAACACAAACCTTTTTGTTGCTTGCAGCCTCCTCAGCCTGTTTGACCAAAGCAATGCCTTCAGCAGTAACATGCTAAAATAAAAAATGAGATCATATTTTTTAAAATAGTGAACAAAATAAAATAATAAGTAAAGGCAGAAAAGATGAAATGGGATAAAAAATGAACAACCAAGTGAAAGTAAGAAAACAACGTATGTAATACTTGAGATGCCTGTTAACATAATTCTTAAATAAACAATTAAGTAATCAATTGATCAGTGGACAAGCTAAGAAGAGTTAACCTGTTTGAAAATGCTTGACATGGGATCTAAACCTTGATGAATTTCAGAGCAGATTCTAAACATACTTGACAAGTCCTCCACCTAAAAGAGAAAGGTTATAATTGGTTAAGTAGCTAATAAATTAAGCAACAAAATAAATAGACAACTTATCATGCAGTAAGCACCTTGTCATCTCTGAGCAATGCATGGCATCCGGAGTCCTCGTTATTAAGTAACATTTTAGAAAACGTTCAATAAACATTCCTATAAAAGAACAAAGAACATTATTAGAAGCAACATTTTAGAAAACGTTCAATAAAGCCTTTGAAGTGTAAGATTATCTCCAAGGCCAACCGGTGGGTTAACATAACAAAAGGAATACCAACCTCAAGCAGTTTTGGCTTACTACTTGAATGTAAGTAATGGGAGACCCTATCCTTCTCTCGTTTTAAACATTCCTTGGCCATCAATGAGAAAGCAAAATGAAATTAGACATTATTTAAGCAGACAAATTTATGTATACATATATACATATATATATATATATATATAGACACACACACACACACACACACGCAAAGTTCAACATATAATCATATAAAATGCATACTTTCAACAAATAATCCGGATAAGAATCATCTATAATCCAGTTTGAAGCTTTCCTTGAATAGTAGACAGCTGTATCTTTCAGCATAGCTGCCTCAAAGTCATTCTCATAGTAATCTATTTCTCCCATTCCAATTTCAATGAATATATCTAAAACATTCTTCAACAAAACTCGATCAATCTGCTCACCCTATCTGATTTAAGATTAGGGTCTTTATTACTATTATTTGGGTGAAAAAGAAAAGGTGTACAATGAATGTGAAAATGAAAACTCAAGATACCAGAGAAATTACTGCATCCCTCACTTTTGCGTTTAGCTCTTGGTAGACCTAAAACCATAGAAAGTGAGCACATAAGATGTAAATATTACTCTACATACAGGGGAAAAAATGGCAACATTATGGCAAATACATTCAATCTGCACATACCAATTTTCGGAAACAAGTAAGCCCAACTTGATTCAGGGAAGGTAGTGACTTCCTAGGAATAAAGTAGAAATCCAGAAAATAGAAGGACTTAGAGAACCACCTAATCATTACTTTATGATTAGCCCACCTTTTCACCAGCTCTCTCAACATAAACTCATCATGCTTTTCTCGTAAAGATGGAAGTACCTACAGAGGAGATATTTTATGAATTGTATTACTAAAGAATCAAAATGAAAAGATATAGCACATTCAGAACAATGTTCAACAAGGAATGGCAGAATATATAAATGCCAATCTATTACACCTTTCAACGATATGACTTGCTTAGCTACAATGATTTCGCTTCCAGTAATGGCTTTTCTTTAAGTCTGACAACTACAACTAATTCAAGTATGACTCATCTGTCTTCAAAGAAAGCATATTTGTTTTATTAAAATAAGGTAACCACTGGATTTTGGGTGGGGTTGGAGTGAAGAGGAGGAGTTGTTGGTACGGCACTTTCAACACTACAAACAGTTGCATAAGATTTGAGCATTTCTTCTAAACAAGGCAGAGAACACAAGAAATTCAAGGCATTTGATTCGTCTGATATACAAATCAACTAGCTTATGCTTATTGTAACAGATTAATCCGTCAAAGTAGTTAATGATACCAAAAGAAACAACAAATATGACCATAAAGCACACATTTCTAGGTCCAAACACAACTTAAAAAAAATAATTACAGCAAACATTGAAGCAACATTTTAATTACTCACTGTTGAAGTAATGTATTCTTCAAAAGATTCTTGAGATTTATCATACAACTGTTGAGAATAGTTATGAGGCTTTTGGGTACACATGTTGTAACTGGTCCTACAAAATAAAGGCTAAGGGCACCAACAAAAACACTCACAACATTTGAAAATTGAAACTTTGCAATTATTCACGTCAAAAGACAAAACCAATCTAACAAAACGACTTTGAATTGGATACGTATAAAGCATCATATAATCCTCAGTGGTAAACTGTGGCTCTGGTAAGCCTTCTAGAATGTTCTTCAACTTTGTAATTCCATTTTGCAAAAATTCCCATCCTTGTTCAAGGTCGATCATCTTCCGGTCATTCATTGTCCCTAAGCCATGTTGTCTCCCTAATTATCAAAACCCTTACTGCCAGAATCTGCAAAATTAAGATTCAAATCAGAATAATTAGCTCGCATTTTAGCTCAAAATCACCCACATTCCATATCAGTGGCGAATCTTGACATTTAATTTTGAAGGGGCCAATTAATATTTTATTTTATTTTATTTTTTCATACAACTTATTATATCACATATATACACACAAACAATATACTAATATATGGAAATAATTAATTATGAAGGGGCTAATTTAAGTTCATTTAATGTCTATACCACTGTATTTTGGGTGGGGTTGGAGTGAAGAGGAGGAATTGTCAGGAAGGCACTTTCAACACTACTAATAATTGCATAAGATGTGATCATTTCTTCTAAACAAATGAGGTAGAGAACAAAAGAAATTCAAGGCATTTGATTCATCTGATAGACAAATCAACTAGCTTATGCTTATTATAACAGATTAATCCATCAAAGTAGTTAATGATACCAAAAGAAACCGCAAATATCACCACAAAGCACACATTTCTAAGTCCAAATACAACTTTAACAAAATAATTATAGCAAACATTGAAGCAACATTTTAATTACTCACCATTGAAGTAACGTATTCTTTAAAAGATTCTCGAGATTTATCATACAACTGTTGAGAATAGTCATGAGGAGGCTTTTGCATGCACATATTGTAAACGGTTCTACAAAATAAAGATTAGGGCACCAACAAAAACGCTCACAACATTTGAAAATCGAAAAATTGCAATTATTCACATCAAAAGACAAAACCAATCAAACAAAATGATTTTGATTTGGATACGTATAAATCATCATATAATCCTCAGAGCTAAACTGTGGCTCCGATAAGCCTTCTAGAATGTTCTTCAACTTTGTAATTCCCTTTTGCATAAGTTCCCATCCTTGTGCAAGGTCGATTGCCTTCCTCTCATTCATCATCATTGAGCCACGTTGTCTCCCTAATTATCAAAATCCTTACTGCCAGAATCTGCAAAATTAAGATCCAAATCAGAATAATTAGCTCACATTTTAGCTCAAAATCACCCACATTCCATAACAATGGCAAATCTTGACACTTAATTTTGAAGGAACCAATTAATATTATATTTTATTTTATTTATTTTTTCATACGACTTATTCTATCACATATATACATGCAAACAATATATTAATATATGGAAACAATTTTAATTTTGAAGGGGCTAATTTAAGTTTATTTAATATATATACTAAGAGTTGCTCAAATTTTGAGAGGGGGCCTTAAGAGTTGTGAAAGCTTGAGACTTCGCCCCCTCATGCTTGAATGACGTCCGCCCCTGTTCTATAACCATCAGCTCAATTAACAAAAACTAACAGATTACGACAAAACCCCCAAAAAAAACTTAAAAATCATAACTTTAAGCAAGAATGCTGTGAAACAATTGCAACATATTCTCAGCAACCAAACAAGAAATTTAACATTTCTCTGAAAAACCCTTGTACAATCAAAGTTCGTTGATTCAAAATAACCTAAAATAAAACAAGAAACTCATCAAATTAAAACAAAACAAAAACAATCACATGATAAATTGAGAGATAATCAGAAGAGAAAGAGATCAATAGATACCCTAAACAGACAAAAAAATCCAAAAAATAAAAATAAAAATTACGAATTAATTAAAAATACCTGAAATTTGGAGAAAGAGCAAAAAATTTTCCTAAGGAAGATGAAGAGTAAAAAGATGAGTTCCAACAAAGCATTGAAGAAAGAAAAGGAGATAGATCCTTTCCAGTTTCCCCTTTTTTTCTCTGATTGTTTTTGTATATTTTTTTTTTGTTTTATTTTCAACGTTTTTTTATTTGTTTGATTTCAAATTGAATTTTTTTGCCCAAAAAAGGAAATTCTTCATTTCCACAAAACAAAGTATAATATTCAAATACAAGAAAACGAACCAAAAGAGCAATATAAGGACCTTTCAGAGAAAATTCATACAGAAATCTTAAGAACTTTTTTAAAGAGGAGCAGGTAACCCCTCCTACTCGGTGTGGGATAGATTGACCCAAGTGGATATGCAAATCCATCTGTTGACTTGGTTAGCAACCCAGTCAGCCGCTTGATTAGCTTTTCTATTGATCTGTATGTGTTGGTGCACAAAAACAAACACCAATTCATAATCACAAGGATAAAATAAGCGAAACTCACCTTTATGTGGGTAGGAGCCAAAACCACCAGAGTCGTTGCCGGGGGAGGAGGCGTCGCCGGTGGCGTGGCTGCTGCAGGTTTCATGGTGGTCGGCCATTCAAGCAACGAAGGAAGACGAACATTGAAAAGTTTGAGGTACTCATCTGACCACACCATTGAGTTCAAAGGGCCAGTTCGGTATATGCAAGAGACCTCCCATTACTAAAGACCGACCCATCACAACATGATATGGTATAATTACAATTTCTCATTAATTTAACATTAATCAATATAATCGTGAACAAATTAACCTTGTTAGTTCACTAATGGCGACATAAATACAACACTATGAACATCCAAAACCTTCAAATTTCAACTTCTTTTTGTGCATATCATATCCTTTTCAAAAGGGAACACTCTCCAACACCCATTTTTTGTTTTTCTCTTTCCTGTTAATTGTCTATATAAAAGATCGGAATCAGTTTCCAACACAATCTTTTTTAGCTGCATTGATTCAGGGAAGCTCACTCTTTCAAAGCACTGGCTTCTGCCTCGAGACCAGAATGGACATTTGCCTTTTTAGCAGACCCTGCAATGACCCTTCCTTCCTCATCTCTAATAACAACACCAGCTTCTTCTGTGTTAGGGGTAGTTTTACGTGCAAAGGTATTATAGCTTTTTTTTATTAGTGTAAGTTGGCATACCAATGCAACTTATCATTTTGATCGGGTTAATGTGTCTGGATTTGAATTCACAAGTTCATAGCAATTCAACCACTTTAATAATATGCATGCTGACTTACTACGTTTTCAGTGATAATCAATTGCTAGTTCAATTTCAGCCTACTAAATCGTCTCTAACGCTTAGGGCTAGATTTCGTAAAACTTCTTATTTTACAAGTATAAATAGTACCATTGAAGAAACTTATATGAATCCAACCCCGAGGGGCTAGAAATGCTTGAAGAACACTACAAAACTAGGCACTGACATTGACAAGCCATAAATTAATGCTCAAGCAGGTTTGTGCTATTCCCCTAACTACAAACCCTTTTCCAAACAAATCAAATGAACCATTATTTTCAAAGAAAATCTGTCAAATGGAGACCAATATTGGGTCCCCATAATTTCAAGCTTGAAAGACTTTCAAAAAGTTGGATGTGTCAAAAACATGATTATAAAAATGAATTGGATTAGAAAAAAAAAAAAAAAGACGTAATTATCCTAAGTCAATGAAATCTTCAATGGAGAAGTCATTTTGGTGGACATCGCATAGTATAAAATGACAAGCTGGAAGTTGGCATATGATTTCTGACACTAATGAGCCTCAATGATCAACCATAATCTAGTGTCATTAGTTTCTAATTCTCTACAATCTTTGGGAATTTGGAAAGGAAGAGGGTTTCCAAGATTCTATCACTTTGGTTCACTTGCAGCCGTTTTTGAGGAATTGTTTTCAAATTTCTTGAAATTCTAAAACTTTCTGCTACTGTTTCTTGTAGTAGTGGTTGCTCATGATAGAAGGATGATGGCTTCTTTTAAACATGATTTCCACAATATCGGATATTGTTGACAGCTACAATCATTACAAATTCAACATAATTATCAGATTCATTAAAAAATAAGAATCATTTGAATTATAACTCAAAGCTAAGCTCAATTAATTTATATAATTATGTGAAAAATATAACATCAACATGTCTAGAATTTAAATCCTTAATACCTACAACTCCATTCCTACCCTCATACGTTGACTTTTTTTGTTAAAAAAATTCCATCACTCACAAAACTGATACACGAAGTCAATCCCAGAAGCAAATCGCAAAAAGGGTTATGGAAGTTTGACAAACGATAATCCTTTTGTCTAATGTATAGCAGAAGATAGGAATTGACTAAATCTGTTTCCCTAAATTTGGGTTTTCTTGCCAAAACGAAGTAAAGCCACTGAGCGAATGGGCATTCAGATCGCACCCTGTAGCAGCTATGGCATATGCTTCTCACCATACTTTCTCATTAACATGCTCATGTGGCTAATGAAACTAAGGAAGGAAATGATCTTGTAAAAGAACAGCATAGACAAGGGCATAAAATGCAGGGTGCATACTGAAAGACCAATTCCTAACATTTCCGCAACTTACAATCATAATGGAGCTTGAGTATATAACTAAAATACACACATATATATATATATATATATATTTTACTTTAGGTGGAACAAGGGGGGCAATAGAAACAAGCATCGACTGAGTCATGACATGGGCTATGTAGTAACAAGAAACCAGATACTAGATGGTCTCCTGCTACACCAGACCATATTATGGGATCACTTACAATTTCTGCAGGTTGATTTCACAAATTTTATATAACTTGGCCAAACCTGGCTCCTACTGTACAAGCAACTCAGCTCCTGCTAAGCAATCACCAAAAGCACTCATCAGGTGGCATCTCATTAACGCTTATGCCAGTCTCACCATGAGCCGACAACATCTAGTCGTTTTGAGCTATTTGCAGCAACAATTGTCACTGCTTCATCAGGATAATGACTAGACCACATCATGCCAAGTACCTGAATGTATTGGGGTTATCCTTGTCCCTCTCGAGATAGTCTCTAGTAATCAGGTCCTCAATTCGCTTTTTGATTGCCTTGAAATCAGGCTGCAAATTTCAAATTTTAGTTAACAAAACCATGTAAAGCAAGAAATAACAGCAGACACATGCACATGCCATACAAGAGGAAAAGAATCATAAGAACCTTGAACATGCGGCCCAACTGCTCGACACACTCCATAACCAACTGCTGGTGCCCCAGAACTTTCCGACTCTTCATGATGCGCACAATCGAGGCATCAATGGCATACCGTCTATCCTTGTCTACATCTTCAATTACTTTCTTCTTCTCATCCACAGGGGGAAGCGGAATCTGAATGTTAAACAAATATATGCATTAGACAATATGATTTAATCAGAATGAAGAGTAGGACCAAATATTTGTAGGTTTTTTCATTAAAAGGTACCTTGATCCTCCTCATTTTATCGGTAAAATTAGAGTTGAACTCAAAATGATCAGTGGAAGAGATGGTTTTTGTGCTTGGCTCCTTGTTAAGAATTTTATACTTAGCACATGACAACGAATGCAGAAGTCTAACTACATCATCATCGGTTAAGTTCAACTGTGTCATGATCTCTGAATAGCTCAGCCTATCTGAGGAATTGAACAACAGTAAAGCAGAGGCCTATAAACCATGAAGACTTGGTATTAACAAAATGATTCTTCAACTCCATTTGGCTATTTAAGAAAAAAAAAACTAGAAATAATCTTTTTGACCATATTACCTGATATGTTGTAACAATCAACTCCATTGTTTTTGGTTCAAACTTCCCAATAAGGTTACAGGTGCCCAAAGAATATATCCAAGTAAGTTTTCTATGTTTTGTTTTTGTCTGATAGAAGTCCCTGAAAACTTCAACACACTTAATCTAAAGAGATTTTTGAGGAATAAGGAAGAAAAAAAAAAAGAAAGAAAATTGGTGTTAGTGACTTCAAGTAAACCTAAACTGGCAAGTTGCAAAATGAAATATAACTCTTGTTTGTGACATCTATAAGCATACCATCTCAGCGGGAAGGTTGAGATCAAAAGACTTGTAACTCGGCCAGAAGCCAGTAGTCAAAACAGTTACTGTCAAGTCTATCCCAGGATTTGCATATGGACTGTTGCTCAAGTACTCCTCAAAATGTGTCTGGTTTTCCCTTGCCAATGTCAAATCTGTGACCTAAAGAACAGAGAAGCAGATTAGAAAGAGATCTATTTGAGACATTAAGAACCTTTGCAGATAAGAATAGATGGCTTTCAGTTCACAAATGATAATAAATGGTGACTGACCATTCCCTCCATCTTTGAGGTGAACTGGCCTCCACACTGCTGTTTCAGCTTTGTCAATATACTTCTTTCATGGTCATCATTAGCACTCTTGTCAAAAAGAAGCCTTCGAGCAAGCTTTTTCCTACCAACAATAATTCTTAAAAACAAAATTAGCTGCAAATTCATTAGCTAGATGAGTTCCATCTTCAAATAAAGCAAAACATCTACCTATAGAATTCAGCAAACAAGTCTTTGTCACTAATATAAGCAAGGAGCTTCACAACCTGAAAATTTACAACGACAAGATTATGAAATGTATGCATAACAAATCTTAAAAAGTAGATAGAACACTTTAGAAGAGCACAACAAGCCTTTTCAAGTGTTTCTTCAATTGCTTCATCACTCAATTTCTCACTTCCACCTTTCTTGAGAATATTATCACAAAAAGTGGCAAGTAGCTCTGCACTTGAGCTTCCTGCAACACCCTTGTTGCAAAATACTTCAAAAGCCTCCTTGAGAGCCTAGAGAAAATAGACAATACTGAAAACATAACAACATGGAACTTATCTTCAATAATATCTATTACAGACCTTGTGAAAGAGAGTATGATTTTGAAAACAGTCATTCACGTATGCTAGGTATTTGTCATGAAGCTCAATCACTTTCCTCACAAAAACCTGAAAACAACAAATAACGATCAACCTCCATACTTTTAAACAGTCTATTGCTAAGAACAGAAAAGTAAAGATTTTACCTGCTCTTGCATGCCAACCACATCCTTTTTATCTGCCTATTTAAGGGAGAAAACATATCAATTTAGAATAAGCTTAAATGATAACAAATAATGACAAGTAAAATACAAAACTTTTTGTTTAAATATTTGTTGAACAAAATGAAACTTTAAAATATTTGTATACTATAAGTTAAAAAAATAATGACAAGTAAGATACAAACCTTTTTGTTGCTTGCAGCATCCTCAGCCTGTTTGACCAAAGCTGTGCCTTCAGCAGTAACATGCTGAAGCATAAAATGAGACCATAGTTTTTAAAATGGTTAAAGAAGTAAAGTAATATGTCAAAGAAGAATAGATGAAATGGGATAATAAATGAACATCCAAGTGAAAGTAATAAAACAATGTATGTATTAATTGAGATGACTGTGAACATAATTTATAAATGAACAATTATGTAATAAATTAATCAGTGGACAGATAAGAATAGTTAACCTGTTTGAAAATGCTTGACACGGGATCTAAACCTCGAGGGATTTTAGAGAAGAGTCTAAACATTCTTGACAAATCTTCCACCTAAAAGTTAAAAGAGAAAGGTTATCATCAGTTAACTAGCTAATAAATTAAGCAACAAAATAAATAAATAACTTATCATGCAGTAAGCACCTTGTCATCTCTGAGCAATGCATGGCATCCAGAGTGCTCTTTATCAAGCAGTCGATTTGTGCATACAGACAACAACTCATGTTGAACTTTCTATAAACGAAGAAAGAAACTCATAAGAAGCAACATTATAGAATAAGTTCGGTATTGCTTTTTAAGTATAAGATTACCTCCAAGACCAACTGGTGGGTTCATGTAACAAAAGCAAATACCAACCTCAAGCAGTTTTGGCTCACTACTAGAATGCAAGTAATGGGAGACCCTATCTTTCTCTCGTTTTAAACACTCCTCGGCCTTAAATGAGAAAGAAAAATGAAATTAGACACTATTTAAGTGGACAAATATATATATAAAAAAAAGTTCAACATATAATCATATATAATGCATACTTTCAACATATAATCCGGACAAGAATCATCTAGAATCCAGTTTGAAGCCTTCCTTGAATAATAGGCAGCTGTATCTTTCAGCATAGTGGCCTCAAAGTCATTCTCATAGTAGTCCATTTGCCCCATCCCAATTTCAACGAATATATCTAAAACATTCTTCAACAAAGCTCGATCAATCTGCTCACCCTCACGTTCTTGATCAATCTGATTTAAGATTAAGGTGTTTGTTACTATTATTTGGATGAAAGAGAAAAGGTGTATAATGAATGTAAAAAAGAAAACTCAACACACCAGAGAAATTACTGCATCTCTCACTTTTGCATTTAGCTCTTGGTAGACCTGAAACCAGAGAAAGTGTGTGTATAAGATGCCAATATTACTCCACATACAAGGAAAAACAATGGCAGTATTGTAGCAAATACATTCAATCTGCACATACCAGTTCTCGGAAACATGTAAGTCCAACTTCATTAAGGGGAGGCAGTGACCTCCGAGCAATAAAGTAGCGATCAAGATAATGGAAGAACCGAAAGAGCCACCTAACCATTACTTTATGATTAGCCCACCTTTTCACCAGCTCTCTCAACATAAACTCATCATGCTTTTCTCGTAAAGATGGAAGTACCTACAGAGGAAATATTTTATGAATTGTATTACTAAAAAATCAAAATGAAAAGATATAGCACATTCAAAAAAAAGTTCAACAAGGAATGACATGATTTGCTTAGCTACAATGACTTTGCTTCCATCAATGGCTTTTCTTTAAAGCTTACAATGACAACTAATTCAAGTATGACTATCTGCCTTCAAAGAAAGCATATTTGTTTTATTAATATAAAGGTAATCACTGGATTTTGGGTGGGGTTGGGATGATGAAGAGGAGTTGTTGGTAAGGCACTTTCTACACTATTAATAAATGCATAAGAAGTGATTATTTCTACTAAACAAATGAGGCAGAGGACGAAAGAAATGCAAGGCATTTGATTCATCTGATACACAAATCAACTAGCTTATGCTTATTGTAACATATTAATCCATCAAAGTAGTTAATGATACCAAAAGAAACAACAAATATCACCATAAACCACACATTTCTAAGTTCAAACATAACCTAAACAACTTAAGCAGAATAATTACAGCAAATATTTAAGCAACATTTTATGTACTCACTGTTGACGTAATGTATTCTTCAAAAGATTCTCGATACTTATCATACAACTGTTGAGAATAGTCGTGAGGAGGCTTTTGGGTACACATATTGTAAATGGTTCTACAAAATACAGGTTAAGGGCACCAACAAAAACGCCCACAACATTCGAAAATCGAAACTTTGCAATTATTCACACCAAAAGACAATTCCAATAAAACAAAATGACTTTGAATTGGATACGTATAACGCATCATGTAATCCCCGGAGCTAAATTGTGGCTCCGGTAAGCCTTCTAGAATGTTCTTCAACCTTGTAATTCCTTTTTGCATAAATTCCCACCCTTGTTCAAGGTCGATCGTCTTCCTCTCATTCATCGTCATTGAACCACGTCCTCTCCCTGATTATCAAAACCCTAACCGCCAGAATCTGCAAAATTGAAGATTCAGATCAAATAATTAGCTCACACTTTACTCAAAATCACCCACATTCCATAACCCTTAGCTAAATTAACAAAAACCAACAAATTACGGCAACCCCCCCCCCAAAAAAAAAAAACTTAAAAATCATAACTTCAAGCAAGAATGCTGTGACTTGAAACAATTACAACAGTTTCTCAGCTGCCAAACAGGAAATTTAACATTTTTCTGAAAACCCTTGTAAAATCAAGTCAATCGATTCGATCTAACTTAAAATAAAACGAGAAATTCACCAAATTGAAACAAAACAAAACCCATTCCATGAGAAATCGAGAGATAATCAGAAGGGAAAGAGATCGATAATAAAAATTACGAATTGATTGAAAAGACCTGAAATTTGGAGAAAGATCAAAACTTTTCCTAAAGAAGACGAAGAGCAAAAGCTGAGCTCAGACAAAGCATTGAAGAAGGAAGGGTCTTTTTTCTCTGATTGTTTTTTGTATTATTTTATTTTTCACACTTTTTATTATTTGTTTTCTTTTAAATTGATTTTTGTTTTTTCGGTTGCTTATTTGGGGATATTATAATATAAACAATGTTTTTAATTTATTAATTTTATTAGAAGGTCCTTGGATTTTCCTATATTAATTTTTTAGGCTCTAACATTTTTTCTTTTAAAAATTGAGGATTGAATTGCAATTATGGAGATTTTTTAGTCAAAATTCAATGCCTCTATAATTACAGAATCAAAATCTTTTTCAAAGAGGTCCAATCCACTCCGGCTTTGAAACAAAATTTCCAAATTAAGTATTTTTGGATAAATTTCATATTTGATCTCTAAATTTTGTGTTGCAGATCGTTTTGATTTTCAAATTTTAAATAAAACTTGTTGATAATAACAAAATATTAAAATCATGGACAATTATTAATCTTAATTAAATCTATTCCATAGTTTGAAAATTATTTTGATTCAATTTTATGTTCAAAATTAACCATCCGATTATAATACAACAAAATGTCCAAAACCCTTCAATGATTTGTTAGATTAGGGTTTAAAGTCATTCGATTCGATCTGCAAATGTATTTATATTTTTATTTAAAATAATTTTTTATTAAAAATGGTACAATTTAGATTTTTTTTCTTTTATATGTAATTTTTGGTTGTGCAAGGTTTAATGGGTGAGACATGAGAGGAGCTGAATGAAAAGTTGTAAAGTTTAGAAAGGAAATAATGAGAGGCAAATAGTGTGAGGATAGTATGAATCGGGCAAATGATTGGACCTAAAGTGAACTTTATTGTAACTGACAAATTAATAACTTGATAGCATGAGAAAGTTACCATCAAGAGATTAACAATTTTCATCTTGTTTGTCAAGAATAATAATAAATTTATTATAATTATGATTGAAAAAATTTATTATAATTATGATTAAAAAATTTTTAATGAAAAATTTATACTAAATAAATCTTATTAGAGTTGACACGTGAATGCAATTAATGATACGATAAGTTTAATTACACCGCATTGAAAATGCGGTGAAATCCAAACTTAGTCTAAGCCTACCAATCTATATCAAATAAACTCCTATCTCAACTATCTTCAAATTTTTGTTGTATACGAAGCCATCAAAATTGAAATCAATCACTTAAAAATTAAGAGTTTAATATTCTACCAATAATTTATGCGATATGCGACTGTTGGCATCGAACATTTCTAAGATGACCAAACAGTACGTAACTTTACAACTCATTTAATTTGGAATAAATATGATGGACTTGTACAATCCATCATACATATATGTCTGTGTGTCTTATTGCAAATATTTAAGAGTGACAGAAACATAAGTTCTTTCAAATATGTATCATGTTTCTCATCCCCCAAGGCATGAACAGCAGGAATCAGATTGATTTTTCTGTCAATGGGAATGCATCAGTCTGTTTCTTCTCTTTCAATTCAGATGCATAAACAGAAAGCAATTCATTTTCAACAATCTGTAGCCAATTGAAAAAAGGTTTAGCAACAGTTAAAGGGAACTGAAAATATGTTCAAATGACAAACTAACCTCAAGTAGCCTCTCTTGGCTTCTGTTCTGCAGATAGCCAGAAACTGTGTCTCTTTCATGTTTCAAGCAACATTCAACCTAAATTGTCATCATCAAAAGCAAAAGATTGATCAATCTCCTTAATTATATGAGACTTTTATCTTTTAATGATATCAGAGGGAAGTTTTTCATTTGATACCTTAAGCATGTAATCCTTGTAAGATTCATTTTTTAACCAGTTAGAGGCCTTGGTGGAATAAAATGAAGCAGTATCTTTAAACATGGCTTCTTCAAAGTCTTTTTCATAGTATTTCATTGAGCCTTGTCCAAAATCCACATAGATAGCCAGAACATTCTTTACCAGGGCTTGATCAATGTCTTCCCCTTCGCGCTCCCGATCAATCTGCAGATTGGATGAAAAACATGAATGAAGGGTTAGTGCTGAAGGTGTCATTGGTCATATATATAGCTTCAGGGGTGAAAATATGAGCAAACAGAACTAAAGCAAAAGTTCAACCATACCATAGATAATACAGCATCTCTGACTTGATTATTCATTTCTCCAAATATCTTGAACAAAAAAAAAAAAAAAACAAAAGAGTATGAGAGAAAAGGTATGATTTGACATTGAGAAATATTAGAATTTAGGACTAACCAAATTATAGAAAGACAAAAGGCCAGCTTCTTTGAGTGGAGGAACCTGCCTCACAGGAACAAAGTATCTATGCAGATAATGAAAGAATCTGCTAAGCCATCTGTTCATAGCATTGTGATTTGACCATCTTTTCTCCAATTCTTGTAGCAGAGCTTCATCTTTCTTTCCTTGCAAAGATGGCAAAACCTGGTAAAAGAAAAATAACCCAAAAAATATGTTGTAGAGGTTTGTAAAAGCTGCTTGTCAGCAGATTAATATGTTAAAAAAATTACATGAAAAATTCACTTACCTTGGTAGTAATATACTCTTCAAATATTTTGTTATACTTCTCATATAATACAAAACAATTTCCACCAGTAGGGTTTGGAATACACATGTTAAACACAGTTCTAGCCATTAGTCAAGGAAACTGATTGTGTTATTGGTTGCTTCCCACCAGGAAAAAAAATGGCAAAACATGAAACAAAACAAATAGATCACAAAGACAGGAAGTTAATTTCACATAAATTCACTAAATCCGACATAAATAATCTTGTTTGAATCTATCCGAAAAAGGGATGTACCACGCAAAAACCAAAAACTGCTATAAAAAGACAGAACCATAAATCAAGAACAAAAATGTGTTCTATCCTTGTTGAAAAATGTCAAAAAACCTTAAATTACAAGGATACGTGTAGAAACGCATGTAATCTTCAGATGAGAAACTTAGACTTTTATCTCCTTCGATGATCCTAATCAGTTTGTCTACTCCCTCTTGAATCACTGGCCATCCTTTTTCGACCAGTATCAAGTGTTGATGTTCTTCAGTACTTGCCACGGTTTTAAGAATTATGAGGAGAAGGAAATGAAGCTGAGATAACAAAAAATATGTAAAACAGCTTTATAAGATGTCGAGATGTTTTGGTATAGACAATGACAAGCATTGACTCTTGACTTTGATTTTTTCTTGCAGTGTCTGCCAGCACAATGTTGAAGTTTCTTCGAAAATTTCTTATTTGATAGGTCAACGCACGGCTAGCCCTTGAAAATTTTACAACATAATTGAAGTTTTTCTTTCGTGGACTTGCAACAATGAAAGAAATATTCATGATTAAGCCCAATGTGTCAGAAAAGTGGGTCCAGTCTCATGGGTTTTTTTTACTATTCAAAAAACATGGATCTTATGTTTTCAGGCTTCTTATGAGATTGTTTTAAGGTGAAAAAAAAAAAAAAGTGGCACCGCAAACCAAGAAAGGAAAGAGAAAAAAAAATTAAAAAAATAAAAATAAAAAGAGAGTTTATTGAATGAAAGTTTATCCGTAATTCAATTGAGTTAAAATTTTATTAGTAATTTTATGATTTAGAATTTTATATTTTGAATGATAAAGATCGAATTTAAAACTTTTTATGAAAAAATTTAAAGTGTATTTGTTGAGTCACTTATTTGATGAGATTTTTCAAATTATCTCTAATTATTGATTTGTTCTAATTTTAATTAAAAAAAAATTTGTATATTCATTATTTGATAGTAAATATTTTTTTGGTGGTTCGTGATTTTTTTTCTTACATTAGAGGGTTTTTTATGTAAATTTTAGTGTATTTTATTTTTTTGTATTGTTAATTATTGATTGTTGTCTATTATTTTAAGTTTATTACAATATATTTTTTTTATGTTATTATGTTTATTGCTTCAAGTCGAGCCAAAGTTACGATCAGTTTAAGTTTCAGTAGTATTGTTGGAAGGAGATTGTTTACAGATCAAAAATTGATTACGTACATTAACTTTATGTATTCGAATATCGGTATAAAAAAATTTAATTTGGATGCAATAAATCTATGATAATATGCAAAAATAGAATACTTAAATGAACGATGTATCGAATAACTTGAAAGATAAACTCGAGGGATCACTGAAACAACTAGGTCACAACTTTTCATTCACTTGGTAATGGAAACTGGGTATTGAGTTCCAAATTTAAAACCCATTATTTTTCTGCCACAAATAATAAACAAGCTAGTGAGGTAATTTCAGGCATAGCATCAGCCAGGCTTTAGTTTTAGGCCCAGACCATTCATCTCTATTAAGTTAGGCCTAATCGTTGTGTTTGGGCTAGCTCATCCCCAACCATATCATACTTCTATGAATATTTGAGCATGCCTCCACCAGCCCATCGGTTGTCTTCTGTTCTTGCCCATAATTTGACACGCAGTTGGCAATACCATGGTACCTTTTGACTCCATACCAAGTATACATATTGAAGTTTGCTTCTTTCATTCATTGATTCATCAAGCCTCCCCAGTCATGCAAAACCCCAACATATGCTCTTGTACATAGCCAAACCTCTACTTGTGCAGGAACTAATGCAAGCTCTCTCATCACTTTGTGTAACTTTGGGGTGTGGTGCCTCTCCATCGTGTCTTATTGCTAAAAATATTGTCAGTTCCCAGAGCCTTCAATGTCCGTTTGGGTCAATCTTTTTTTTTTTTCAAATTCTACTAATTATAGATATATGTAAAAGGACATGTGGCTTAGTTTCTCCCATTATTCTGTCAAAGTGTCAGTGTTGCTTAACATATCTGCTCGTTTCTTGACATAAATTTATATATTTATTATTATCAATATCTTCCTCAAAATAACTGGTGCTGTTGCTCTTTATTTACCAAAATTTGGTGCAGGATATAAATGTGCATGTGGACAATTATTTGTTGTGGCAGTCATTTAATAACTGCAGTCCTGCCATGAGGGCCATAGGTCAACAGAGAGTTCTGATTGTCAATTTAATATTCCTGGCTAGTTGAGGATGTGCAGGCTTCAGCTTCAAAAACTGGATGAATAAATCAGCACTTGAATATGGCAATGACAGGGCATAAATCATAGATACTGTCGACAAATACCATTCTTCTGTTTAGGCTTCTGATGTTGTGACCTTTTATGATAAATGTTTTACTTGTTGGATGAAATGCTTAATATGTAAGCTGCTGGATCTTTTCTTTTAACCTTCTAGTTATAGTAAACATGATCAAAAAAAAAAAAAAATTAGTAATTATAGAAACTTTGAAGCAATATCAAAAGCAGAATGAACCCAGAATTTTATTTCAGAAATGATATAATTTCTTTCATTAATTATTTTCGGATTACGACCTCTTTTGTTATTAAAAGAAAAAAAACATAATTTTAGTACTTGCTAAAAATATCTAGAAACTTCATTTTGACATCTCATTTAATTAGATCCATCTCTACCATGACATGTGCTTGGTTTTGGTACTCTTTTTTATTGCTCACTTTCTTCTTGATTTCCATCAAAATATGATAATACTACTTAATTTCTCCTCCCAAGGCTGATTAATTTTTCACATAGTAACTTCAATATTTGTTGGTGTCAAGTTTCGAGTCGAGGGTCAAAACCCTTAAATCATAAGAAAAGAAAAAGAATAATTAAGGTAAAGATAACGAATATTTTTTGCATTTATATTCTATTATTTAGGTTAAAAGTCAAGATTAAAGAGATCGAAACAAGAGAAAAATAATGATGATAAAAGAGAATGAGATTGGATTGACAGTACAAGGATGTCTCTATTTATAAACAAAATATAAATGGTTTATGAAGTAAAATAATGACATAACACTAAATAAGTTAGATCGATCCAAAAATAAAAAATAAACAATATGTCCTTTAAATCCAAAAATACTTCTAATGGTATTGTTGGTGAAATTTAATGTAAACAAGACATAATCCAAAAGCAGGCAAATTTAGTTATGTCTTACTAAGTTGAATTTCTATTCCTTTAATGTAAATTAACTTTGTAGCATAAATATTTTTAATACTCTCATCCAAGTCTTACTGTAACAAAAAGATAGCTTCAGAGTCAAATCTGCTATGAATCTTGAACCAAAGTGGGGAAGGGTTGGCCCCTAAAAAGAGGAGAACTATTACAGAATGCTTAGATTTCATAAGGTCCTCAAATACCATGAAAGACTTTTGGGTAAACTTTATTTTTCTCTTCTTTTCAAAGTCTTTTCAGCGACTAAGTACCACCACCCACTTGCTAAATGACAATTTTTTTGCAACCCCAGATGTGATGGGGAATCCCTCCTAGGACCAAATCTTTATATTAAAGGATTTTAATAAAATTTTATATAAATTTAATAAAATAAAAAAATATATTTTATATATTTATATAAATACGAATTATGATATATAATTTTTATATAAAATATTATATATATAAATTTAATTATTTTATACAATACGAATATATAAATCATCTAATAATTAGACATAATTTCATTGTTAATTGCGCACATTAATTCTCTAATAATTGTTGAATTAATTCTTCAATTAGCATGTATGCCATCGACAATTTCCTCTACTTCTATTCGTTATTCATGGTTTTTTTTCTTTCACGAATATTCGATTTTGTGAGATGATGATTGATTGAAATAAATTAAGCATATAATAATTATAATTACTTTAATTAAGCAAACAACTTTCATGAATCAATGAATTAGAACTTAAAGCTCACGCTTAATACTATTATAACGGCTTTAATTAATAAGTAATCAAAGTCATTTTCATTATGTTGGGTGTGAGGGATAGTTTAACAATGCTTAAATGATCATCAAGTTCTTCTGATTATCAATGAATCTATGTTCCACCAATTGCCATGTGCAGGCCATATATTTTTAACCTTTAATTTGTAATAAATAATGTTTTAATATTTTTAATTAAAGTAATGATCAATGAAAATTAATCAATCAATTTGTGTCTAATGTTTGCATTTTGTTTTCATACTTTAATAAATCAAATTCAAATTTATTTTTTAAAATTTATTTTTTAAAATATAGTTTTAAAAAAATTAAAATAGACAATTTCATAAAATAAAAAATAAAACTAAAAAAAATAAAAAAAGGAAAGAAAACTAAAATTAGGATGCCTTCTAGAAACCTTCACTTAACAATGACAACTAGTCAAGTTAAAGGTGGACTTTTTTTTTGCCTGAACATGGCTTTTTAATAATTCAATCCTGCTACAATTCAGATTGGACATCTTATTATTTTTATACTTGATTCCAGCTTATGTGTATAATCATCTAGCCTAGTTTAACCCAAAATGAATTCAATCATTTTAATTTAGTAAAATATTTATAAAAAATATTATTTAAATAAAAATTATATTTAATTTATATAGAAAATATAGTATTTTTATTTAATTAAATTATTAAATAATAATTTTGTTAATATAATATATATAAATATAAAATTAAATAAATAATAAAATTTATTATATATATATATATATATATATATCCCGGAGATGGTTGTGACAAAGAAACCCAAACCTGCATCTAACTTGACCTAATTTAAAAAAAGGAAAATCATCTTGACCCTAATTTATTCTCAATTTAAAAAAAAAAAAATGCCCATATCGGATGAGAAAGGGTTGGAATTCATCAGCTATTAATTGTTTTGTCATTCTTACTTATTGTGACCTATTTTCTTACAAAATATATCTAATTAAAAATTAAAAAAAAATAAAGGGAGGAATAAAAAAAAAAAGCCAAATAAAGATATTACGTAGACATCACAATTTAGAGATGTAACGGGTCGGATGAAGATGAGTTCAGATTCATTTTTAGATTGATCCAACTTTTTAATAATTTTATCCAACTCCAACATTGATTCGACATTAGATTTTTTTATACCAGACTTCAATAGACATATATATATATGTGTATAAAAAATACATTCGACTTTATTTAAAAATAATTCAATAATTTTAATTTAATATAATATTTATAAATATATATAATTTTTTAAATATAAATAGCATCTTAATTATCTATAAATGTAATATTTTTATTAAATTAATATATTAAAAAAATAAATTTATTGATATAATACATATATAAATAAAAAATTAAATAAATAATAAAAAATATATTTTTATATACCTGAAACAAAACATTTTAAACTCGTCTTTGACCCAATTACAATTTTTAAAAAGAAAAAACCACATGCCCTGACTAAATCTAGATTAAAAAAAAACCCTATTGGATTAGGACAAATCGAAATCTATCAAAATTTGATTATTTTATCGTCAAACCTCTATTGACACTTTTCTTATAAAATTTATCAAATTAAAAAAAAAAGACTAAAAAATGAAACGAAATAAGGTGAAAGGTGAACACTTTCATTGACATTTTTCTTACAAAATTTAATATATAAATTTTTTAAAAAATAATATAAAAGCAAGAAAAACTAAAACTAAAAAAAGGAAAGGCTAAAAAAAAAAAAGGCAAATTTGGGTATAATGTGGACATATCTATTACTTTTTTCTTACAAAATTATTTAATCAAAAAATAGAACAATGATAAAAAAATTAAAAAAATATTTTTTAGCCAATAATATCAAATGTATCCTATTCTAAAATAAAAAAAAGATTATTTATTAAAAATAGAGAATATAAAAAAGATAAAGAAAAGAAAGAGAAAAATAAATGAAGAAAAGAAAAAGGAAAGAAAAAAGAAGAAGATGAGATGTGGGTAGATCTAGTGTGGTTAAAATAAATAAAATTAATAATATGGATGGATAAACGAGAGATTTCGAGCTTTGGACCCTTTTCAAGCTATTTAACTGCTTAATTAGTATCTATCTATTACAATAAACATGTATTGTTGCTTTACACAGATCATTTTACTAATTAATCAGTCATGTAGAATTTAGATTAATCTTTTGTAGAAAAGTCAACTTCATGAATGACTTAATTAGTAATTGGTCCCAATGAAAAAGTTCTGGCTCATGATCATCTGCACCATCCTAATTACAGAGTGAGTTGCAATGATGGAACTTTGGTGAAGAATTCCTGTTCCCTATGCATCTGTTTACTTTTGAAATTAAGTACATATTTTGGAATTTGGAATCGAAAATTAAGCTCCAGCTAAAAGACTGACTCAGATGGCCATGGCATGCATAGGAGTACAGGTTCCATTGGCTCTCTGCAGGGTTTCACACTGAGTTATCCCTTATGCATGTATGCATATATTCAGAAAATCTTGTTATCTGCAATTTGTTTCTGGTATGTTTGTATGTAACCGGTTGGTATATTTAAAGTGGTGAAATATGAGGGAAAATTGATAGCTGCTGCTTTGAAGGATTTATATATATATATATATATATATATATATTCAGGTTAGAACTAATCTGCTAGCTTAAGCAAAACATCTAGCACGGCTGCATGCATGGGAAATCAACACTGTGATGAAATTACTGAACAAGGTTTGATCTTCTACAATATTCATTTATTAGAAGGATGATTTCTAGTTAAAATAAGTTTGTGATCCTAAAACAAAAATAAGGTATAACAGAATATAAAGTTAAGCTTTCAATTGCCGAAATGACCCTTACTGACTGATCATGAACTTTCAACTGTTATGATTTCTACGTTGACAGTGCAAAAAAACAAAAAAAAAAAAAGCAATATTTCAGACTGGCCAGCTAAAATATTCTATGCACAGTAATAACTATCTGTCATGGCATCTTGGCCTTGGGACAGGCGGCTGTCAAAGCACATGGAAACGCATTGCTTGGTGTCAAGGTGACAGTTAATCACATGGAAAGAATTCCTGCTTTCTTGGGTTGTTTTTATAAGTGATATCCATTGAAAAAAAAAAAAACAAAATAAAAATAGGGCGGCAGTAGCCTACTGGCTGTTTGATATTGATGGCAAGGAGGCATGGCGGCCATAGTTAAAGAAAACATACACTATGTTTTGGTGTTCTAGATATTCAATCAGTTATTCTCCTCCTTATTTATGTACGGAAAAAAAACATTGGTGGGTATTTCCCAGGTTAATATATATACTTTTTTTGTATGTCTTCCACTCTGTCTCTCATTTTTATTTCTGATATATCTTTTTGTAATGGGGAGGCTCAGATTCTACTGAATAGCTCAGACCATATGCTCCATTTAAAGCCCCATAATGTATATGTAAAACAATAGAAACCCTAGCTAATCTCTTTAACCTCTTAAGTGAGGCAAAGACTCAGAACTCAGAAGGTAAATGTGGCAATAAAAAGAAAAACAAAAATGACCCAATTCATTAAATGAGATCATTAATGTCAGCTTGGCCAGGATTTTGGCTTTTGGTTTCAAACAGTGTTGAGCAAATGCTACAGTGATTGGCTGCTAAATGGTGGTCCCTTGCTCTCAACATAGAGTTTAAAGGAACCCTAACCCTAGATAGATACTTTAACCAAGTCAACATCTACTAATTTTGATACTACAACAAAAGATGTGGACAGCTTACTAGAAAGGAAGGGAAAAAACTGTACATGTGGCTAGACAAAATGATTTCATGATCTGGCAATTCATTGCACTAGGTGATACTGGGCACTTGACCTGGAGATCTTCTAGAAAGATAAGGGAGAGGAGGAGAGTCACTAAATTGATATGGAAGAACTGGTTCTCAATGTGATTATTGTGAAAGATGAAACCTGATTCAATATACATACCACAGACAGCTAAAAGAAGAAAAGAGTACTGATGAAATTAACTAGATGGACCAAGTACGCAAATTTCAGGACTAACTTCTGAATTTTCCGAAAGATAATATATAGTACAGGTTGGCTAACCTGATAGCTTCCTTCTTGTTGCATCCGCGGAGCTGGAGCAATGAAATACCTTGTCATCACTGTTGTCATGAATCAGAATCATCAAATATTAAAGTACATATAATAAGATTTCCAATATATACAAGTTAGAAATATCGGTATCAGCTAAACATGTGAATTTAATTTCATCTCCTAATTCCCAAAACTAAGATTGATTCAAGCAAAAAAGAAAAAGAAAAATTGCAGAAGTTTGGGTGAGAACCATAATGCACAAATTCCATACATGAAATAAAAGAAACCTCACTAGATCAGGTCAAAAGGCTGCTTAATTGTCATCTATCCAACAGAACACATAAAATCAAGTGATAGATAGGACCCAATCTTGGTTGATTAGTGTTATCATGGTTAAAGCTAACAAACAGCAATGTTGTCTAATATCTAACCATATATATAACCTCAATTAAATGGCCCCAGATTGGGATTGTTACTGCTTCCAATCATACTGAACTTCAATGGAGCTGGAGCTACAGCCTGATTATCTGTCTGGTTCCTTCCATATGAAGATGGTTCCTCCTTGTCTTCAGTGTTGTTGTTACTAACCTTGTCTTGATTTGCTGCTTTATCTCCTTCTACCTCTCTATACTTGAGCAAGTATCTTCTTAGTGGCACTGCATACTCATCAAATCCTAGAGTAGCCAAAGCCCAGCAAATATCATCTCCATTAACAGTCTTGCGCCTTTCTTTTCTGCACTTCTCAGATGCTTCACTAGTGACAAAGCTAATGAACTCAGAAACACATTCTTGCATAGTTTCCTTTGCTTCCTTTGAGATTTTTGCATTAGGAGGTAAAATTTGCTTCATTATCCGGCCAACGTTGGCGATTGGAAGTAAGCGGTCTTGCTCTTTGATGCCACCATCATCATTTGAAGCACTAGCCCCAACGTTTTCGGCCATTTTAGGTTACCCCAAAGAACTTGATGATCCTGTTGAACCTAGACTTGTTGCTCAAGGTCAAAAGGCTAGTAATGTATGCGAAATTAATAAATGCTTGAAAGTTTATAAATACGCATGAAACCATACATACATATATACATATAATCACATATTAAACTTATGTCTTTCTCGATATCGATGTGACATGTGATGTACGCCGACCCAGTCGGCATCAATGGTGGGGGCCATGTCTATCAGCCCAATCTTTGCAATGCATGATGCAATGGTGATTTGAGGCAATATTGTTGTGAAAGTTGACTAAGTCCACCAGTGTTGACAGCCGAGCATAGTCATATACTTTTCCAAGTATGCTGATAGGCTTCATCGGCATGCAACATTAATATTGGATGCTGAGATGGCTAACAGTAATGATCAATATTTAAATAAACAAATAAAGCTCCAATCAGGTTTTAGTTCTCAAACCTTAAGCTTTAATGTTCACCAATGAGCTAAGAGTAAGCATGGCCAGTAGCAATAGCATAATAACAAAACTTTAAAGGTGGAGATTATAGTAATTGCATAAGGTTTTCAGAGTGGATTCAACCAAACACTTTAAATACGAATTGCATAGGTTTTGCTCAAGACTACATCATTCAATACGACAGCATAAACTAGTTGTGTTTTTTTTTTTCTTCCTTAATTTCATAGAGTTGTCTGAAGTTGAAATTGGTCAAAAGAGAGAGACCAAAAAGACAATAGAGGAAAGTATGTGTGTGTGTGTGTGTATATATATATATATATGTATGTATGTAGTAAAGGAGCTTGTTTCATGATCTTGGTATGGTCCATATTATAATAAAGAACAATGATGGAATGTGATCCCATATTCATGATATTTGTCGTATGAAATTTGGCTTACTGTCAAGGAACTCAAATCCTTGCAAATACACGGTTGGCGGTGCTTTTAAAATTTACAGGTCGGCAGAGATTGATCATGCACATTGGCTCAATCACCACTTCATGAATTGCTCTTGTTTTCTTTTGTGGAAATCAAAGATATAACTACTATAATTTGTTAGTGAAGTTTATTACAGCTTATTACAGCTTCGAGCCCTAAACACGTTCTAGTCAATACTTGCCTTTACATTTTGATTATCCGTACGCAAATTTCACACAAAATATGAAATACTACAGGGCATTCGACTATCCATCTCATGGCACTTAGATGCTTAAGGCAAATTTTCAGGCAGATTCCTTTTAAACTTGGTCATTCGAATTTCCTTCAAATGGTATTCGAAGCCTTTTTTTTAATTTTTCTTTTCAACTACATCAATTATAAACTTCGTTCTCATAAAAACAATTCAAGAACAATTAAGAAAACACTAATTCTTAGATAATATATACAACACATTATCTTTTCTAGATTGACTGTAAGATATACTTGCTTGTTATCTGGTTCATTATGGTTACAAGAATTCTAGTTGTAGAGAGTCAAAGTAACTTTAGCTTAGTTAAAGGGCAAAATCTTCAACAAGTAGGGGATTAAGTGCTGGTAATGCCTTTTGACTATGTTTCAACCTATCCCAATTGATTTAATTTATTAATGTATATGGTCTCTCTGCTATTATGACTAGCTACAACTAAACATATATAAATTTAAAAGAATTGCTCCTTTGCACGTTCCGTACAATTCTAATTATTACATGGTGTTGGGAGAATTAATTATAAAGTGTATGATTTGTTTAAGGAACATCTATTTTATTGAAATGATTGCTACAGCATGAATCATGATTGTGGGATGAGATGTTGGTTTAGTGAAATGAAATAGAAGAGAAAACAGGCCAATGATCAGGTTTTCCACATTGTCTGGCAAAGAGTAGATATAGGGGAAATTACTAATGATGAAACTGATAGATGATGGATCAAATTCTTTCTAGATTTTGGTTGATGAGGGCAGATCTGATCCCTGCAAGTAGATAAAGACATGTTGAGTAATGATGCAATAATTAACTATGATCCTCAGCCTGTTCCCCCCAACCCACTTCCCTTTTCTACTTTTGTACCATATTTTAAGTAATAGTTATGGAAGGAAACAGAATAAAAGACAGAAGAAAAGACAATCTGTTTCTTGATAAACTTGCCAGCATAAAGCCATAATTTAAGAGCAAAACAAAGTGGATTAATGCTATATGATGATAAACAAAGGAAAATACATATCCACTAACTTCATTTTTTACTGTTTTGGCTTTGGGTTTTTCATATATGGTCCCCTAGCAAGCAGGATTCCCTAAAAACTGGTTCATCAGAGAAATGTATGCCATTGATGGGTCTACATTGTTATTGCATATTGAAGTCTTTTTGGAGCCAAGTGATTCTTGATAACCTGAGGCTGAAGAAAACTTCAGTGGAAACAGCATCAAGCAAAAGCAAACCTGAAAATAAAGCTTTAGAGAAATGCTGGTGGAAGTTTGATGTAGTGCTTTGAAAGTAATAGGAATATCCTATATCTGATGTCCTCATCTGCTCTGCTCTCTTAATAAACCACAGCTAATGTTGCAAATATTCCAATTGATTTGGATTTAAGATTTGGCCCAACTGGGATTTGGAACCAAGCTTGAAATTTTTCTGAACAAATAGTTAGTCAACAAAATAAATAAACTAAAATGATTAACTTGAGCCACACTGCTTTGTACTATCTCCTTTGCTGTTATGCCACTTGCCATATGCTAATTGAATCTTTCAGCTTTTAGATACAGATACAGGCTCGAATATGTTTATTTAAAACATAATTTTTTATTTTTGCCAAATTCATATACTATTTTCACTAAAATTTAAACTATATTTTTTTAATATCATGTTACCGTGTCATATTTAAAATTATCTGATTTTATTTCTACACTTTCTATGCTAACCAAATACTAATTTGTAAGCCCCATTGGATTGGTTTAGGGCCTGGTAAATCAACCACCCAACAACTATGTCAAATTAAAAGAAATCTTCAAACTTAATTTATTAAAAAAACGTTTTAATTTAAACAATATATGTTGCTTTTCAATTGCTTTTCTTGGTGTCCATGGCCAGATTCTATGTATCTGCACCAGTGCTGATGGGATTTTTTTCAGACAGTGAACCAATAAGGATCAAACTGTAATAGGGTGAGAGTTGAAACAACATACCAGACACCAACAGGTATTTAGCTTTCCATTCCTTCAAATATGCCAATTTAATATATCAAACTTCCTGTTTTATTTAATTTAACCATGTTAGAAGCCTAGTCACTCTCATGTATCTTTCTTATTCTTCTATTACAGAAAACCAATGGAGGCCTCAATTAAATAATGTTTCTTTCATTTACCTACAACTTCAATCTAGTCAAGTTTCAGTTACCTTTTCCCCTCATCTACATGTACTATTTGGCATATGATTTTATATGGTGACACATTTCTTTCAGTAAGTAAAAGCTACTTGACTCGAAGTTGAGTGTCAGATACAGATATGTGTTTGATATCGGTATGTACAATTTTTTAAAAGTTTTAATTTTCATATATTTGGAGGATTAGACCTTTGTATTCATGTCCGTATGATATGTGTACATTTCAAGGAAAATTAATCGTCTGAGTAAGATAGGGCGAAAGTATAATTTGTTGTTCCACTACTATAATTAATCTTCACATATGCTTGAGAATAAACTTTTCTATCCGTAAAGTTTCAAGACTTGAAACTCTCACATATTTCAACTTAAAACAATCACAAACCAATCATGCAAGCAGGAAGCTTCTGTTTTGCAGCAAATGTAATGCTGAATCCTTATCTTTTTTGTTCAAGATCCAGCTCTGCTATGCTTTTATTCATTAATTTTTCTGCCACCATCTTTTACACAGTTGCAGGCCTGTATCTATTGTCAATGTCCAAATCTAAGTTAGATTATTACACTTTAATCGGAAGATGGTAGATATACCATTAGTATTGGTTGGAACTTTGGTGTCATATGATTCATATGTCAAAGATATGAACCATTAACCTCTTCATTTTCTCTGGTTCAAGCCCCAACCACACATTAATCCCTCCTCCACTATCTCCACATTTTCCATCAGAAAGCAGCAAAACAAATTCGTCATTCCCACTTACAACTGGCCCTCCATGAGTAGGCTTCCCGAATCCGAAATCAAGCTGATTGAATCTCAGTTTCCACCAAGCAGACGCATAGAAATTCCCATTACAAGTTGCTGGAATCCCTCTATAAACCTCCAGCCAATCTATCACTGACCTCACATACTCATCTGTTATGCTGGCTCTAGCTTCCTTTATCTTCTCCACATAGAAAGAAAATGGCTTCTCTACCAAATCAACCACTTTTGCATTAGCAAATGCTGTGACCACAGCATTGCCTGCAAAGCCATTTGGCAATGGTGGTGATATTTTAGACCTTATGTCCACTGCAAAAAGAACTGCAGAAAAATCATCTAAGTTTGTAAATATTGCTTTTGATCTTGCTCTCCAAATATGAGCTACCAGAGCCTCAAAGCTTGAGCACCTAGTCTTTGCTTTCTTTTTCAGGGTGAAGATCATTTCAGGAGTGAAAGAGAAGAGTTTATGAGTGTAAATGTTTGAGAAAATCAATGGAGATGGAGATGATTGTTCTGGTGCAGTAAAACACGATGCAAGTGATGATGTCTTTTTGAGTTTTATATACTCCTTATGTGGGTACCTAATCATTAGTGGATTCCTAGCTTTTAAACATGTTCTATCGTTGTAGATAACTTCGGTTTGTAGCCCTTCACCTCTGCAAATAGAGGCAAGATTCTCAAACATCTCACTGGCTGATTTTCCATCAAGAATAGCATGGTTTGTCACAAAACCAATGGAGAAACCTCCACATGCAAACCTTGTGACCTGCAAAATAACCGGAAAAAAAAAACTGTGAAAGAAAATTATATAAACTTTCATGGATAGTAACAAACTAGTATAATAAGTGTATGTTACTCGGACTCGGATTAGTGTCGCATTTGGGTATCTAAGTATGTGTCTGACATGAGTCCGATCAATTTTTTTATGATTTTTTCATATATTTGGACCGTCGGAGTACTTTCATATTCATGTCTATAAGATATGCGTTGGACGCGGATACTTAAAACTAAATAACTGGTTATTGGTTATTTAGCATTAATAATATGGTTACCTGTATGGTGAAAAGTGCTGTTTCATCTAGGCTTTTATACAGGCCAGGCCGATGAACAAAATGATGAAATGTAGAATTTGGAAGAGAAAGATTCCCAAGATCCTTTAACCTAAGCCTTGATGTTGCACTCACAAACAAAACTCCAGCATTGTTGCAAAGAAGCTGCAGCCTGTTGGTCTGGTGGTTAAAGCTGAGCCTGCCAGCCATGAAATAGTAAGGAACAAGAAGCACATCAGCCACTGCTTGCTTCACCGTAAGAGAGATATCAAGTGTCGAGGAGCTGATCTCGTCCTGATCAGGGACCTCAAAAAAGAAGACTGTTTCAACAGGGAAAGTGACTGCTTGGTCAATGTTAGATAAGAAAATTGTTTCAACCGGCATTGGGTTCTTTGGAGAAACTAATGTAATTGGCTCTTCCTTAACCAAGTCTTGATTGGTTACGGAAATGGTGAAGTAATCCATTTGGTGAAAATGTCAGAAAAATGTGATTATCTAGGGAAAATCAATATTGTGATGTTAAATATATAACAATTTATATTGAAGTGGTTAAAACTTGAAATAGGTAGGATAAGCATGAGAAGGTTTCAATGGCGTGGGTCCTAATTGATTGGCCAAAGAAGGTTTTTTTTTATGGTGATTTAAGTTTGCATTTACCTTTCATGGGGTCCTAAAATGGAGGCATGACAGTTTCATTTCTTTCATTTTTTTTTTACCCACCGTATATGATGAGGAAATAGAGACTGGAAGCCACTGGCAGCATGATCATGACCAGCCATTGACAGCATGACCATGACCATTTAACTTACCAGATTAAATTAACAGAATCCAACCAAGGTCCTAGGATAATTGGTCTACAATTGGAAATTTCATTGGATCTTCACATATTTAAAAAGCCCATAAATATATCAGGGCAATATAGAATAGGCCTAAAAATGAAGGAATATTAGGCCAAGATGTAGGCCTATACTCACCCCTTGTTTGATTTAGAAAGAAATTAAGCCCATAGCTTTAGCCCATTGATTAACAGGAATGCAGACACATGATTAATGAGTAAGGATGTCAATAGAAACGGTATGGGTAGGCTAAAATATTTTCAATCTTTATTATTTGATTTTTATATTACACATATTATTGTACTTATATTCAATAAATATTTTAAATTTATCTTTATCTTCGTATTCACGAATATTTAATGATTATGATTAATCCATGTACCTTTAATTTTATAAAAAAATTAAAATTAAAATTTATTTTTAAAATTTCTATTTTATATATTTAAGTAATTTTTTTATAAATATGTATTAATATTATTTTCCAATAAAAATATATTAATTTTAATTAATTTAAAATAATAATTTATATTATTTAATAAAAAATATATTTATTAAATATATATAAATATATATAAGGTACGATATATGATAAATATTATATTATTTGTCTCTATTCTCATACCTAATAAAAATTTAAAATCATATACATCTACATCTCCATACTCACAGTATAATATCCATCTCTATCTCTATATTTATTCGAATTAAAAGTTAAATTTCTCATTAAATATAAATAAAATTGATATCTCTATTAATAAAATTGTATTGTGATACGCATGTGATTCAATTTTAAATAAAATTTATTTAATTATATGCTTATTTGTTTTTTATTTCTTTTATATATAATATTTGAATAATATAATAGTAATAATATCTCTTATTCTAGTAATTTTATTGTAAAAAAAAATAGTTGAAAGTAATTTTTTTTTTTAACATTCTAAAATTTTTAACACTATATAAATATTTAATATATTAATGTGAACAGAATTCTTAGTGTTTGAAGTTGCTGTTATTCTTCCTTCCAAGAAGACAAGAAAATACCCAGCTGGGTTCCTTCTTTAAGGTTTCACCACATTAATAAAATAAAACCAAACTATCTGCTCTCCATGTGAAAATAAAGTAATCAGACACAAAAAAGAAAAAGTTAGAGAAGACGAGGTCAGCAGTCTTCCACTTCTTCTAATACCTTTACTTTTCTAGTAAGTAGATGAGGTCGAAGTTTAATGTAGTGAAAAATGACCATTAATAATATTATATTAAAAATTTTAGATTTTTTGTTAATTAATAATATATCAAATAAAAAATTAAAAATTAATTAAATAATAGTAATATATCAAGTAATATCTCTAAAAACTTAGCATTAATATATTTACACAAATTGAAAGTTAACAAAATATTATTTAATTATTTATTATTTTGTATTTATTTATATGATAAATTTGTTGTCATAATGATACTTATTTTTGCTTATTTATTTATAATTTATTTAACTATAGAATGCATTATTTATCTATATATTTGTTTAATTTTTAATTAATTAATTATATAATTATAAATTTTATTTATTATTTTAACTATTAGGAACACTAAACAAATTGTTTCTCACTCAACCTTCCTATATCTCTTTTAGATAGATTCTAAATATTTTAATTTATTTTCAAGATATTTAATTCAAACAGTTCATCCATATTTTTAAAAAATTAAATTTAAAAAAAATTAAAATTCGATCTTCGATTCTTGTAAGATTTCCTTTCTTAAATTTGATTTTTTTCAAAAAAATTGTAATCCATTGAATACTTTACTTTCAATTGTTATTTTTTAGGTTTTATTTTGTCGGTTTTGTGTTCGAATCTTAAGACGAATAAGATATAATTTATGATATTAGAAAGTAAATTTTTTTATTGTGTATAAAAACGAAAAAATTATAATTTTTAATTTCAAATTGAAGAATTTGATAGTGAAATTAAAAATGAAAATTTTAAAATATGCTATGAAAAAAGAAGGCCTCACAATTTATAATCCAAAAATTATACTACCTACCAAAAACAATATAAGACTTAGGTATTTGCAGCAAATTGGAGTTAATGCACAACCACTTTGATGTTAATCATGGGGCTCATATGTATATCTATATATATATATATATATATATATATATATATATATTAATTGAACGTTTTTATGTACAACCGACGTGGAAATTAGGAATGTTTTCAGACAAAGGTCGTAAATTTTTATATTTTAATTATATTTTTTTGACATAAACATCGTTAATTTTTATGATTTTTGAGTGAAAAAATATTATTAAGTTAATGATTTTTTATAAAATATCATTATTTTTCCTAATACAAATATAATCGATATTTTTAACATTTTTAATAAATATCATAAATTATTTATATGTCGTTAAACATGAAAAAAAAAAAGTCATTAAAGACTTATTACCGTATAATGTTATATATAATACACAAAATTTGGGTCAAAAATTAGTGTTAAAGGCCATTTATAAAAGGTGAGAATTTTTTGTTAGAAAATTGATAGAAAATTTTCACTTTCTATGATATATCTTATGAAAATTTGTTTAACTCGAATCATATTTTAAAGATTTTGTTTGATCGTCCAAATATATGTATAATAAAATGGAATGAAATCAAAGCCTACAAGGGCACCTAATTATACATTTTTTTAATAATTTGGAGCACAATTGGCTTAATATATAGGATTAATTTGAATTAAAAATGAATAATAACCAAAAGTTCTTTTTTTTTTTTATCATTACATCTTTTAATCTTTGTACTTAGTTGTTTTGTTTGAAATGCCAGTAAATGCATGATCAGCATTTGTCTAAAATAATCTAATGTCAATATTAGGGTAACCGCCATTTGCATTTTTTTAATTACTTTGTTTTTTTTTTTATTTTCTTTTTTACTTTATAAATAAAATAAGATAATATCAAAACCTGTTATTTTTTTCTTTGGCCAGTATCAAGGTTAGAGATGACAACAAATTAGGTCAAGGTGAGTGTTTGCTCACTTCAAATTCGATATGATTTTATACTTATAATATCTAAACTCGACTTAATTTGATAATTTTTTTAATATTTAAATTTGACTCGATATTATATAAAATTATACTAAATCTAATTTGATTTAACTCAAAATTAATAAAATATTAATTTTTAATATAAAAATAAAAATAAAATAAATATATATACTTAAATAAATAATAAAAATAAATTTATATATATATTGGATCATATCTAAACAGGTTTACTTAAAATCTAACCTAAAATTTTTTTTTATTATTCGATTTGAAACTCAATTTAAAAAAAAATCATAAAAGATCACAGATTAAAACTCGTCGAAAATGAATTAAGCTATCATCTCTAATCAAGACCTGTTATTAATAATAATAATAATAATAATAATAATAATAATGCACATATTGGCATGGACCCTTGTGGCTGCATCCACCTCCATCATTCCTTACAAGGTATGAACTTGCCAATTATTTATTTATTTATTGTAATTCTAATAAGATTATGAATATTTTTAAGTTTTGCTTGAATTTATTTTTTTAGATATATTTATTATGTTATATTCAAAAATTTATACATGTAATATTTTTTTAAATAAGATAAATAATAAAGATTGATATAAATGATTAAAATTTAAAATCTGAATATAAAGTATTTAAGTTTAAATCTTTACAGGTCTCTTTTAATTGATGATTTATAAGTTCAAAAAAATTTTTAAAAAATAAAAAAATTTCGTAAATCTGGTTTGGTGGCTTGCATACTCCTAAATTTTTTTTTTTTGACAAAAAAATAATAAGATAAAAAATTTTAAGAATAGATTGAGAATTGAAAAAAAATTTCTTTAGGATTTTTTAAAATGAAATGTAAAATAGTTTTCACTTTTTCAAATTAAATATTTTTAAACTTTTTGTGTGTAAAAAAAAAAAAAGTAAAAACCAATATTGTTAGAATTGAATCGGACTGGTTAGTTTGATCGGTTCAATTAGGAAACAATTGCTTTTTTAGTTTGATTCAGTCCTTAAAATTGAATGCATGTTGGACCACTTAAAAACCGATCAAACATATAAGTAGATCGGACCCATCAAATATGAAGCCGGTTTTGAAATATTAAATCTTTCAAATAAATTTTATAAGTATTAAACAAAGCACTACATATTTAATGTCAGATTAAATAGTCAACAATAAAGGCATCGCCCTATTAAACCGGTTGGTTGAACCGATAATTCAATTTTCGATCCAATTATTAAAATATTAGTAAGAACTGAAAAATAAAAGAACATAATCAATACTTTAAAAATTTATATACAGTCATCAAAATTTTAATTTACTGATTAAAAGCGTATGATGAAATATTAAATGCCTGATTTCGAATCAAATTTTTTTTTGTATTTATATTAAGATTTTATCTTTTTAATGTAACAAAAAAAAATTATATACATAAACTATGCTCAAATAACAAAGCTTTTGGAGAGATTTAATTGTTTCAAATGATTATTAAACATTAATAATTACTCCTAAACAAACCAATATTTAATATCATACATACATCAATAAAACAAGAGATTAATTTACTAAAGGAAATATGGATTTTTTAAAAAATTTTCAGATGAAATAAATTAATAAAAATAAAATTATATAAAAAATTTAAATTTGTGTTTGGTATTATTTTTAAGATTATCATAATAATTTAATTATCGAAATGATTTTATTGTTAAGATAATTTTATCACTCGTAATTGAAAATTATTTTATTTAATTAAAAATTATTAAATTTTAGTAATAAAATATCATTGTGTTTAATATTACTAAAAATTAAATATTATTTTGTTTGAAAGTATCAAAATAATCATGCATGTATATTACAATAGTTATACAAGTTTAATGATTTTAATATTATTTACAGATAATAATTTATAAAATATTAGTACTATTTTATTTCTTCATAATAAAATATAATTAAATTATTAATTTAAAATATATTTATTGATAGGTAAACTAGTTTTATAATATAAATTATGTTAAATATTATTTGAATTAGAAAATAAAATTAATCTATTAAAAATCAAAATATTATATTATATATAAATTCAAAAATTTTAAAAATACACAAATTATTTTTTTGACTTTGTTACACTAAATATTAGTTTTAAAATATAAAATTTATAATATAAAATAAGTAAAATTAATTTTAAAAAAGCAAAAAAAAAATAATTCAAATATTAAATTTATAATATTAATTATTATTAATTTTAAGTATCACTTCAATAATAAAAATTTATCACTTTTTTGAACAAGAATTACATCACTTCAAGAAAATGATCTAATTATTTTATGTATATCATTATAATTTTTCAAAAAATTATCTTATATCAAACATTATTTAAATATTTTTTTATTTTCAATGTTCCGGCTTAACACAATTTACAGTTTAACCGCAAACATTCATGTTGATGGCAAATGCTATTTTCCTAATTAAAATTTGGCTGGCAAATATATATTTAAAATCTTTTTCAAATATTATTATAAACTTGATCTAGGTTTTTTTTATACAAATAAATAAATAAATATTAATAAATTGGGGAAAAGGCCAAAGCAAAAGTAGAAGAGGATAATTTGGTAATTCGAGAAAACGAAATCCATTCTAGACATTTTTGTCATCCCTGCGCCGTCGTACTTCGCGTGAACTCCACGCTCCGCGCTCCTGCAACGACCATTCTTTTACCAACACTCTTTCAACAGCCTCCGCTATTTTTTAAGATTATTGGAAGAGAAATTTTTTTTTTACCAAACAATAAAGATGCCTTGAATTAATTCTATTAAAAAATATATTAATTTCATAATTCCAGAAAATTTTAAATTATTCACTTTTTTATTTTTTGTGCTTTAAATTGATATAAAAATAAATTTTTATTAAAAATATAAATTTTAAAATATATTAAATATCATTTTTAATATAGTTTTACGAATAATTAAACAAAATCTCGGATTCCAAATAAAAATATTTTCTTCAGCTTCTATAAATAATAATTTCATATATATGATTCAAAATTAATCAAAAGATAATTATTTTTTAATTATTGATAAAATTTTTTACTTAGATGTAACACACAATCATTTTAATCATATTATTGTAAATATATGTCGTTAAATGGAATTTTTTTAGAGTGTAAAAAACACTAAAATTGCAAAAAAAAAAAAATCTCATGTCAATGGGTTGATAAAACATATGCATGGTAGTTTAAATAATATTATAAAAATAAGAAAAAATAATAAAAATTATGGGAATTGAAATGTGCATGTAATTGAGAAAAATTATTTCATTTTATCATTAATAAAATATAAAAATTTTATTAATGAAATTAAATAATTATCACAAATTTTATTAAAATATATTTAAATTAAAAAAATTCATATGATAAATAATGGGATTGTGATAATATTTTTATAATTAAAAAATTTAGTTCTTTTATTAAATTGTTAAAGTGGCAAAAAATGAATGGTTAACAAAATTGAAACATTTTCGCCTCTAAAATGTAACGAGAAATCTTTTAACACGCCAAGGTCGTGTTACCACGCACCACGAAACGCGAGTGTTCATATAATTTTCCACCATCCGTCATAAAAACGGACCAGACCAGAGCCCCCTCCCCAAAAAAAAAAAAAAAAAGCCTTCGTAAATTATTAAGAAACTTTTCTCCACAAACAAAAACGACTTTGGTTTTTATTTATTTATTTAGTTTTGTTTTTACCAGTTTCTCTTCGAAATTTCGCCATGAAAAGCCAGCTCTCATAAACCCAGGTGAGTTAAACTCCCTCTTTCTCTTTTTTTTTTTTTCTTCATTTTCTCTCTTACATATTAAAGTTTTGTGTATATATGAAAGAGATATAGTGGTTTTTACTGTCTGTACATAAAAGTTCACGTTTTGTTTTTTTATTTTTTTTATTTATAATATCAATCTGAGCATAACAACGAAGACCCATTTCCTCAGGTTAGTTCTTTCACTTGGGTTTTTCACGTGGTGTTGGGTTTATTGTCAAGCACTCCTCCATTGAAGGTAACACTAAAATTTTCTTGTTTTTCTTGGTTTCTTCTTCTTATTATTGTTGTTGTTGTTGTGATATATGTATTGTGCTTTGCTTGTTTTACTAAAGTTAAGTTCTTGGTATGGTTATAAAGGTTTAAAGAAGTTGAATTTTCTTTTGTTTGGGACCGTATTGGAATTATTGTTAACTGTGAAACGGTGGTTTTTTTTTTTCTTTCTTCTTTTGTTTGTGTTGGGTTGGTTTTGTTTGTGCTTTTTGGAAAGGTTTTTGGAGTTTGAATGTTGTTTTAGTTTGGTAAAGATTGCATTGAGTTTGGTGTTTAAGGTAATTGTGCTTAATAGGCAGTTAGTTTTTAATGTAAAGTTTTTGGTTTTTGTGATATGGGATGGCTTTATTCTTCATTTTTGGCTTGAAAATGGATCTAGGCTCGGTTCCTTTTTGCAACCTGATAGCTATTTCTATAACAGTTTCTTTTCTTTTTTTTTGGTTGGTATGTGTTACTTTCCTGGAATTTGTTTACTAGAATCTTCATGTTGAATAAATTCATTATGTAATCTCAGCATATTTAGAATTTCTTATCATTTTTTTTATTTTTCTTTTATTTTTCTAAGCACTGTTTCATAATGGCATACTGTTTCTGGTGGGGCGCGTGGGAAATCTTCTTTAGCATTAGTAATTGGCTATTCCATTCTTAATGAATTATTATTATTATTATTTTTAAAAAGAAGTGGTATGAGTTTGAAACTATGGTATTTTCTTATTCTGCCTTGGAGTGAATAGTTGATTAATTCATTACTTAGCATATGGAAAATATATACTTATGAAATTCACATAGCTTAAGTGTTTTTGCTGACTCATTTTCTTTGACAAATTTTATTCCTCTCGTCAAGTATGATCCTAATCTCACAGATTATAGTATTTGTAAGAAGAAGAGTTAAAAAATAAAATAAAATAGAGTAGAATATACAAGAAAATGGCTCAATGTTTCCAGAAAAATTTAAGTGGTAGTTCAGAAATGTCCAAAATTTTTTAACAAAACTAGTCAATTTTGGCATTATGGGTAATTGTTTCTGTGGATTGTTTGGATGGCATTGACAGTTTAACATGATAAACTGTTGAAGACAGGTGTTTCTATAAATTTGAGCCTTCTCATGTGTTCTTTAAGTTTAGTTTTGTCTTGCAGCATCTTGATAAGAAAACTTCATTGATAACAAATATTATAATTATGTGAGGTGCATGCTTACATTTCTCTTGTTTCTGAAAGCCAAATAACAATCTCGTTTATGATAATTATGTTGCAGATGGATGTAGTTGAGATTAATCATGATGGGAATTGCAGTGAAGATGCATCTGATGAGCAATCACTCTCTGCAGCATCTCCAGATACTTATAATGTCTTTGAAGATCCAGAGGTTCATCCTCGAGTTGGAGATCAGTATCAGGTTGAAATTCCACCCTTAATAACAGAATCTGATCCTCTCTTGCTGACAGACAACCCAACTGATGTAAAAAGTTCAGTTGTGTCTCATGAATTCTTGACGGGATTACCTGTGACAATAATGTGGGTCAGCATGGAAGTTGAGAAAATTAAACATGAACCTGTCGAATCTTCTGTTAATTCTATTAATGTGTCCAATAAATATGAGTCTGTGAAATCTGAATGCATCATAGAGACCCACAGAGAAAATGGTGACTTGAAGACTATACTTGAGGCTATTGATATTAAGCCAGATGGTGGGATAAGTTTACAAGAATTGGAGAATTTAGATTTGCAGCAGGAAATGAAGATTGAAAAGCATCAGAAGTATAGAAGCCAAGGCTACTTTGCAGTTCCAGGTACCCCAGTTGATGCCTGGAACGATTTAGAAGAAGCAAGTTTTCTCCTTGGTCTATATATTTTTGGGAAGAATCTTGTTCAGGTGAAGAAGTTCGTTGAAAGTAAAAAGACGGGGGATATACTTTCATTCTATTATGGGAAATTCTATAGGTCAGACAAATATCACAGATGGTCAGGGTGCCGGAAAAAGAGAAGAAGACGGTGTATATATGGACAGAGGATATTCCGTGGATGGAGGCAAACAGAGTTATTATCACGTTTGCTTCCCCATGTGTCAGAAGAATGCCAAAATACTTTACTAAAGGTATGTTAGGAAGTGGCTACTTCTTATAACCATTCCACTTTCCTCACAACTTTGTTTTATGTTTGATACTTTGTTTCATGAAGGAACCTTTTTCATGTTCCATCTAGTAGATTTTTATAACTGTCATTGTGCAGCTAAAATATTGTACTTTGTTGCCTGCCAATGATAGCAGAGAATTGTTGTCTGTAATTTATTAAGTTTTATTTTGATTATTCGATCAATTGGTAGGTTTCCAAGGCATTTGGAGAGGGAAAAATGTTGCTAGAGGAATATGTATTCACTTTAAAGGCTACAGTTGGGTTAAATGCTCTTGTCAGTGCAGTTGGGATTGGTAAAGGGAAGGAAGATCTCACAGGCATTACCTTGGAACCACTGAAAGCCAATCAAGTTGCTGCTGCCAATCCTGAAATACCAATTGGAAAAGCATGCTCAGCTCTTACACCCTTGGAAATTATCAACTTTTTAACGGGAAACTACCGGTTAAGCAAAGCCCGATCGAATGATTTGTTCTGGGAAGCTGTCTGGCCTCGTTTGCTTGCAAGGGGGTGGCACTCTGAGCAACCTTCTAGTCAAGGGTATATAGCTGGTTCCAAGCATTCGTTAGTCTTTCTTATCCCTGGGGTTAAGAAGTTTTCTAGGAGGAAACTGGTGAAAGGAGACCACTATTTTGATTCTGTCAGTGATGTCTTGAGTAAGGTTGCTTCAGACCCAGGGCTTCTTGAACTCGAAATAGGAGCAGATAAGGGAGATAGTAGCAAGGAAGAAAATGGAACAGAATCTGACGCAGATGATCTTCCTAATCAGCAACGTCACTGTTATCTCAAGCCACGTATCCCCAATCATGGCGCAGATGTCATGAGATTTACCATTGTGGATACAAGTTTGGACAATGGAGGAAAATTTAAGGTAAGAGAACTCAGAAGCTTGCCCATTGAAATGAACATTTCCAACTCCCTAAGTGATTCTGAAGAAAGTACTTCTGAGGAACTCACAGATATATCTTGTTCGGCTGATACTTCATGTTCTGATAAGGTTGAAACTAATGGCTTGAAACCCACTGAGACTTTTTATGATAGGGAATTGTCTCCTGGTGGCAATGCTTCAAACAATAAGTTTCCAGTTGATGGTCAAGGTTCTAGTAATGTACCCGCCATCCCAGAGGACTCAAAAACAAAGGTCTGTAATGGCAAGCAGCCAAGAAAGTCTATGAAGAACCAATCAAGCCAGAGAATGAAACTTGACAATAAGAATCATCTAGCCCCTGTTACTAAACGACATCGGAGATTAACTGCTTGTAATCGCAAAGAGACAACCCAGAATGCAATGAATGTCTTGGTAGGTTGTGGATTAAAACAAATGGAGGCCAGTTGCTGTGAAGGAAATCCTGATGGCAGTGCAGAAATCCCTGGTGAAATAGATCCGTTTGAGCAACAATTGTCATCTGTCAGTTCTTCATCCAAAGGTAGCTCAGCTATTAGAGGTGAAGACATTCTCAGAAGTACTTGTGCTGGTGCTGAACAAACTCATGAGGAACATCAACATCGGACGTTTATTGACCTGAACTTACCTGTTCTTCCGGATGCTGAAACTGATGAGCCTTTGATGGGGGAAGTGACAGAAAGAGAACATGAAGGCATAACCTGGCAGCCCGACAACGCCAATCAACTGGAAGCCAGGCCAAGCTCTGAGCTGCAACCTAACTTGAGTACTCGGAGACAGAGCACAAGAAATCGGCCTCTAACCACTAAAGCACTTGAAGCTCTTGCATTTGGATTTTTAAGTACAACACAGAAGCGAAAACGTAGGGATGGTTTTGCAAAGGAAAGCTCCTTATCAAGACCTTCCCATCGAGCTCATCTTGGGGCCAAAGTTTCTGAAAATAATAGAGATGTTATGGTAGATTTCAAAGCCGGGGGAAAAGGAAATGACCAATGTTATAGCAATGGTGTCATGGAGCAAACTTCCGACCTGACACAAATGGAAGTGGACTCAAACGATGGTGTCTCATAATAAATGAGCAACTTGCCGACTTGACAAAAACAATGAACATCAAATGAAACATTCTTCCAATAATGTCTGCAGGAAGGGATGCCTTTTCTGGCTGCTATAAAATCTGTGATTGAAGAAAATGTCATACTTCCAACTGCTGTAATTCATAAGGCTGCAGATCCAAAGTGGACGTACAATTTTCACATTGGACAAAGACATTAAACAAAGCCATATCTGTAAGTTCTGAGAATCAGGAAGAGATCAGAAACGACCTTTCTGCTCAGATTTTGATCAACTCTACTCATAATATTTCATTCAAGACTGGTGTATTATACTTTTTAACTTTTTCATTTGTTTCTGTTTGAATTAGTTCATGGTGAATTACTGTTCTAATTTTTAGTAAGGATCATGTTTAACCTCCAACAAATTTAACCCAAATAACAAAGAAAACGCACACTCTTCTACCAATTGACAAACCATCTATTGGTTGAATAGTTACCTTTCCCTTTAAAGGCCAATTGCATTTAGAAAGAAGCATATGTTAGTAAGAAAAAAAAAATTGTCTTTGTAATTAAGGTAAGGCCGCAAGGAACTAACGTGGTGCGCTAGATGATTACCACGTTGCAAACCAGAATCATAGTCACTCTGTCATATTAAATAAACCAGCCCAGGGTCCCCACAAAAACATCTGTTTCTTACTCAATCTCTCTTTCTCTCCTCCGTTCCCCCTTCTCTCAAAAACACAACCAAGAAGCTCCCTTATAAGGGTTTTAGTGACCGTACTGTTTGCGAACAATTAAAGATATAAAAGCCTGGGTCTTTTCTTTTACGCCTGGAAGTGAAAAGTTTAAAAGAAAAGAGGGAGAACTAAGGGAGAGAAATGGGTCAGGCATTTCGTCGAGCGACTGGTAGGATTCGTTCGGTAGACCAATCACAACCCACAAAAACTGGAAGACCATTGGTTCCCACCGATGAACCGAAGATCTCCAGATCTTCCCAATATGATAATCTTGATCATGGTAAGTTATTTCCCCGCTCAAGTTAATGAAAGTTGATTTTTTTTATAATTATTTTGAGTTTTTATTTTATGTTTTTTTGATGGGTGATTGAATTGAAACTTTTTTGGGTTTAAAGAAAGAGTTACAAGAAGCAATCCTGAGAATGTATTGGAAGAAAGAGATCCAAAGTATGATGCAATGCTTAGTCAAATGGTGGGTAGGATTTCAACTAAGACTGGTGGCAAACTTGAAATGGGCGAGGTCAGTTGAGTTCATTAAGGGTTTTTTTTTTTTTTGGTATTATTATTTGCCTTTTTTTTTAATTGATAACAGATCAGTAAAAAAGAAGAATATTTAGCTATAATGGTGTTCAAAACTGCCTTAGATAGGATTGGTTGTTTTTTAAAGGTTTCTTCTTGGATGAAATGGAAAGTAGATATTCAGATGGTAAAGTGGGGAGCTTTTTGTATAAGAGTTGAACCACTGAATAATTTGCGGCATGTTTGGTTTACAGTTATTGAGAATTTTTTATCATGGACTGGCTATTCTGCAGAATAGCCATTTCAGGTCTATTCTCCTGAAACAAAGAATTGCCATTCCGAGCTCTCCCTCGGAATGGCTACTGGAGGCAAGGAATAGGTAACACTCCTTTTAGGATGATTTTACTCTCACCATTTTATGTTTTTCCAATCGTGTCATTGTTTGAAATTGTAGTTGTCTAGTGTAATTGTAAAGTTGTTTGAAATGACAAGTGCCCGAAAGCAAGTTCATGTCAAAAGAACTGTTGGTTTAGCCATGATCTTAAGCACCATTCCACATTCAGCCCCCCTGCAGAATAGCGATTTCAGGTCTATTCTCCTAAAACAAAGAATAGCCATTCCGAGCTCTCCCTTGGAATGGCTACAGGAGGCAAGGAATAGGTAACATTCTTTTTAGGATGATTTTACTCTCACCCGTTTTTTGTATTTCTAATCGTGTCATTGTTTGAAATTGTAGTTGTCTAGTCTAATTGTAAAGTTGTTTGAAAATGATAAGTGCCCGAATGCAAGTTCATGTCAAAAGAGCTGTTGGTTTAGCCACAATCTGAGCAACATTCCACATTCAGCCCCTCTTTCTGGAACTTGACTATGATTAGCTAATGATGCTTTTTTCGATCTAAGAAACTGAATCTGCAATCCATATGATATCCCTCTAGTGTTTCTTCCTTCATATAATTGTGAGTTGCACCACCTCTCCCCATTCTTGATTTACTGTTTAAACTCTCTGCCTTTGTGCTTATTCAACTTCTAGCCATTTCTATGAGAACAAAGTTTAGCTAACATTTAATGAACTTCAGTCCATTAGAAATGGGATTTGTCCTGTTTTCACTGAATCCAATATATGTTTATTCGAATAGAGGGATGAGTGGCTAATGTAAAGAATTCAGTAAAATTATTTCACTTGGTATTGAAGTGGCAGTATTGGTTGGCGGTATCGGTTTGTAAATGGTGTTAGACAGGAGAATGTTTATGCCACAATTATAGTGTTTTTCAATGTTGGCTAATAATTAACTTCATCCCACGATAGGCGTTTGTGGTTGAAAATCCCAGTAGGCCCTTGCCAAAATTGCGGAATACAACGCCAGACTCTGTAAGGTATGAAGAAAGGCCTGCAGCTCCAGGAACCTTGAATGTGAAACAGCTACACCACATCATGCTTTTACATCAGGGCAAGGCTGATGATCATGATGGTCCTATGGATGTTCACCAGATTGCAGAGAAGTTTAGGCTAGATGCGGCACAGGTCCAGAGGATCTTGCAATTCATATCCCTGCCTCCAGAGGACAGCACTAAACAGAAAAAGCACCAATAAACACCAACTTTCGTTTGCTCTTATGAAATACAACTTGGTTTTTCTGTTGAATAAGCTTGGTTCATTCGGGAGAAAATTTTGTAGTCTCTTATCATCTGATAAAATGGTTGATGATAGATATTCTTCCTCAGAATGCAGAGAGAAACAATAGATAATGTGTTTTGCTCCTCACTTTGATAGATATATTGTATCCTGAATGATGTAATTTTTTACGTTTTTTTTTTCTCATTTAAAAAAAATGAAAAAGAGTATCTTATGTTACAGTGATCCTGGTCTTATCCCTACAGTTTCAGAGGCAGCAATCCCTTTGCAAGTTTATAGGCCGCAGGCGAGGGGCTGATGCCAAAAAAGTTCAAGGTTAAAGCTTTTGCTAAGATCATGCAAAATTGATATACCATTACCACACAGTACAGGATCTGCAACACTCTGGAAATTCAGTGGTTCCATAACTGCTGCAGAGACCAATGAATATCCAATGCGATTCCCTTCATTTTATAAAGTGCTACAAAAATTTACTCTGCTCTACATCTTAGTGCCTGTAAATAATGATGAAATTGAATGTAAGAATAGGATAACCCCTTTCTTATCCTCCTATCCAGGGAAAAAGAATGAATTTTCTAATTGAAGAGAAGGGAAACATAAGTGAAAATCTAGGTTAGGTTCAAGTCAAAATGGACTCTAACAAATCTGACGTAAACTCATAAGCCACAAATGTTACAGCACCGGCAGGTGCAGCTTTGATTGTTGATGGAACAATTCCCTTATAAAAACCATGCCAACCTTCTGATTGCCAGATTCGACGTAAGGCATCAAACATGTTCCTATAAGCATGATCTTCTACTTGAGCTCCATACTTTGGGTGCCTCTGTAGTCCTTCAATCTGAAACAGCCAAGAACAACAAAGTTACGTAAAGTATCACGTGCTATTTAAAAGGAAACGAGCTAAATATGTAACACTTTGGCTATTAGTTCTAACAGAAATAGATATTTATCTAAAGTTCACAGATTGGGTGATGCTGCAATGTAAGTTTCAACAAGCCAAGACATCTACCTGGAACCTTTTTTTGACTACATCAAGTGGATGACAGACGAGTTTCGCACAAGTACCAGCTGCTAACCCACAAATGAAAAGTTGAAAACTTGAAAGGCTATCATCCATGGTTGAGTTTGTATTAGACAAACTTATCTGATTCCAAGCCTAAGATGATAAGTAAAAACCAAAACCATGCATCAAAAAATTTTTTAACAAATTTATATTCAACCTTTCAGACCAAGACTAAGCATTAACCAAGTGCAAATAAAAATTTCAAAATATCCAAAAGATTACAGTTTATCAAACATTCTCTAAAAAATTTAGTCAGCACCCAGTGAGAAATTAAATTGGCATTCCAAATTTCAGATGCAGATAGTTTCTGAAAACAGTAACATCAGAACAACCAAAAAAGTGTTATCTATTCTACACATCATTCTGTTGGAATACTATATACCACATCAACAATCAGATATACAAAACCATCTAATCCCCAGGTTTCCTTATCTTAAAAGTACAATGCTCCAAAGAGCAAAGAGATGACAGGATAAATATATTACTTATACCAAGCATTTATAGACAAGATCCTTTCAACACAAAAATGAACAAAAATCTCACCATGGTCCACCGCTTAAATGTATCATATGTGCCAAACTGCAAGCCAGCATAAGGAATGATCTCAACCAGTGTTGGTGACAAACCAGCATACAATCCTCTGACGCCACGAGTTCTAGTTATATCAAAGAGTGCTGATCTCATGTTGGGGTATACCTACATGTAACCAGGAGGTGCCATATAAATGAACTAACTTGAAGAAATCAAAGCTTTTGCAGGCAACAAGTATGATGGTGCATTGGATGTTTCCATGCTAGAAAATTTCACTCATCAGTTCATGAGTTCACAAACACAATTAAAAAAAATTCCAAAGAGGTTATGATCTTGTAAATTATATAGCAATTCAAATACATATTTCCTTCACATAATTGAAGAAATTGTTGACAAAGCAGAAAATGATATCACAGCATTATTTAAACTTAATACCTTAGGTTCACCTTGTGAAGCTAATATAGTCCGTAGAAGATCAAAAGGATAAGATCCAACAGTAGCTGCACAACCTGCTAATGCCCCACTGACGTAAGACAGGTAGGGGCTTATATTAAGGTGATCCGCTGCACCATCATAAAACAAGACCATGATAAATCAAAACATAAGACACAAGATAAGGCTATCCTACTCCAATCTACCTTATACATCGGAGGACATCAAAACATAAATAATTTGTATGCTTCTATATCAACTAGCTAACATAACTTATAACTTGTCACTTTTGATCATGCATAGGAAAAGGCACCGTCCACTTTAAAGTACCTGTCTTGGAAGAACCAGAAACAAATGTTTTCAATTTGTGCAACACTGCAAATTGTATGGCAGTATAAGGCATAACCATAAGTAAAGCTGGGACATTACCACGCCAAAAACCCTGTCATAAGCAAGCATACTGAATGAAAAAACAAAAGCTGATCTACAGAATTTCGGGCAAATCAGTGTACAGAAAAGAAAAGGCCATCTAACAATGCAATCAACTTCACAAATTAATAAGCTCTCTATATAAATCATTCACAAACGTAACCACTAAAAAAATGAGGAAACAAACATACAAGTGTACAAGAAAATGGCCTTCATACCGCTAAACCTTCTTCCCTGAATATATCCTTTGTTGCCTGAAACATTCCAGTGTATTTTGATGATCCCGAAAGATCTTTGCGAAGCAAAGCCCATGAAGATGTGGGCTCCAATTGAACCTATCAGCATAGAAAAATAACAAACTTTTTAATGTTGGCAACAAAGCATTAACTTACTGAAACAAATGAGTGTGGCTGTGATAAAAACTCTTAAATTAGTATACAAACATATAAAGATTAAAGAATGGATATAATTACTTCCCACAACAATTGGTTAATACTTATTAAGGCAAACATATACTTTTGAAATTCAACATTACAAAACTAAACTCAATTGGATTCATCTAACACTCCACTCCACTATAGGCCTAGCAATTTGCTCCAAAAAGCAGTTTCATTCATAAAAAATAAAAAACTCAACAAGAATTTCATATATACAACAATAATTACAGTAATTCCAGAATGCTCGTCACACTAAAATAAACTAAAAAAAAAAACCCAAATTTTTTTACCTGAAATCTGATCTTAATAACATCAAGGGGAGAAGTAACAGTCCGAGAAATGCCACCAGAAATAGCACCGGCGGAGGCATCCAGTAAGGCCCTTTTTAACTGCCCTGACTCTTCCATGGTCAGAGCTTTGCCTTATAAAAAAAAAAGACCCTTTTTTCTCTTGCTCTCTGGGTTCGGACTACCAAACAGAAAAAACCCAAGTTTCAAAAGGGGAAAAGGATTTACAAAGATAGGGTTAGTGAAAGAACGTCGGTGAAAAAAACGGGATCAGAAAAGAGAGAGAAGATAAAGGAAGCTGAGAATAAGGAAGAGGACAATAAAATGAAAGGCCGCCATTGAATTATAACTATTATTTGAAGAGAGAGAAAAACGAAGGATTTTTCCTCTTTTGCCACCTTGTTGGATTGAGAGAAACGGCCACTTGAAGTAAAAAACTGAGAAAACAGAGAAGGAAAATGCAGAGATATTCAAAGGTTGAGAGAATCAGAGAGATTTCTTTTTATTTTATGTTTTCCCTTTTCCTCTTCTTGAAATCTTTTTAATAAAATTATAATATTTAATGTAAAAATTTAAATTAAATAACTCATTAACAAAATAAATTAGATGATAATATTTTATTAATATATAAAACTTTAAAAAAAATTTAATTTATATACATTTATTTTAAAAAATAATATTTATTTATTAATTAAATATTATCATTTAATTCATTATAAATTGATAATATATCAAAAACTAATATTACTTAAATTTAATAATTTTTTTATATTAGTTATTTTATATTAAATATACATATTATATAAAAATTATTGTATGTCAGACAAATAAAAACACATATTTTTAATTATATAAATTTTATTTTGTGTTTATTTTTATATTGTATTTTTTGTATTTAAAATTAATTAACTTTTATCAACAAAAAATTAATTAAAAACTTTTGACCATGTAAAAACTAAAAATCATTCTAATTCAAACTCAAATACATATTTAAATGAAAATTGTTATAGTAAATTTTATAAAAATTAGATTATTTTGTTAGCCATACCAAACCTGTCTAGGACCATATGGTTAATGTTTTGATGTGTTTAATTATTATTGGCACCAATTAAAAAAAAAATTCCTTAAAATAATTGGTCCAAAATTTTTGTTTGTTCTTTTTTGCAAAAGTGCCCTTATTTCATGACAATATTGTTGGTTTAGAATATTATAAGTAGACCTGGTCCAATCCAATCATACTTGTCAACAGAATCCTGTTTCTAGCATTAAGTTTTTATTTTTTATTACTTTGTTTGTATTAATAAAGTCTCTTCAATCCTATTGTTGTCATCTTGACTTTTTACTTTTAATTAATTAATGTTTATAGATATAAATATTTATTTAAATTTAATAATTTATATATTTATATCATATAAAATTTTAAAATTTATATATTTATATTATATTTTATATAAAAATTATATATTACGATTTGTATGATATAAAAATATAAAAAATATAAATTTTATTTTATTAAAATTTTGAATCGTATTATTTTATATTACTGTATCATATTTAAAATTATCATAATTATATTTATTTTTTAATACAAGATTAGATTACATAAAGCATAGAAATACTCTTCTTTTTTATTAACTATTTGTAATTAAGAGGTTTTATATGAATTTGAGCTTACTTTAGATTTTGGCCTTTGATTTTGCTTTGGGGTCGTTGGCTTCACATTTAAAGCTCACCATCCATGTTGGATATCTAGATGGTGACAATTGGTTTTGAAAATGTGAAATTTTCAAATACATAAGGATATTAATTCAAATTCTAAGAATTTTTTTTTCAAATTCAAATTTATTGAGAAATTTATATAAAAAAAATTTCTTCATAAATCCGTAAGATTTTACATAAATAAATTTACTTGAATTGTTTTAATGTACATAACAAAATTTAAAAATATGCTAAAAAATTGTGAAATATTCAAATGAAAAGAGAAAATAATGATATGTTTAAAGAATTGGACAATTTGAAAATATATAGTTCCAATGTGAGCAAACTTTGAGGATGTTAAAAACACTTAAAAATTTAGCACATGGATGTTAACAGTAGTCAAATACTCCGTGACACTCAAATTGCTTTTCTTTATTGAAAAAAAAAAAATCAAGTGATCTATATTTGAATCTATAATTTATGTATTTTTTTTATTTAAAGACTTGATTTTGATTTTTTTTTTGGATATTAAAAGAATTTGAGTGGGATGCCACCACCAAAGTGAATAATGTAATGTTTCATGCTTTGTCCTTGTTGATAAAACAATGATTGATATCCCTTGGTTTCAATTTCAACCCCACAATTCAATCAATGAAACCAGGTTTCTCAATTTTGGACTGTTAAGATAGGTGCTGTCTTCTTTTGAATTCATTTGAGATAACACCAACGAGGGACCAAAAAGAGGCCACCATCGAGATTCGAATCTAAATATTTCATACCGATGAAAGTGAACTCAGCAAATTGAGCCAATCCCTTAATGGTCTTGTGAAAGTAATTTATGCCTTAAAGACTGAGCTTGATAATTGTACAACTCTTCCGTTAAAGCTAAACTTGTTTTACATTAGATTGTCTAAACCAAGCTTGATAATTCAAAGGCTGCTGAACGTACAATGCTGGTAATGCACTTCCCTCTTCATTGTCTTTAATCGGTATTCCCATCAGTTTGAGCTGAAAGCCAGATTTGCACGATTTGGACCCTTTGATTCTGTTCCTCAGTTGTTTTGGAAATCTTCAACATATCGGATTGTATTCAAATATAAATCTGATGCTCATGTAGCATATAGGTATGTGTCCCGGAACAATTCCCTGTTTGGAAATGCAAAGCTGATAGATTGCTATACCTGCAAGCATTGGACATGCCAGCCTCGGAATTACCGGGATCAAAGCAGCGGCAGGGAGCAAGCAATCGATTGTCAATAGCTAGCTGTGTCAAAAACTCTAATGTGACTCAACCAGCGGGTGGTTCTTCATTGTCTTGTAATGTGACTGTTGACTGCTGAGATTCCTGGGAACTGACAGGTGTTCGTTGCTCAATCTCCAGCTGCTCTCCATCCTCTCCTAAACCATATTATGGATGCGCTTAAGAACTATGGATTTGACCATTTTGTTGTAGCATGTAATGCGCGATATGAGGCTGAGGCAGGGAACAACTGCATCCACAGTACATCAATACCTTCAATGTCGACATATCCAGTCAGATGCTAAACTTTGACTAGTTATGCAGTGAAATTATATCCGACTTGAAGTGCTGGTTGGATTATATGCCTATGAGCCTATCCTCTCTGATAAGTGCCAACAGCAATTGACAGCCACAATCAAGTATCAACTCATGCACTTATGCTTGTGTAGGGAGTAATGATACTTATTCTATTGCCATTCTTGCTGTTCATAACATCCCAATGGTAATCCATCTGGTATACCTAGGAAAGATCAACGAAGGGTGGACTCTATGTTTTCTATTACGTGCTTTTTAAATGTTATACTCCTCATTTCTAATTGGTTTCCTATGCTCATTCTCATTGCGCTTTATTTTATGGATTTATTCATAGAATAAAACTGCTTTCTTTGGTTGATCTGGTCCTGCCATGAAAAGTCAAGGCAAACCGAACTTGGGTTCAGTTGATCTGTCCATAAAAATTTTTTGAAGACTGTGCTATGAAGTGTGCCCTTAGTTACCTTGTTTGTTCTTATTGAGGAACCATTATTTCTTGAATGATTTTATCTGATTGTTTCGGCTTCGAAAGGTTTCAAAAACCAATGAGATATTCCAAAATATTCCACAGAAGACTCTTTGAAAGTCCTATAAATAAACCATGGTTAATAATTTGTCACTATCATTCACCAACCATGGTTAGTTCTCTTTTCCACAATGCCCCCGTTGGCGTTGACGTAACGTTTTCCAGGAAATAATAACAAAAACCTAGGTTTCTATGGTTTGCCTATTCTCCTCAATTCAACGTTTTTTTATTTTCTCTTTTAGCTATGGCGCACAGAACCTTAGAGGTTAACGTCATCTCTGCAAAAGGCCTCAAAAATGTTAATCTCATCGATAAAATGGATGTGTATGCCATCGTTTCCCTCAAGAGGGATTCGTTGAAGCAGAAGCAGAAGCAGAAGATAAAAACCCCTGTGGACAAGGATTGTGGCAAAGACCCAAACTGGAATTTCCCGGTCAAGTTCACCGTCGATGAGTCCTTGGCCAAAAGCAACAACCTGAATCTGAAGTTCAAGATCAAGTGCGAGCGTATCCTTGGAGACAAAGAACTTGGTCAAGTCAACGTGCCTGTTAAGGAGCTCCTGGATTCATCAGGTGAAGGCGGTTCCATGAAGTTTGTCAGTTACCAGGTAAGGAAACCGTCAGGAAAACCTGAAGGTACCTTGAATTTTTCTTACAAGTTTGGAGACAAAGATTCAGAGCCTGTCAAATCAGATAAAAGCAAGGGTGAGCAGTCTGTTACTGCATATCCGGCACACATGGCAGCAGGGTCAAGTTCTGCCCCATATGGCGCTCCTGGACCTTATCCACCACCACAGCCAGCTGGTTACGGATACCCACCGCCACCTGTAGCGGCTGCATATGGTGGATACCCACAACAGGCACCACCTCCACCAGGGTATGGGTACCCACCTCCACCAGGGTATGGGTACCCACCTCCACCTCCAGGATATAGTTACCCTCCACCAGGGGGATATGGGTACCCACCAGTGCAACAGCCGCCAAAGAAGAACAGCAATTTGGGATTGGGATTGGGAGCTGGGTTGCTTGGAGGGGCGATTGGAGGGCTGTTGATTGGAGATATGGTTTCTGATGCTGCAGCTTATGATGCTGGGTTTGATGATGCTGGTGGTTTTGATTTTTAATCTTTCCCTTTCTTTATGCTTTTTAATTGGGCTCTGTTTTGTATTGTATTAGAACTATTATTGATCTTATTAGATTAATAATACTTGCTGCTACTGTTCATCACTATTTTCTTTTTAAAAATATTTTTCCATTTCTGAAAGGGGAAAAAGCGTATAAATAAGAATTTTTAAGCTTTCTTATGCTTCTCATTGGAAATTGATTTGGATTATAGACCTATTTTATTTCAATAGTCATAAAAGGCCATATCTCCATGGAAGAAGCAAGAAGGTAATGTACTCGACTTGATTTGTGATCGCAAAATAACTAGTATCCAAAATAACTAGCACCTAAAGGGTTTCATGTGACGTTTAAAAATCCGGATTAGACTGAGGCTGAGGCTTAGATGGATGGTGAGATATCCTTTAATAAAATCGAAAATAATAATAAAAATTATTGTAATTATGATTAAAAAAATTAACAAAAAATTTATATGAAATGAATTTTACTATAATTAATATTTGAATTCAATTAATTGCATATTGCATCAGTGTGGTGGAATCCAAATCTGGGTTGAGTTGGATTGGGTTTCACAAGGTTCCTCTTGCTTCTTTTATATATTGGAAGTAGATGAAATCTGCATCATGCTGTTGATTTAAACTTAAATATAAAATGTTAAAAAGGCGAAAGATCCAAACTCTCAGAAGTCTAATTCGAATCGAAAGTACTTCAAATTTATAATTGCTTTAACTCAAAATAACATGATCCAAAATTATCGGTTGCAAATCCAACCTACCTGTCCAATTGCTACTTTTAGCTTGGAAGTTCACTTGTCCTTGGCTTTTTGGTAAAGGCTTGTTCACTAAAATTCATTTATATACCTGTTAACCTTTTTTCTTTGTTTGTGCTTCTAGTGGCATGGCATTTCAATGCCTGATGACTAATTAATAGCCAAACACAGTTCTTGGCCTCTCAAATTCTTGGCATTTTTTTTTTTTTTTGGTTTTTGGTCTTTGTGTTGGAACCTATACGACTTTCACAAGGCAATAATTTATTCAAATAAGTCACCACAAGATGTTGTTTTTTGAATTTGTTTCCAATGATGCCTTTTCTAATAGCTAAGCAACAAGAACACCGGCAAAAGAACAGATGGAAACATATGAATCGATTTATCTTATCAAAACCTCTTAGAAATCAAAAAGCAGTATAGCAGTCTTTAACTATATAAACCAACCCTTCTTCTCAATCCCCATCTTCTTCTCTTGCTCAGCCAATAGCTTATAGCAATGGCAATCAAAGTTCATGGAATTGCCATGTCTACTTGTACCGCGCGTCTTTCTTTGGTTGTGTGAGAAAGGCCTCCAGTACTAGGTTTTTCCAGTTGATTTACAAAATTCTGCACATAAACAACAACCTTATTTGTCTCTAAATGCAAGAGTACTAGGTAAAACATTTCATTACCAATGAAGTAGTTTGCACTTATCTTTTTCTACATGTAAGCTGGCGTTGTTTGGTTTTTGTTCTTGTGTTCTATTTTCTGTTGATAGCCATTTGATCAAATACCTGCATTAGAAGGGATGTTAATATTTGGTAAGATTCATTATTCTTGAAATCACAAATGTTTTTGTTCTTGATATATCTGTATCAATTATGTTGAACCAGAATCAAGGGCAATCTTCAAGTACTTGGCACGCAAGTATAAGGACACTGGCATCGACCTCTTGGGAACCAGTAGTTTTAACAGAGTCCACCATGGTTGATACATGGATGGAAGTGGAGGCTCACCAATTCAGTGGTCCAATGCAAGCAATCATTCACTAAATGGTTATCAATCCGATATATGGAATTGCCCCTGATGACAAGATCATCGAAGCTGAATTGGAGAAGCTGGGAAAAGTTCCTGATGTCTATGAGGAGAGGTTGTCTAAATCTAAATATCTTGCTGGTGACTTCTATAGCTTGGCTGATTTGCACCATATCCCTTATCTTGTTTACTTCATGAGATTTCCTAGATCATCTTTCATAAATTCTCATCCTCATGTAAGCGCATGGTGGAACAATATTTCATCGAGGCCTGCAACGGTTAATGTTGCTGAATCAATGACACTCTAGATGGTCTTTCTGATGAGATAGAATAAAGAATAATTTGCTACAAATACCTTGTTGCTGACTTGCTGCTATCCCTGCTCAAGTAAAAAGAATGTTGATTTCTATGTACTTTCTGGTTTCTAATAAAAAGTGTTCGGTAATAGAAATTTGGGATGTCTACATATCGTGATTTCCTATACCATCTGATAATTCTGAGTTCTGACACTAAATGGAAGTGCTCAGGCCATTAGAATGATCCTGTAGACAACATTGCCTTCATATGAAGGAAGTTTATTAGGTTAATCTAACATAAAATCTATTAGTCAGGGAGCCTTGAGAGACACAAGGGCAGTGATGATTAGCATTTGGCTAACCCAAGCAGTGGCGGATTCAGCATTTACATTTTCAAATGTACCACAAATAATATATATGAAACACTACGGACGAATTTACCAATTTTATCTATGGAAAAGGCGTTTTAAGAAAAATTTTTCTTCAAATTTTTTTGTTTTCTAATTTTTAGGGTGTCCATAAACATTTTACTGTCCCATTTGGATCCATCTATGATCCCAAGCATGGAAAAGAACATATATTTGAGGATATAAGAATTTCAAAATTTTTCAAAAATTGTTTTCCATAATTTAATATTGTCTAGTTTTTTTGAAAACTCCTTGATCTTCGAGATGATATGATCCTGCAATGTTAATCCATTAGCAAATAGATTGAGACCAAGAAATTCAATTTTTGTTTTTTCAAGTTCAACTTTTTTGAGACTTAAAATAATAACATGAAAAATAAATTCTTAAGTAATAATATTTAGGTATTTCCTGTGCTCATCTATCGCAGAAAGAAAAATAAGTATATCATCAATATACACACAGTAAAATTGTTTATGTTTACTAAAAATAGTATCCATCCAATACTGAAAAATTTGTGGTGCATTGCATAGACCAAAAGGTATAACAGTCCATTGGTAATGGCCTGTTGGTGCACTAAAAGCAGTTAAAGGTTTAGATTCGGGTTTAAGCATGATTTGTCAAAAACCAAACTTACAGTCAAATTTTGAAAAATATTTAGCATTTTTTGCTAAATTTATCAAGACATCTTTTCAAGGAATAAAATAGCCATCAAAAATAAGATTTTGATTTAATTTCTTATAATTGATAACCATGCAGGGGTTTACCTCATTTTATCTCTGAATGGTTTCTTACCATGAATGCTGCGCTTGCATGTGGACTGGTAGTTGGTTCTATCAGTCTTTTGTGTAATAATTTTAAGATTTGGATGTCAAATTTCTCTATATCTTGCTTGGTATAGATCATGGGCTTTACTCTTATTATTTCTTTTGGATTGTGAAGAGTAAGCTCACAATATCGTGGACTTCTTTTCCATAGCTTCAATGGTTGTTCACTGAAGTTTTTCTACAAAATCTTATAATGCCAATGTTTTTCATTGATTGTTTTTATAACATTAGTTTATCTTTTTATCACAAATATGCTTATGTTCTTGTAATAAAAGAATATCAACTGATTTTTTATCAATTGTAAGAGTAACATGAGTATTTGATATAGAAAATGGAATATAAGTTCGTAAAAAATTATTTCCTAATAATATATCTCCATGCTTGTTAGGAAAACATAATATTTTTGGTATTATGAATCTAACATTATTAAGATAAACAAGAATATTTTTTGCTTTATAACCAACAATAGTTTCCTTACCATTGATACCTATTATGATGATAGGATGCTTCATTGGTTACCATTTGTTTATGGGTAAAGCATTGTTACGACAGCTTGAGATAGTTGCTCCAGTGTCTAGCAATATATGTAGACTATACAATTTATAGGCCTGAAATCGAAAATCACCGTTCACAAAAGTATAATATCTATCTTTGTTAGAGAATAATATAGCGTCAGGTGCAGATAATCTAAAATTATTTATAAAATGTAACATTTTTATTTCTTCTTGTCTAGGTGTTCTAGATGAAGTAGTATGTGAATTTAAAACAGAATTAACAGAATGATAATATGATTGATTATCACCTGTACTTTGCTGAGATGGATTATCTCGTGCAAATATAAGAATTTGAGTATTACCTGTATGGCTTATACTGTTTGCTTTTTGAAGATTTCCTGCAGTGTTTGTACTTTGAAATCTTGAAAAAGAACTTCTGTAAGGAGTATAAAAAGATTGATTGCTAGTTATACTATCAATATCATTATCTTTTTTAAGATAAAAAATATTAGTCGGGGGTAAAATCAGGTTTAGATTAAAACTGGTTGAAGCATGAGGATTTTTAAAGTAAAAATTTGTTTCTGATGAAAAAAATTCTAAACTTGGTACTTTCTGTTTTTCAGAGGTATTATCTGAAATATCTTCGAGACACCATCCTTGTGGGACAAATAAGTCTTCTAGTTTGACCAATTTTGGTTTGATTTCAAAATCAAAACTGTTTGGTTTAAAAAGTTCAATGATATTAGAATCTATCGGTTCGATAGAAGTATTTGTAAACTCATAAATTACAAACCAGTCGATCGAAAGGTCATGTGATTTTTCTTCAATATCAGAATTTGTTATTTTGACACAAAGACATAAACATTTTTCAATGTTTTCATCAAAAATAAAAATAAAATAGTTTGGTTTAACTTTAAATAAAACAACACCAGTAGCTAAATTGGATTGGATTCCTCCAATTATAGCATTAGCAGGATTTTTAAAATGATTATCTATTAAAACAACTATAATAGGAATATCTTTGCAAGACAAAAATAGCGGTGTAATGGTAATTAAAATCATACCAATATGTATATATTTAACTTTAGGATATTTTTTCAGAAAATGATTTATTTTTTGTTTTGTAAAGAGAGGTATTTCTACAGATCCTTGTTTAGAATCATTAGCAACTGTATCACCATATAGTTTTTCTATATGGTGTTTATACCAAGGTTGGAATCTTTTAAACCAACTTGTTTTTTAGAAATTTAATGTACGTAAAAAAGTTTGTAATATTTCTAAGTTCAGCTTATAGATCTATCTTGTAATCTTATTTTTATAAACAAAGTTTATATATCTACTCTTATTTTTTGTTGTTATTTCATGTTTTAAAGCTC